GACTGGTAGGTTCACTCAAACTCCCGAAGAGAACAGACTTTGTAGGCCGTGCGATTTAGGAGAGGTTGAAAATGAAATTAATTTTGTGTCATATTGTATATTGTATTGTGGCCGACAGGTGTGGTTAAAAGGTGAAGGAGGGGGCAACATAAGAAATACGACAGTGGAGTTAAAATGGTTTTAATTGTTGTAAAAGGTTCTAAAAACGAGCAAACAGATGGCGAGCATTACAAAGATAATGCAAAACAAAAAAAACTCTCAAAAAGGTTAACATTACACCAATTACCAACTATAAAAACACATGGTAAAAACTAATATTAAAAGTTCTACCAAACAAAGGTGTTTTTAAAATCAGAGTCAATAAAATTGCAGCAAACCAAGTTAACCTTTTTAATCGAACAACATCAAAAGATCCCTCTGGATCATCCAAGAGCTTCACCCTTTAAAAGCTCACAACTCAGAGTTAAAACCTTAAAGTTAACTCATCTCAAAACAAATGGGTTAAACCAAAACAAGACCTGGAGGACAGCAGAACCCCTGCACTGCTGCCTCCCAGCCTTTTTATCCCAGGTGTTGGTAATCAGCAGGATTCAGCTCAGCTGTGCTCCTCAGCAGCCTGGAAGAGAGGAGGAAGAGTGGCGGTGTAAGGCTGATCACCGGGGCTTGGTGATTCTGTTGCAAGTTCTCTCATGCCAAAAACAGTGGCAAGAAACGGAGTCAACAGAAGGGACAGAGATGAGATTGAACTTGCTCATGCAAGTAAAATCAGCAGAAGATAAGGAGGAGGGGTCCAACTGAACAAGAATCACCGAAGCTGGAACAAAAGAAGACCAACTGAAGAAAAGCATCTCAGGAAATGACAAGCCCTCCATGGAGAGTTCTGGACTTTGGGAGGGGCTGAAGACCAGTTTGCAAATATGACATCAAATGGTTTGGCTGTCTTGTGTTGAGCTAAGATATGAAACTGACAAATGATCACATTATTTTGCTGTCTTGTGATAATGAGATGTATGTAACTGAAAAACGATTACATTGTTTAGGCTGTCTCATGACTGTTTGAGATATTGCTGGGCAGTTGTTTAGAATGAGTATAAAAAGGGCAGCTAGAAGTAGAGGCGGAGGAGTAGGCAGATGCAGATGCAGAGACTTAGAGTTAGAGTGTGACAGTTTAGTGTTGACACAAGTCAACCAGTTATTCTCAGGAAGATTTTAGTATTAGCATCCTCCAAAGGGGATTGGTTAGTCTTATATTTACCTATTTTTTGTATTTTTTAATTTTGAAATAAATTTTTGGAAAAAGAATCCTTGTTCTCGATTCTTAAAGGTCTCTTATAGCCTTTTGAGTTGGGAGCCCCAGACCAGACCTAAAGGAGAGGTAAGCCACCTTGAACTGCTTGTTCCTGTGCTTCAGGACTTGTTTTTAGGTTGTGACAGATTAAGAAAAGATACCTTAGGTAAGGGAGCTTGTCTCCCCTCCCTCTTGGTAGCGGGACATCCTAAGGATTATAGGTCATGGCGGTTCGATGGTTCAGACAGGCTCTTTTTTGCACTAAAAAAGTCTTTGTTTAGCGTGGGAAGGAACCATTTCAAAGGGTGGATTAATTAGATTAATTGATAAATCTATGTTAGCCTGATCAACTAACAAGAATCATTTTCTAGTTACCACCGCCCACAATGCTGACAGAGGCGCAAATTAATCCTGATAGGACCCAAATAATAGATGCCTGGACGGCCTCCAGTATTAATCTTCCACCCTAGTATTTAAAACAATTAAATAACGGGAGAGTTAAAAGGGAAGAGTGTTATTACAGAAGAACAAGTACAACAATTTTCATTTCACCTTAAAATAGAAAACGAGTTCTAATTGAGGGAGCCCAAACCAGGGTCAGTACAATAAAACTCACCTGCGGCCCCAACCTCCCTGAGAAAGCAGCATATTCTAAGGTTCTAACGGAACCAGGTTTTAACGGAACCAATAAAAAGGACACGCTCGCGACAATCCTGGCTCCTGGATCCCACTGGCCAGGCTGGTAGCCATAACATACAAGTTATGATGATTTTTAGAAATGTATTATTTGCCCAACCAGCCATTCCTCCCCATCCCCGCATATTTTCCTCCTCCTGCTCCCTCACATCATCACACAAACATGAACATAGGACCTTGGGGGTGGACAAGTCAGGGAGTGCGGGTATGGACTCCATTTCCGCATTCCTGTGGCAACCTGCCCCCCAATCTTATTTGCACCTTATACACTTCCACCGAAGACATTCCACGCAAACACACAGGGCCTTGGGAGTGAGCACATTCAACGGCACTTGGCAGGGGGATTTCTCAGCCTCATCCCGAGTGCCGGTGCCCACTTCCAATTTTAAATTGCACTTAGACACCGAGGGCTGTGGGTGCAAGTGGGGTGGTGTGGTGGCATCAGCTGGCATAGGCCAGACGATGCCCGCACTGCCCGCTCACCACAACCATTGAATACACCTCATCAACACGCAACACTATATTGGAGCAGGCGGAGAGAGACTAGGGGTCTTAGCACACCTCTGTTGTTGCTTGACTTCCTGGGGCTGGAGGCTAGGAGGGAGATCTGGCCGTCTGGTTGGGGTCTGGAGTGGTGGGTTGCTGTGCTCAGCGCTGGGCCGGGGAGCCTGCTCATCAGCACCCCATTAGAAAGGGTAAAACTCTGGTAATCGGTGATGGTTGTACCTAATGTGCCGCAGTACCGGGATTAGAGTGAATAGGGTGTGTATGAGGAGCATGAGTGGGTGTCTGGCGTGCATTTTTGTATGTCTGGTAAGTCCTGGTTCTGGTCTATAGGGCCTTTCATGGACAAGCACTATCCTACATTGGTGATCTTCTTAGTCCCTACACCCCCAGCAGGTCCCTGAGGTCCAGTGATCAAAGCCTACTGGTTGTGCAGCACCAGGCTAAAGACCAAAGGTGACAGATCATTTGCTGCTGTGGCCCCCAGACTCTGGACCTCTCTCCCCCTGAGCCTGAGATCAGTGGACTCAGTGGTCTCCTTTAAAAAGCAGCTGAATACTCACTTGTTCAGGCTGGCTTTTGTGTGACCTTCTTCACCACTCTCTCTTTATTCTGCTCTCCCCACTTATTCCACCTTCCTCATGATCCACTGATTTCCCTCTTTCCTATTCACTCTCTCTCTCTTTCTTAACATTCACAATTGTCTATTTTTGCTCATTTTAAATATATTTTAAAACATTTTCTAAATGCTTTTTTATATTTTTACATTTTTTGTTTTTGTGATGTGCCTCATGATTTTTATCTTGAGAGGCGCTATAGAAATTATATTTTCTTTTTCTTCTTCTTCTCTCTGCACCCATGTGGACGGGTTCACTAATAGAAAGGCAAACTTCTGGACATGTTTAGAAGAGGTTAACAGATTTACATCAGAAACTGAAACAAACGTGTTATAAACTCTGGTATATCAGTGTTGCTGTCAGATGCTGGTGATTTTAACACAGATCCATTCACTGTTTCTTTGTTTAATCAATAATCAAACACTTAATTGAGGCTCTAGTGATAAACTCCTTCTGTCAGCATGCTACTCACACTGCTGCGATGGTGTCTCTGCAGCGTGTCCAAGTGCGACAAAGAAGCCCGTTACCTTTATCACACCAAAGTTGTTGGGTGTTAAAAGAGCCACCTGAGGAAACGTCAGTGAAACAGGAATCACAGGTTAACCACTAGAGGGCGCTAATGTAGACCAGTGATGCAGCGCCATGAAAACTCCTGAATCAAAACACTCGGGTGTTAAAACTCATCATTGCAGGACAATAATAAACATTATTACCCCCCATACCAGCACTTACTAAAAGGCTTTTTGTAGCTTTATACCCTTTTTTATGCGCACGGCTAATTCTAACAAACCCCCTTCCTCAGGAGCCTGAGTTCCCTACAGCTGAAGCACAAAGTTAGACTAAATTTGAATTTCATTTTAACACGGGTACCAAACTAACATGCTTGATGTGTTTCTCTACTAGTCTTGCTAGCTCGAAGAAAGTGCTCATTTTAATTTAGCACATGCAAGCAGCCGGCACCACAAAGAATTTTTTTTCAAATCCATACGCCCTCATCATGGTAACTACACATATGGGTTCACATGGTGCCGCATTTAAGTTGAAGGCCATCGATGGGAAACAGTGGTGCCGCACGTGAGCTTGGCATGAATGAATCCATGGTTCGGCGCTGGAGACGGCAGCGGGAAGAACTCATTCAAGCCAGCTTCACCCGGGGATGATGACAGCAACACGGACAGCGACACTGACATCGCCACAGAAAAGGTATGTGACGAAGCTCTTCTGAGGCTGTTCAACTCCGACACTGAAGAAGAGGACTTTAATGGGTTTAGCGCGCAAGAGGAAGATGAGAGTGAATGACTTTTTCTGGTAGGCAAGTGTGTTTTATTTACTAACCAGGCAGGTTTTGTGTGCAGTTTTTATTTTCTAATCATCCAGGGCTTATTAATGCTGTGTCAGCGCTGTTCTTTTCTTCTAAACATGCATGCAGATTACCGGTGATAACGTGTCAGTTCTGTTTTTATTTTATAACCATCCAGAAATATGAATGCTATCAGTGCTGTTTTCTTTTCTAAACTTGCAGGCACGTTCACCCGTGTTTAAAATTTGTTTTGTTGAAATAAAACAACGAAAAACCTCCGTGTAGCGTCTTTCTGTCTAATTATCTTATGTTATGGCCGTACATGCGCTGTGCGCCGGAGACCCGCATGTGGCTGCTGCGCCGCAGCTTGTATTCAAGTGCGGCGTGTGTGTGTGTAGAAAACCTTTTTTTTTGTTGGTTCGGCTTATATTGAGGTGCGCTCTATAGTCCGGAAATTACGGTAACTGTAACGGTTGCTGCCTCTTGGCCAAGACTCCCTTGAAAATGAGTTTTTTTTTTTTATCTAAAAAAGACTTTTCTGGTTGAATAAAGAATAAATAAATAAATAAAAATATTAATGAAGAATGAATGACAATTAAAATGTGAATTTTTATTTATTATTATGTGAGAAATGAAAATGATGGGAGGAAATGAACATGACCGTTTTTTTAACTGTGGGTCAACATGAAAACAAGCATGTCTAGCTAACCTCTGTTGGAGGTATTGTTTCGTACCTGCTTGTAACTTATGTTGATAATAACTTGTTTAATTAAGGCCCATCCAGAAAATAAGACCTGGCACAGCGCGTTAGTGGAGTCACGCATCCAGACGGCTACTTTTTACTTTTACTTGATTATAAATCAGCTGAAGCAGGGCTGCGTTTACACAAGTGATTTATTTTCTGCAGTAACGAAACGTCTGAGCTCCATTTGTTTCCTTTGAGGTCGTAGAGATCTGCGATGTTGACTGTAAACAATTTCTAGAAACACAGATCCCTAGCCTCCGTGTAAGAGATGTGTGCGTCCTTGTCCTTTTATCCATCCTTTTGACTCTGGTTCTGCGTCAACTTCGGCTGCGGCTTCCCCCAGCAACATGAGTCATACACCTAAAATGGCGCTGAGGGGGTGTGGTTGACATGCAGGTCACGTGTCTGATGAAGACCGATTCAGTTTTTTCTACTAGCTCTAGAAGTTTAAGAAAAAAAATCAAATAAAGTTTAAAAATAACCCAATCAGCAACAATCAGTCTTTTCTGGTCAGCAAGCTTGTCTTTGACTCCCAAACCTTGTTTTAATCTTCAGAACAAGATGCTCCACGTGTGAAGAATATCCGAGACAAGACACGTGCCAAACACGTCCGGTGAAACACACAGAATGATTCTTAACAGCAGCGCCGCACAGAGATCCAGGTTGGGTTTTGTTGCATATTGCTCTGTATGAGTGGTGGTGGTATAACTGAATAAAAGGATAACACACACACACACACACACACACACACACACACACACACACACACACACACACACACACACTCTTCCTGATTTTGGTGCTGTAACAGCATGGCGTGTTTGCGGGCATCACTCTGAAGAAGGGGTCTCAGTTCTGGGTTCTGCCAGCTCGCTCAGCTGTGTGTGCGGTTCAGGCCGGTCCGGTGAGCCGTGTCTCTGTTCGGCTGCTGCTGCTGACTGGTTCTCGTGGACCCGGGAAATCACCTGGAGAGTTTCTGTGGATTTAGTTGGAGCTAAGGTTGTGCTTGGGATCTTTTCCTGCAGGGATGGGGAAACTGTGCAGGGGCTCTGTCCCCAGGGTGCAAGGGTCACAGGTGACTTTCCAGCTGTTTGGGCCAGATCTGGAAGTCTCTCTGAGGTGGATGGAGCCTTCGGACTGGTTCTGGGTGCAACAGCACCAGTCCTGTCAGCATTAGCTTTAGAAGATGGACAGTGTGATTGGGATCCATCTTCTTTTATTTGAAGTGGATGCTTGTTTTCAGCTGACAGATTGCTGAAGCCCATTCTTCCTCCTTTTACTTTCAGTTCCTCCATTTTGCCGGTGTCCTTTTCTTTATGCCACCGTTTTCCTGAGTCACCAGCTGCGTGGACGAAGAACATACAAACAGATTAACTACAAACAACCGACAGCAAGAAACACAACAAATATAACCAGAAGATCCACCATCACTTGTTTGTGCTTCAGCCTCATTGCAGGAAGGAAAGTCCCATCTGTTGCCCTGGAAACGGATGGGTGACCTTTGTAAGACTGCCTTCAGCTCTGAAAGAGGTGACAAAGGGAGAAGTGACAATTGTCACCTAAACACAGGAGCATCACTCACCACCTCCGGGTGGATTCATGCACAGAAGCACGACAGCTGCAGACTGAAGGAAACTTTATTTTAATGTCCTCAAACTGATACAAGAAACAGATGAGGGCAGCCATGTTGGCTGATCAGTGTGGTCTCACCTTGTGTCATAGCCAGGGCATCCTCGTGCACAGACACAGCTCTGCGCTGTGGGAGGGGCTTCAGGCGAGGGCGTGGTTTTGGGAGACTCTCTGCACACACACACACACACACACACACACACACACACACACACACACACACACACACACACACACACACACACACACACACACACACACACACGAACCGTGGTAACCATAATTTAGGTCATTTGGAGGAGCTGAAAGGTGTGATTGTGTAGGACTTGCATGTACAGAGTTGAACATGAATATTTGTAAAAATGTAACTCAGAACCTTCAGAGCTGGTTTTCATCTGTAGACAGATGAGCCTAACTCACCCTCTGACACTGACTGGGCCTTCTCAGAGCGGTCCTGTGCACTGACGTCACTCCACCGAGCCTGGACCGAAGACAACACTTCCTTCCTGGGAGACAGGGTGGGGGATGCACCATGCTGGCTTCCATTCTAAGGATGAAGATCAGAATCATTTCAGCTGGTACGCCCAACAGCAAAGGTTTAGGGCAGCAGAGACTCCGAACATCTGCTCATGGGTCTACAAGTCATTAACCTGCTTTTGAATGTGAAAGGAAGGTAAGTTTGCTTCTGTGTGTGTCAGGGTGAGTCCTGATCGAGAGATGGGAGAAAGGACACAGAGACGGTTGGTCTTAAAACATTTTCATCTTTTTGATGTTTTTACCAATGTGGTGATCTTTGCTTTGCTTGGTTTTCTCCTTTAGGGAGGCTGAAAAGTTTCTAAACATCTGAATTATAGTTGTTTTACTTTGGAAACCAAAGCTGATGATGTTTCTGTGAAACGGTGAAGTGGGTTCTCCCCTCATTGCTTTGTTACCTGAGATGTAGGTTGTGCTGTTGGCAGAACCCGCTCCATTGGACTGCTGGCAGCAGGAGCAGAAGAGGGACGGGCAGCCGGGGTAGGGAGAGGAGGCTTAGGTGGGACCGATGGCAGCGGTCCTGCAGTGTGAGGTTCTGGTCCGTTTGGATCTCTCAGAACAATCCTGGGCTCAGCTGTAAACCGGTGAAAAGGACTGAATATGAGGACTCGGATGCAGGCTGACGAGTACCAGAAGCACGTTGGGGAAAGCTTCATGCCAAAGCAGACTTCTTTGTGATTATTTTATTTGCTCATTACTTTTTAATTTATCTAATTCAAAAGAACAAAATAAAAATATTCTTACATAGAAACAGTTTAACCAGCTGCAGCAGGAGAAACATCTCCGCCTCCTGCTGCCTGATTCTCTACACTGGTTAAATAAAAAACCCTCTGCAATCCACAAAAGCCCTCTGGTGCAGCGTCAGGTGCTCTTCTCACTGTTAGAGCAGACCTCACTTGTATGAAATACAGGGAAAACACAACTAACGCTGCTTGGCTCGTTCACAAACCCAATCAGGACTTCAGGTTTGGGGAGATTCACAACCAAGTGAAAGTAGCTGACCATTTCTGTTTTGGAAAATAATTGAGTTTCATACATAAAAAATTCCATCCTTCTAGCTCCTGTTCTTGGAAACTAGAGCTATGAAAAACAACAACAACAACACACATGTTGATGTTTTTAATATTAAGAAAAAATTAGTAAAATGATAAATGGCCTGCACTTGTATAGCACCTCTCAGTGTAAGGACTCCAATTCACTTTACACTACAGTCCATTCACACACTGATGGTGATGAGCTACGGTGTAGCCACAGCTGCCCTGGGGCGCACTGGCAGAGACGAGTAAGAGGTTTCTACCTGATGGGGTGGACATGGTCCTGGGCTTGGTGTGTGTGGGAGGGGGTTCGGGCTTGTCCAGGATGGCACCTCAGAGACAAAACAAAGGAACAGCACTAGTGAACTTGTTTGTGACCCAGACAGGGACAAGCATCTGAACGGCTCTGAGAGGTACACAGGACAGCCTCTTACACAAGAACAGGCACTTTTCAAACGGCATATTAATAACATCAAATAACTAAAGAATACTGCTGCCAAGAAAAATGTTACACCAGTTGTAGACACGTTTACTGAAGTCAATACTTTGTTAAATATTTGGTCAGAGAAAATCAACTAAACTATGCTGTGATGACACCTGAGGTAAATCCTGGGAAGTCCTACTGCTGCCAGGATGAGTGGAAACAAGGTGCTTCTACATGAAACCAGGAGGAACTAAGTGGCGCTGCAGAGAGAGAGGCGTCGGAGCAGAGGAGTAGTAAGAAAAACACAAAAACGGTCCTTATAGGGGTTAAAAACTACATAGAAATGAATTATCTATGTTTATTTTAACCACAGTGTAAAGGCTTGGTCAGTAATCTAATGTTCAGCCTAATCTATTTCTGTAATTCACCATAGATTTGGGCAACATGCTGACAAAAAGTAAAGTGCAGTTTTGTGCACGTATGACAAATTAATATCAGACACTGAAAAAATTCTATAAAATATTAAAAATAAGTTATTCTGATAAATATTTAATCTACAAAACAAAAAAGACAGAAGAATTTTGTCTCAAATGTCACCAGATTTGCCAATAACCCACGGTGTCCCTCAGGTCTCTGTTTTTGGTCCCCACCTTATCATCATCTATGTTGGACACATCATTCGGCACCACGGACTCAAGGTTGATCAATCAATCAATCAATCAATCAATCAATCAATCAATCAATCAATCAATCAATCAATCAATCAATCAATCAATCAAAGCTTTATTTATAAAGCGCCTTCCGCAACCCTGTCAGGAAGCCCAAAGCGCTTGATGACACAACTCTACTTATCTATAAAAACCATCACCTCCATCACTGCTTCAACCATAGCAAACTGCCCCAATGCCATAAAATTACAGATTACCACAAACTTCCTCAAGCTCAACAACAAAAAATCTGAAATAATCAAAACTGGGTCCAAATTCCACCTCCCCTCTTCTTGCTTTGCATTGATGTTCGTACCATCACACACACACACACACACACACACACACACACACACACACACACACACACACACACACACACACACACACACACACACACACACACACACACACACACACACACGCGCACACACACACACACACACGCGCACACACACACGCGGGCGCGCGCACGCGCGCACACACACACACACACACACACACTCTTTAATGAAGAATTTAATCACCGGTAACTTACGTAATTTTTTTTACTTGTTTTGCGTTGTTTACTGCTTTGTTTCCTTTTTTTTGTAACGCATCTTTGAGTAGTTGTGAAAAGCACTCTATACCACTAATGCATTCTTATTATTGTAACATACCAAAGGGTAAAATTTTCACCATCTAATTGACCACAACATAACCCCAGCCACCACTACTTCGACCAAGCTCTCTGTGTGGATTTGCCAACTGTGTACGTTGATGGCAGCTCCTTTCAACACGGTGCTGAACCTAGTTCAGGCGTGGGTGTCGTTTGGTAACACGCTAGCCAGAAAGAATCTTGGTGCTACCAGTTGGATCCTCAGACCTCACAGTTTGCAGAAGTGGCTGGGATCTTGATAGTGCTACAACTTGCTGCTGACTGTGATGTCCGCGAGCTGGTGATCAGCACCGACTCGGACTACACGCGTGTCAGTTTCACTTGTCATCTCCCCTTTTGGAAAAGGAACCTCTAACTGGAAGCCCGTAAAAACATCAAGACCTTTTCATGGCTTGTGATGCCCTAGCGACTTCACTCGACATGCAGATCTATTGGCGTAAAGCCCATTCCCGTGCACCCGGAACTGATAAGGAACTAAACGACCTTACAGACTCTCTTGCCAAACAAGGTGCAGCTGTCGGTACCCCATGGTCCGTCAAACCCTTGTGGCTCCCTGACAATGTGTCTTCTCGGTCAGACCCACCCCGCGTGTGTGTTGTGACTTGAGCTCAGGCCGCTAACGCGTCCACTCCTCAACCATCTGATGGATTTGTGTCCGTTCAACCTGTATTTTCTGAGCATGACCATGCCAGTCTTCCGTCCCAGGACCCTGCTCTCAGCAGGATGACCCTGTACCTTTCTGATCCGACAGCTCATCTGCCTTCTTCTGTCGAGCTTGAGCTTGATACTTTGCTGAGTTTCGCCAGATGTCCTCGCTTCCTGAGATAACATCACTGCTTCATCACCTGGTTCTGCTGCCTGCTGCTCTGGGTTCTGGTTCTTCTGGAGTTCTGGACGTCCTATGGTTTTCCTGCTATGGTTTTCCTGGATCGCTACAGATCACTACGGATTGCTGGGATCTGGTCTGTTTCTGCTCAGGGATCTGGCTTCCTACTCATCGGGGTCCCTGCCTGTGGATTTCGCTAAGCAGGATTACAGTCTGCTGACTGGGATATCTACTGACTATTCTGCTATGTGAGGGTTTGCTTTTCCTCACTCCTGATGATTTGGTGCCCGAGAACTAACTGTCTTCCTCTGCTGAGTCCTCAGGGCCTCTAGGATTGTCCAACGCCTCGTGGTCTTCTGCCGTGACCCCTGTGACCTTGGAAAGGGGGGAGTTGTAACGTACAAAACGGTACATTTTTCACCATCTAATTGACTAACACAACGTTTCATCTACAGGCATAAACCCACCATCTCTCTGGCCTCCAAATCCAGACGGTTCTGCTCAGTGCTTGTTTGCATACAAGAAGACAAAACAAACCTGTCATGGTCTCCTGCAAAGGTCCTGCACGCTGCGTAAAAGCCAGACTGCTGTTTCCTCACCCTATAAAAATCAAACCTAGGAAACTAGGAGAAAAAATGTCCAAGGAAAGGCAAAACTTACATGTAGTCAATAGAGATACTCCAACATGCAGCTGCCCAGAGCAGCGCAGTTCCGTGGAATCATTGTTTACACTCATACACACTACACTAAGATGCTCATTAAGGTTAATATTCACCTCACATACGAGTTTTAAAACATTCTCCTTCACAAAGCGTTTTGAACATCTTTGTGTCTGAAGAAGGCGTGGCTTTCTGAGGGTTGATGGGTAAAGTGCTCCAGAAGTGGCAAATTCTGATTTGCCAAACTTGGCCAAAACTCATAACATGGTGGTTTATTAAAACAAGAATTACTTCCTGATTAATTCAGTTTCAGGCTGACTCCCGATTCGACCAAATCGGGGAAGAAGCCTCTTTTGAGACGATCTCCTTTGACCTCCAGTGAAAAGCCTCTCTGCGACGCTGCGAGTGATTACAGACAAAACAGCTCTTTTCAGAGCTACTTCACACCTCAGACGCCTAACCTGAAGACCCAGGGTTGCATCTCATGGCCGGTGAAGCTGAACTCAGAGGAAGCTACTAATCCTGTGTATTGTGGTTTCGACGTCCGGTGACCTCACCACTCGGACCTCACACCCCCGGACCGCCGGGAGCGACTCATACCAAGGGTATCGTAGCCTGCACGCTGACTTATGATGAGTTTAAACAAACAACTCTCTAGTTTGTAAACAAACAACAAATTCTTTTACAACCCAGACTTCACGAACTCTCAGATACAAAGAACGGTTTTGCTCAAACATCTAGCTTCCATTACAACATTTCACACATCACATGAAATCACTTCCTATCCATTACATCACATCTCATTATTCGGATTCTTGTCATGTATAATCCTTAGTTTAGGTAAAAGAATGACATTCATTTTATAAAAGCCTGTCTGGATTAATACGAAGTGTATTTATGGTCCCCAAAGAAGCAAAGAACCCTAGAATCCTCTGATTAAACATTCAAAGATCAGTCAGGTTGATATTCCATATTTGTATGGAAAACAAGCCCTAAAAACAAGAAGATGTTTTTATTTTTCAAAAAAGTTTAATTTTTCCTGATGTGAATGTACCAAGAAATGTTCATAACATAACCAAGAATGATGCCATTTTATTTCAGCTCTGCATAAACTTTATTTTACCATAAAAGGGCAGAAAAGGCTTGTTTGGTTGGAAAAGTTGCAAACTCCCGCTCAAAGGAAAGTGTGTGATCTGTACCCTGAACCTTGTTGGTTTTTTAGCCTAATTTTAAAACGGACTCACCTTCTGAGCTGGCCTTTCTCAGCTCTTCGTCTCGATTCTGCAACATCAAACAACACCAGACTTTATTAGAAACGACAACTGTTACACCTGCAACATGGCATGGAGGACACGCACAAAGCAAAACTAAGTCTGACAGCTTAACTAAACACAGGAGAACCCTTCTACCTGGCATAGCTTGATGCATGCAGGGGGAATTCTGGCCGCGCTCATTCTCTGCAGCATCACCTGAAGCTTCTGCTCAAAACTGGAGGTGTTCTCTGATGCATGTTTCTGAGAGACAGAAGAGTCACACAGACACGTTGTGTGTGTGTGTGTGTGTGTGTGTGTGTGTGTTATGTTGCACTCTCAGACTGACCTTACTGGGTGTGTTGTCCTTGTCCTCAGGTTCTAATCCTGTCAGCAGGATGAGACTCTGGCTCTTGCCCTCCCTCAGTCTCTTGGTCACTCTCAGTCTCTTCTGTCCATTCGAAGTCCCTCTTGACAGCATCTCCTGCTCAGTTAGAGGGGAAATCACTTCAGGACTGGTTTTGTGACTTGACACAACAGGAACTGCTGCATTTTCCAGTTTGCGGTGCACAGGAGCGGTGAGGTCAGGGCTTGTGGTGATGGTAGGATAAGAGGGAGGAGTCTCACGGAGCTGTGTTGCCGTGGTTAAAGCCTTGGCAGGTGGTATCTTTTCCCTGACATAGCTTTCAAGATGGCAGCCGGTGAGGGCAGTTTCTTCTTTGAGAGCAGTATCATAAAAAATATTAGCATCGTCCTCTGACCCCTTCCCCCTCTCCCTCTTTCTGTCCTTGTCCCTCTCTCTTTCTTTGGCCTCTCGGAGGGGTCGGATGAGGTCTGCAATGGAAGACTTTTTGACCTTCACCACCTCTACTCCTGTATCATCTTCGCCTCCTGCCTTGGCAGCTCGGCCAACCCGAGCTCTCTTGAAGGCGAAGAAATCACCAAACCTTTTCTTTATATTTTTGGTGGGGACTGTGATAGTGGTGGAGATGGGGTGGGTGGTGCAGAGGGTGGGAGCATCAGGAGATGGAAATGACTCATCAGACTCAACACAAGGGGAGGTGACAGTGGTGGCGGAGGGTGTGACAATGTCAGATGGAGAGGAGAATGGAATGGTGGATGAAGGGGTGGGGCTGGACTCTGGGGAAGTGGCTTGGGCAGGGTTTGACTCCTCCCACTGGCCTTTTCTGCAGCAGGGAGACAGCAGAAAGAGCAACAGACAGAAAGAGAAACTCAGTACTACTAGTTGAAAACATGTCACATGCTCTGCTCAGGCACACAATGGGAATGCTCATGCCAGCGGCACACAGACAGGAAACATCTCTCAGGTAGGATGGCCTGTGTCCTAGCGGGACCACGCTGGTGCTCAGAGCAACATGACTGCAGTGATGGACCATGTAAACCAGCATCATTGAGTGTAACAATCAAACCTCTTCCATAGTGCTAATCTCTGCAGAAGACAAATGAAGTTTTTATCGTGGTTTTATACGGCGAACACAAATCTACAACCTAAAACTGGAAAAATGAGAATCTGGTGCAGGGGTAGGGAACCCTGGTCCTGGAGAGTCACTATGCAGCAGGTTTTAGAGGTTTCCCTGCTTCAACACACCCAGTTTTAATCAGCAGGTGATTAACAGGCTTCTGCAGAGCCCGGTGAGCTACTGAACAGGTGAATCAACCGTTCAACAGGTAGGGGTTCCCTACCCGTCATCTACAGGCTCAGGAACCCTCAGCAGGTGTTCAGCATTCATCAGCTGATTAGAGTGTGACACTTTCTAGAATACTGAACCTTTTCACAATATTTTCATTGTCTGAGATTTTGAATGTGGGGTTTTCATCAGCTGTAAGCCATCATCATCATCATCATCATCATCACAGTTATAACTAATGAAGCTGACATATCTGGATCTGCCTGGAACGAGTCTGTCTCATAGATTAGTTTCACCTTTTAAGTTGGATTACTGACATTAATGAACTTTTAACCAGATTCTAGTTTTTCCAGTTTCACCTGTTCAGACCTAATAAAGCAGACTCTTTACATAGTTTTATATTTCACGCTTGATGTTTATTATACCTCGTCAATTTAAAACACACTATTTTACATTTTTTATAATCTATTATTGATCCAACAATACAAAGAATTGTTTTTTTTTTGGGGGGGGGGGGGGGGGGGTGTAAGTGATTTGTTAATCTTTTTGGATCTGATCTTGTTTGTTTGCTTTAATAAGTGAAATTAATCAAATTCCCTGGATTTGAGGGAAAGATTGTTTTCTAGTTTCTTGGTCCTGAAAATAGCGCCGATCAATTCTGAAGATAAAACCAGGACCATCACCATTATTATGGTGAAAATTAAAATCACAGTTATTTAGCATTTTTGACTTTGTAAAAAAAAAAAATTCAAAAATATTTACAATCTCATGAATGTTGAAAATCTTCAGCTGAATCCAGCTAAAGTGTTTTATTTCAACAAAGCAAAGCTTGTAATTAAAAAGTTGCATATGTCAGTATTTTCTGACAGGTAGAGAAATGTGGTAAATTCAGCTGAATCACTTAAACATGTTTGACATTTACATTAGTTATTCAGTGTACAGCTTTTATTCTTGCTGCTGCTGTTTCACCCAGGTTTACCCTCTCAGGGACAATAAAGACATTTTCTATTCTAAACATAAATGAATTTCTAATTCTACACATATTTAACATTTACTAAATGAAAAGTGTAAACTTATTTTTATTATTACATAATGTGTGGTTGTGCTTCCTGAGGATGATGGATGATGTTCTGCTGTGATGTTTGTGCTTAATTGTAAAGAGCTTATTGCAGGTTAGAGCCTCCCTTGAACCAATGCTTAGAGAGACATAATAGGAACTTGTTCTAAATAAAAACGTACACAAAAATTATTTACGCTTTCGGAATAATTTTTGTGAGAAAGTGACACAAGCCAAGGGAGACCTGTTGGCTTGATCCAGAGATAAAACATCCATCCATCCATTTTCAGCCGCATATCCGAAGTCGGGTCGCGGGGGCAGCAGCCTAAGCCGAGGCACCCAGACTTCCCTCTCCCCAGCTAATTCAGCCAGCACTTCCGGGGGAATCCCAAGGCATTCCCTGGCTAGCTAAGAGACATAGTCCCTCCAGCATGTCCTGGGTCTTCCTTTAGGTCTTCTCCTGGTTGGACGTGCCCAAAAAACCTCACCACGGAGGCGTCCAGGAGGCATCCTGACCAGATGCCCAAGCCAACTCAACTGGCTCCTTTTGATGTGCAGGAGCAGCAGATCTACTCTGAGCTCCTCCCGGATGACCGAGCTTCTCACCTTATCTCTAAGGGAGAGCCCAGCCACCCTGCGGAGAAAACTAATTTCAGCCGCTTGTATCAACAATCTCGTTCTTTCGGTCACTACCCAAAGGTCCACCCAAAGCTCATGACCATAGGTGAGGGTAGGAACGTAGATTGACCGCTAAATTGAGAGCTTTGCCTTCCGGCTCAGCTCTCTCATAACCACGATAGATCAGTACAACGCCAGCATCACTGCAGAGATAAACATGGATTTTAATGCCGGTGTCAGTACAGGATCTGCTCGGGTACAGGATCTATCTCGGCTTTCACACACACATTTTGGAAAGACATCAGCAGTTTTGTTAATAAATTCTTGTTTGTTAACACCTAAATGTTTTCTTTATAATTGTAATTTGTTAATAAAACACCATATTATCTTTGTTTTGTAAAGAATGTGAAACTGCATAAAACCAACATCGGACAATATAAGAGCATGCTTGTAAAATATTAAGTAATGCAAAACTTATTGTTTTTTTAATCAATTATGTACATTTTTTGATTCTTTACAGCTAACATGTTGTCTATTATCAACAACAAAAAGCCAGTGTTACTTGCCATCTTTGCTGGTGAAACAAGTGCAACTTTTATTAAAACTCAAGAAGGGTTTGTGATACTTAACTAATTTTTATTTATAGTATTTCTCAGAGTTGGGTTTGGTAAAAATCTTAACATGTTTTAAAGTGTTAGTTTCATCTGCCTGAGCTGGTGGCCAGAACTGCAGCGCTCTTAAGGTCACAGGCATGCACAAACTCACTCATCGAGGTGCAAATGGCCTGCAGGTTGCTCTTCAGACACCCCTGATATGAGAGATGTGACTTCTGTGGGCTGCAGAAAGATGAGTTTAACAGAAAAAAAGACAAGAAAACGAAAGGAAACTGGGTGCGTCTAGATTCTCTTCTGCACGTCTGAAGTGGAAGTATGAGTAAACATTTATGCAAGCATGCTTGTGTGTAAGACCTGTATGCAGAAACATTATGTTCAGTTTCTATATATGTAACTGGATTTGGTCTCTTTTCTGCTCTTGTTGATTCTCTTTGAATCAAGACATGTAGGAATTTATCGTTTATCTAATGTTAACTGGTCGAGTTCAGGATAAAACTTAGTGGAGCACAATATGAGATAATCAAAGTGAAATCATGTTCTACAGTGGTCATGGATCTCAATCCATTTTTCTCCGCTTAACCAAGGTCGGGTCATGGGTGCAGCAGCCTGGCAAAGAGGCCCTCTACTGTTTCCTGGGTCTTCCCTTAGGCCTCCTCCTGGTTGGACGTGCCCAGAAAACCTCACAAGGGAAGTGTCCAGGAGGCATCCTAACCAGAAGCCCAAGCCATCTCAACTGGCTCTTGTTGATGTGGGGGAGCAGCAAATCTACTTCGAGAAAACTGATTTGGGCCTCTTGTATTTGCAGTCCCATTCTCATTCCAAAGCTTGTGACCATAGATGAGGGTTGGAAACCAGATCGACAGGTAAACCGGGAGCTTCTCTCTTCACCACAACAGACGGGTACAATCACTGTAGACACAGCACCAATTTGTCTATCAATCTCCTGCACCATCTCTTCCTCATTTAATACCCAGAGATACTTAAACTCTTCCACTTGAGGCAAGAAATGAAGGCCTTCTACCCTTTACCAAACTTTCCACAGTCTGATGAAGCCAACAGGACCACATCATCTGCACAAAGCAGAAACCCAATCCTTAGGCCATCAAAATGGATCACCTCAGCACCTTGGCTGTGCCTAGAAATCCTGTCCATTAAAACTATGAACAGAATTTGTGACAGAGGGCAGCCTTGGTGGAGTCCAACTGTCACTGGGATTGAGCCTGATTTCCTGCCAGCAAGGTGGACCAAGCTCTGGCACTGGTCACACAGGGACCTAACAGCCTGGGTCAAAGGGCCTGGTACCCCATACTCCCAGAGTACCCCTCATAATTGCTCCTGGCTTGAAAACCTTCTCCAAATCCATGCATCCTCGAGGACCCTCCTAAGGGTTAAGAGCTCATCCAGCCTGGAAAACAACTAAAGTTGCACCACCTGAATCCAAGGTTTGACTATCTGACATATCCACCTCTCCAGAACTGCTGAGTAGACCTTACTAAGAAGGCTCAGGAGTGTAATCCGTTAGATCTTGTTATTTTCATTTAAGGTGCCTATTACTCCAGTATTGGCCATGTTGCACTGGCTACTGGTTCAGTAGAGAATCTATTTTAAAATTCTTGTATTCATTTTTAAAGCCCTCCTTGGCTGAGCTGCTTTGATTTTAAATAGGGAAACCACGACCCTGGTCTGCTGATCCAGCGGAATTGTCCCCGATATCTACAGAATATTGCAGAGCCTTGTCAGCCAACACAGCCCCACAACATTGAAAGGCCTAAGGAACGACTCTTATCCACCCCTGAGGCCTTGCTACTGACTTTTTGACCACATCAGTGACCTCAGCACCAGTGGTTGGAGAGGCCGACCCAAAGTCTCCAAACTCTACTTTCTCACTGGAAGATCTGCCAGTTGGATTGAGGAGGTCTTTGAAGTACTCTGCCCACTGATCCACAATGTCCCGAGCTGAGGGTAGCAGCACACTGTCCCCACTATAAACAGCATTGGTAGTGCAACACTTTCCCCTCCTGAGAAGCCGGGGGGTGGACCAGAATCCCTCACAGATGCATGGAAATCTTCCTGCATGTCCTCACTAAACTTCTCCCGTGCTCGGGGTTTTGCCTCCACAACCACCTGATCCTCCTTCTGCATGGACTGCTGGCACATATCAGCTGCTTCTGGAGTCCCGCAGGCCAAATAGCTTTGGTAGGACTCCTTTTTCATATTGACATTATCCGTAACTGCCAGCTTCCACCAGCAAGTTTGGGGGTTGCTGCCATGACAGACAACGACTACAAAGTCAATCATTGAGCAGCACCCTAAGGTATCATGGTGCCAAGAGCACATAAGCACGCTTATGCTGGAACACGGTGTTAACTATGGACAATCCATGATAAGCACAGAAGTCCAAAATAAAAAACAAGGGAGTATTTGCTTCCATTAATTTGATCTGGACTCTATGAAGAAGTAAAAAACTCACGAATAACAACCTCTTGATGTGGAAATATTTAATAAAAATACCCACACCAAACTTCTCAGACAGATGAGTCCCAAGATAAGGAAATTAGCCTTTCATAAACCAAAAAATAAAAGTAAAAAATACACAGATGGCCATGTAGCTCACAGCTTCTGTGTCTAAAAACTTTCCTCAGGTGATTAGAGCCCAAAAACCAACGTTAATAATTTTGAATCAGCCGTTCAAGCTGTTAGCTGCTGTGAGCTGGCATCGGCTGTTCTGATTCTCCCCGGTCATAGTGCAATGCAGCTAAATAGAACCAGATTCACCTTTGGGAGCACTGATCAGCTGTGACCATCAGGCTTGTTGAGGGTACTTTACCAAAGCTAAATATCAGAACAGCGAGGGTTCCGAATACACTGCTCTACGTTACTGCATCTGCTCCAGAATTAGCTGTTTTTGTGTCTTGCTGAAACTCAACAGAGAGCTGAAGAAGAAGAAGAAGAAGAAGAAAATGTCATTTCTATAGCGCCTCTCAAGATAAAAATCACGAGGTGCTTCACAAAAACAAAAAATGTAAAAATATAAAAAAGCATTTAGAAAATGTTTAAAAATATATTTAAAATGAGCAAAAATAGACAATTTTGATAAAAAAATGTTAAGAAAGAGAAAGAGTGAATAGGGAAGAGGGAAATCAGTGGATCCTGAGGAAGGTGGAATAGGTGGGGAGAGCAGAATAAAGAGAGAGTGGTGAAGAAGGTCATACAAAAGCCAGCTTGAACAAGTGAGTCTTCAGCTGTTTTTAAAGGAGACCACTGAGTCCACTGATCTCAGGCTCAGGGGGAGAGAGTTCCAGAGTCTTGGGGCCACAGCAGCAAATGATCTGTCACCTTTGGTCTTTAGCCTGGTGCTGCACAACCAGTAGGCTTTGATCACTGGACCTCAGGGACCTGCTGGGGGTGTAGGGACTAAGAAGATCACCAATGTAAGATGGTGCTTGTCCATGTAAGGCCCTATAGATCAGAACCAGGATCTTGAAATGAACCCTGAAGTTGACTGGCAGCCAGCGAAGCTGGAGGAGAAGCGGGGTGATGTGGGTGTGTTTGGAGGACTTGGTCAGAAGCCGATCACAGGCATTCTGAACCACCTGTAGACGGTTCAGGGAGGTTCTGCTCAGACACGTGAAAAGAGAGTTACAGTAGTCTAAGCGTGAGGAGATGAAGGTGTGGAGAACTGTCTCAAGTTCAGAGGGGACAGAATGGGACTCAGCTTAGCAATGTTCCTGAGATGGAAGAAGGAAGAGCGAACAAGAGAACTGACATGAGAATCCAGGGTGAGAGCTGGGTCAAAGGTCACACCAAGATTCCTGACGGAAGGTTTGGTGTGAGAAGCAAGCTGACCAAGAGAGTCTCTGACTTTGGGAACCAGCTTGTCTGGGGCACAGATGAGGATCTCAGTCTTATCTTCATTCAGCTGTAGAAAGCTCCCAGCCATCCAGGTTTTGATAGAGTCTAAGCAGGTGTGTAACAGCTGCAGCTTAGACATCTCATGGGGCTTAAAGGAGATGTACAGTTGGATGTCATCTGCATAAAGATGGTAGGAGATTCCTTTGGCATAGATTTGGTAATCCTACAGGCTCAAATATGATTGGCTCTGGAAGCAGGAAGTATGGTAGTGGGACAGATTGTAAACAAAGAGCAACCACCAGCCGGCTGAGAAGGAAATCTGCATCAATTCAACCTTCTTTCCAACATGACTGAGACATTAGACTGTTTTGTGATTATTTAATTGTAAATTTCTCACCTACTGCACTTTTAATTTCTTGGTTTCAAGTTGAAGTTAGTTGAAAAGAAGATTTTGTGTGTGTTGTGTTGTGTTAGGGTTTGGGCCCAACTCACGGTGCATAGTCAGAGATAATTTTCTTGGTGAAGAATTCTTCTACTCCTTCATCTACTCTACCCATGGCCTCATTGGCTTCATCCTTCTCCTCTGACACCAGCTCCTGTGTGGGACACAATTAGATTACAGTTAGCACACTTTGCCCTCTAAAATTTAAACATTGCCACAAAAAAGCTTAAGAAGTGATGAAGTCATGAAGGGACATTAAAACTGATGTGAAACCACTGATCAGACACTTCTGAGGGCTTGAAACGGTGTGGCATTGAAAACAGAACGTGCAATGCCCTCAGACAGCCTGTCTGTGTCCACGTTATCAGGTGATCATTGAGGAATTTTCACAACACTGATGTCATGTTTCACTACTCTGGACACAAAACTCACAACCAATGATCAAAATGCACATTTTTTCTAAACTCTCCCCCATTTCTCAATTGTTTGGATGCCACACAAAAACCTTAGATCATTTGTTTATTTAACAACAACCAATTTGACACAACTTAATATCAAAGCACTACTATTTCAAAATGCAGTTCACACATTACATTTCAAACCAGTGACTATTCCTTTCCTTTCACTGATCTAACAACTACTCAAAATGATGAGTAACTGTTGCAGTACTCTCAACGCTGCGTGGATAAAGACAAACAATCAAACAATAGGTTAACTTGTAATTTGCTGTCCAATTCTGCCAACTCGTTACTGATGACTGGATGCAAGACGTGGAATGAGTATATAAAGAGGTGATTTGGAGCCAGGTTACAATTAAGGTCAAGCAGTGGTGAGAGGAGAAGAGGAGGAAGAGGAGTTGGTCAAAGGAAGGGCAGAGGACCTGGGGCCAAATCCACAACACAGAGTACACGATCATATAGAAGTAGAGTAATCACTGTTTTGTTTACTCTATTACAGTACAAGATAGACAGCTGAGAAACACAGCATTTGATTTTGTTTTTACAATGAATTACTGTATTTTTGCTTTGATTCAAATACACAAATGTTACAGTACGATTGCACTGTGGTGTTTTGGATCAGTATACTTCAGAATGTGTTTATTGATTCCTCTCTGTAGTATTTTCTCTACTACTGCAGTATTTTCCCAGAGATCTGTGGAGTACATGTAGTACCGTGTGTGATTTTGTTCTGCAAGGTAGAGTTTTAAGCTTGGATATTTGTTAAAATCTTTTTGTTTCTACCGCTTTTGTTTTGGCATTTAGTGTTGGCAGCAAAGTAAGAACTTTATTGTGCAGAAATAACATGTTTCTACTTTCATTTTGCATATGACAATAAAAGCTTTGAATCATGAAAGCTGTTGTACAATATTATATTATTGTTCAAACAATGACTTACTGAAACTATGGGTTACTTGTGTGTGTGGGTGATCTAGAGTTTTGTTTCAATGGAGTTTCACAGTATGAGTTTTTTGAACTAATGTTTGTGCAAGATTTCTTTAAACATGTGAATGCACCGTGCACTGTTTAAGCATTGCACAGCCTGTGTTACAAGTGAGGAGCATTATGAGTTTTGTGTCTAGAGTTGTGAAAAATACATCAGTGTTGTGAAAATTGTTGCAACGTGATTGAGAAAAATTGTAAAGGAACTAAATGGCTCAATTCACCAGATAAAGTAACCTTTTAACCCTCAAACATTGGGTGTATGATAATTTAGGTTCGGACTGAATCATCAAAAATGTGAAATCAAACATAAGGAGGAAGGCTGGAACTCTTAAAGTGAGAACAATGCTTTAATGGGTCTGGAAAACAGCCTTCCTCCTTATTTTTGAATTCTTATTGTTCACTACTGCTGAGTACCAGTTAGTGAGTGGATGACGCAGAAGAACCTGCTTCATCATCAAACATGTGCTCCCAGTGGTGAGGAAACCTCAAAACGTGCATCCTCGGTTTATAAGCAAAGCCTTTGGTGTGGCAAAGGACAAAATTCTGCATTTCCTCCGACTAAACTCTATCAGTCCCAGTCTGCTCAGATCTTCACTTTCACTTCAGTGATCTGAAGTTTTCAGCAATCACATCAGCTTAAGTTCAAATTTGGCTTGAACGGGACGTGACGAGACGAGACGAGACGAGACGAGACGAGACGAGACGGGACGGGACGGAACAGAACAGAATAGAACAGGACAGAACAGGGCAGAACAGGACAGGACAGAACAGAACAGAACAGAACAGAACAGAACAGAACAGGACAGGACGGAAAAGAACGGGACAGGACAGGACAGGACAAAACAGGACAAAACAGGACAGAACAGGACAGGACAGGACAAGACAGAACAGAACAGAAGAGGACAGGACGGAAAAGAATGGGACGGGATAGAACAGGACAGAACAGAACAGAACAGGACAAGACAGGACAGGACAGGACAAGACAGAACAGAACGGAACAGAACAGGATGGAAAAGAACGGACAGGACAGGAAAGGACAGGACAGGACAGGAAAGGACAGGACAGGACAGGACAGGGCAGGGCAGGACAGGACAGGACTGAAGAGAACAGGACAGGACAGGACAGGACAGGATAGGACAGAACAGGACAGAACAGAACAGGACAGAACAGAAAAGAATGGGACAGGACAGGACAGAATGGGACGTGACACGACAGAACAGGAAAGGACAGGACAGGACAGAACAGAACAGGACAGGACAGAAAAGAATGGGATGGGACAGAACAGAACAGAACAGGACAGGGCAGGACAGGACAGGACAGGACAGGAGAGAAAAGAACGGGACAGAACAGAACAGGACAGAACAGGGCAGGACAGGATGGGGCGGGACGGGACAGGACAGGACAGGGCAGGACAGGACGGAAAAGAACAGGGCAGGACAGGACAGGACGGAAAAGAATGGGACAGGACAAAACAGGACAGAACAGGACAGGACAGGACAGGACAAGACAGAACAGAACAGGACAGGACGGAAAAGAACAGGACGGGACAGAACAGAACAGGACAGGACAGGACAGGACAAGACAGAACAGAACAGGACAGGACAGGACAGGATGGAAAAGAACGGGACAGGACAGGACAGGAAAGGACAGGACAGGACAGAACAGAACAGGACAGGACGGAAAAGAACGGGACAGGACAGAACAGGACAGGACAGGACAGGACAGGACGGGACGGGACGGGACGGACAGGGCAGGGCGGGACGGGACAGAACAGGACAGAACAGGACAGAACAGGACAGAACAGGACAGGACGGAAAAGAATGGCACAGGACAGAATGGGATGGAATGGGACAAGAAGGGACAAATCAGGTCGTGACGTGACGTGACAAACTCAAACAGAACAGGACAGGACAGAGCAGAGCAGAACGAGACTGTAGAGAATGGGACGGGACAGCCAGGACTAGATGGGACCGTAGCAAATGGGACAGAAAAGGACAAAGAAGCAAACATCAACAACGTTCAGGTGCCTGGGCTGATCATTGGTAAATCTTTTTTATATTCACCTTTTTATTAACAGAAACAAATGTAGAAGTCAGTGCTCTTGTTGGTCTGTACAACAGAAACCGCCTGGAGTCAGAATATCTACTGATAGCATATGAAAACATGAAGGTGACGTCATTATCAGCTGATTGAGATCGATGCCTTATAGTCAACAACTGTAAAGATGTGTTTCTTCTGCAGATGATTATCTGCATAACTAACCATGCTATGGTGGTTCACCTAAAGCCTGACATAACAAACCACCACCAATCACCTACAGATGCATGCTGAAACTTTCACTCTTTTAGCAGTTACGCAATGCTTTACATGCAAGAAGACAAGCTATCACCAGCTAGATAGATATCACCAGCTGCATTGTGGTTATTTCAACCTGTTTAGCCTCACATGGTAGAGCGGAAAAGAGGAGAAGTCATACTCCCAAATGCTTTAAATGTCGGATTTCACTAAACCTGAAGCTTTACAAATGTATTTTTATTACATATATTCTGAATCCTTGCTTGACTCCACCACCGAGGCAGTTCCACAGATGATCACTCCATGGACTCCACAGACCAGACTTCAGGGTAAAGATATCTATGCTGGCCCAGATGGACAACATGGAGGAAGATAAGGTCCAAGAGGGGAGAGCCAGACACACACACACACAGACACACAGACACACACACACACACACACACACACACACACACACACACACACACACACACACACACACACACACACACACACACACACACACACACACACACACACACACACACACACCAGTAAAGACAAAAAAGATGGTGGAAGAGAAGATAGATAGATAGATAGATAGATAGATAGATAGATAGATAGATAGATAGATAGATAGATAGATAGATAGATAGATAGATAGATGATAGATAGATAGATAGATAGATAGATAGATAGATAGATAGATAGATAGATAGATAGATAGATAGATAGATAGATAGATAGATAGATAGATAGATAGATAGATAGATAGATAGATAGATAGATAGATAGAAAGATAGATAGATAGATAGATAGATAGGTGTTCTCACCTGAGGCCTGTATGAAGGAGGCTGCCTGTGTGTGCGTTGAGGCCGTGGTCGGGAGGCGGTGTAGTGCCTGAGCGTCTGTCCCTGGGTGGGTAGAGGCTCCATGGGTGAAGCGGAGGATTGGAAGCCAGGGAGGGGACCTTTGCAGCGGGGAAACGGCGCCTCTGGGCCGTGCAGGCCTCTGCAGCCAGCTGCCTCCTCTTTTGGTTCTCGAGAGCAGAAGGAGTAAATGGGGGTGGGACTGGGAGAGGGGTTGAGAGATGCTCCTGTATCTTCTGATGCTGCTCCTGCTGCATCCACTGTTTCCACCTCCCCCTCCGTCCGCCTCCTCCCCCTCTGTACTTGGGGGGAGGGGGCCAAGGAAGTACAGGAGGAAGGGGAGGGACAAGAGGCTGTCAGTGGTAGAGTGGTTGCTGTTGGTAACTGTGAGAGGACACACCTTCCTTTTCTGTCATCATCTGCAGGAGCTCCTCCCCCGTCTCCCTCTCTCCTGTCCTTGGTTTGTGATACACAGTCTGCATTCAAGAGACCTGAAACAGAGACACACAATGAGGACATGCACCTTATTCTGTGTGTGAGGTTAGTGAGTAGTCCCTTCTCCACCGTGTAGACCACACACCAACCTGCCAGCTTGGTATGGTTGAATAGAAACCAAAACTCTAAATGTTCTGAAGCGTGTTTCAGTGCTGCTACAACACCCCCCCACCCCCCCACCCCCCCACCCCACCACCACTACCACCACCAAGCTCAGCCATGTGGATGATGTGGTCCTGGGAGCATCATACACTGTGACTCTTCCTGCTGGGGAGGTGCGCAGCCACATAGCTGTGAAGGGGTTTTGTTTCTGGTGACATGTGATGAGGTTTAGGGTGAATGCGGTCTAGGTATGAATCTCAGGCTCTGTGATCTTAAGCTTTGGTTTGTTTAGTGATCAACATCTAAACATAAATAAACATAAACAAACATTTTTAAATCAGTAGAGTAGGGTGCAGAAATGAAACTTTAAACCGAGTCCAGCTTCAGAGAGAGAACAGATGGTGATAAATGTTTCTTACTTTTGATGGAAGTGGCAGGCCTCAGGCTTTTGGACAGAAGGCCTTTCCTCCAGAACGCTGGAGTGTACTGAAGTTGGAAAGACAAGAGTTATAAAAGAAGAACCATAATGCACCATCAGGATCTGACTGGCTGTGAGCTCTCTGTGCCTCTTACATCATCAGTTGGGAAGTCCCCATCCATCAGTCGGAGCTCTGGGATTATGGTTCTTTGAGTGTTGAAGGGATTTTCTTTAAGGAGGTTGTCCTAAATAACAAGTGGAGGAAAAATAAACACGACACTTGCAACACGGATAAAGTGTGATTATTCAAACAGCATATTGATCTAGTTGATGAGATAAAACAAACATCCATGCTCTGTAATTAATTTGATCTAAGAAAGTAAATAAATAAATAAACAACAACAACAAAACCTTCCATCTAAAACAATGCTGACCTTTGAGGTTCTGGTAAAGCACTGGTCAACGTTCTAGACCCTACACCTCACTGAAACGTGCACTGAACTTAAATGAGAAAATCGGCCATCTAAAAAGAAAAATCCTGAAATGTTTAAGTCAAAAAGTAGACATTATTACTTTACATAAGTACTACATCATTTTAAAAATGCAGGTTGTTTGCACACAGACCGTAAAATGATTAAATGACAATAAAACACACACTAAGAAAAAATAATTATGTCCAATTTTAATATTTATTTACATTCGTTTATTATTTGTGTTCCACCAAATGTTTAAAAGGAGCAAAGAAGAAACAATGCATTGTTTTCTCCTCATCGTGGACTCCATAGCAACACTAAAGACACGCTTCACTGAGAATCAGTTTGCTTGATAAAATTTGGTTTATTATTAATTTGGGCAGGAATGGACCATACGGCTTAAAATCTACATACAATACATTATTTACTTCTACTTGTTTATGTCAAAAGCTGTTTCACATTCTCACATATCAGAAGAATGTCAGCAGAACAAATGTTTATTACAATTACTGAAGAAGATTTAACATTGAAAATTTATTTGAAAAATAGAAAACCTTTCAAGGAGATTTTATGTTGCGTTATGATTCATTCTTCAAACAAAGCAACACAAAGATGATGATATTTAAATCAATTTGAAGCTAAATGTGGTGAAAACACAAAATTATAAATAGTTTGAACTGCAGTGAAAACTGTAAAAACAGGAATAAAATTTCTTATTTCTGATTTATTTAATCACGTTTCAAGATTTTCATTTCCTCATAGAAGTTAAGTTTTGCTTCACTAGTGAATAACTTCAGGTAAAATGATGCTTTGCTTCATTTATGTAAAACATTAAAATAAGGTTGGAGGTTTACTTTTTCCTCTGTTGCTGGCGACACTTAGATCAGTGGGTTTGGGGTTATTAGAGGTCAGACCGTGGTGTGCACCAACAGCACAGAGAGAGAGACAGGGAGAGAGACAGGGAGAGAGACAGGGAGAGAGAGAGAGAGAGAGAGAGAGAGAGAGAGAGAGAGAGAGAGAAAGAGAGAGAGAGACAGAGACAGAGACAGAGAGAGAGACATAGAGACATAGAGAGAGAGACATAATTACTGATCCCATATATTATTAGCATTTTGTTGTATTTATTTATTTTTTCTAATTTTTGCTTATCATTTATTTTTTCTTGTACCAAGAACCGCAGCAATTTCCTACCGTGGAGATTCTCGCACATACGGCAGTAAAACCTTTCTGATTCTGATTAAAATATCAAGTTTCCTCCAGTGATGTAGTCACAGACCATGAGGGGTATGCCCCTGGTTGGGAATCCCTGCTTTACATGATTAATAAATACTAACGCATTCAAAATGTAAAGAAACATATTTAGTGAGTCCTGTTACCGGACACCTACAGAAATATGTAAAACTTCTAAACGGAAACCCTAAAGCTTTCTTCCCACAAAATTAAACCGCTAACAATGCAAATGAAAACATCCCTACTACCATTTTGTCCTGCATGGTGCTCAGGTCCTGCAGTAACTGCTCCACGATGCTTTCAGCCAGAGTCACTGTCAGAGTCTGTCTCATATCTCTGGGTGGAGAAAAGTGATGAAGACAACGTTGTGATGAAAGGAGCATGCAGGTGTAGCTACACGACTACACAATGAGCTTTAAGAGCTTTTGTTGTAATTACACCAGAGTGGAGGTTAACTCAGAAAAAACTGCTTTCTAGAGACAGTTACAACCACAATAGTTGAATAAAGCTGAATATTTATCAGCCTGGGAGAAATCAGAAGTCAGTTGGTGGCTGAGAAAAGTTGCTTTGATCCTGCTCTAACAGGAAGTGTTAATCCCAGTGTTAATCCACCAGAAGCACCAACAATAAGGTAAATAGATGTTATATTTACCTGAGTCTGGCGCTGATGATCCCCCCTGTGGCTCCTACCAGTGTGCTCCTCAGGAATATTTGTGCCTGCCTGCTTGTTCTGGACACACACTCAGACAGGGACTTGTAGACACCGGACCCTTGGGCCGCCCGTGGACACACTTCTGCTGCGTGTCTCATCTGCTCCTGACATAGTTCCTAAAACAATCTGACAGTGAGTGAAGATCCAGAATGACACAGGACAACCCCTAAACCTGCATTTCCTCCACCAGTTTTGTGCTGTTGTACTGTGACACCCATACAACTAAACCAGGAGCAACATTTGCTGTAGCTCGCTGGTGTGATCTGGCTTCTGTGATACAGAGTGTGGCTGATGGGTACCTGTAAGTTGTTTGTGACCTCCTGAGTTAGTGCAGCAGCAGTTTCAGACAGAATGTTGTTCAGCCAGTCCTCGTTGGAGGTACATTTCCTGCTTTCCTCATACAAAGACGCCAGCAGCTGCACAAGTACAACCCCAAAGACAAACATCAAGGTACACATGAGACCTTCTGCTCAAACTAATCTGAACAGACGTAGTGGTAGATGGGGGTTGAGCGGCCCCATAAACCTGAGAGCTGTATTGTCAGGACATGGGTCACCGGTGGGGTTTCCCAGGCTACACTGGTCCCATCGGCACGGCAGTGCGAGTGATTATAAAACCATTATGATCATTTGGGATAGGGAGACTTGAGGTCATATGTAATCCAACACTAACAGGTCACAAGCCAGTCATTCCTTGAGCCAAGGCCAAGTCAGGATAAATGCAGAGGTTTATGTCTGGAAGGGCATTGGGTGTAAAACCTAATTCATACTGGGTCCTCGGTCAAGTTAACAATGCCCGCCGCTGGTGCTGCCGACCTGCAGGGTGGAAACTGGACTTGTGTTGGACAACGGAGGAGAGGAGGAAGGCAATAGTGTGTAACTGACTGCAGAGACTAGAACTGCGACAGGTTAAGTTAGCTAGCTAGTCAATATGGTGCAGAAAAGGAACTTGGATGAGACCAGGTGGAAAGGCAGCAAGGCTAGAAGCTCAGAAGAAGGGTTTAAGTCATTCTACCATGTTGTAGATGGAAAGCAACATGGAGTAGGAGTCATGCCAAAGAAGGGGTTTGCTGTGGATAGTACAGAAGTGACCAGAGTGTCAGCTAGGCGGATGCGTCTGATGTTTGAAGTTGAAGGAATAATGATCCTGTCATGAGCTGAACTAGAAGGACCCAGGATGACACCAAACACAGTAAAGCACCTTTAAAAGTCTTCATTAGACGTGGCGTTACCAAAGGAGGGCGAGGCTGGAGACAGAGTCGGAGAGAAGGTGTGGGTAAAAAAAACAAAACAGAACGAGGTGAAGCAGGTAAATGGAGCAGGCTAGAAAAGAGGTCAAAGACAGGCGAGGGTCGTGATAGCAGGCTGAGTCCTAGACAGGGGTCAGGCGTGAAAACAAGGTCTGGAGGCTGTGATCAGGCAAGGTGAAAGGCTGGAAGATCTACTGGCAAAGAGCATTCAATAATCTGGCAGGGAACTGGTGGCTGGCTGGTGAATATATAGCAGTGGAACCAGGTGAGCAGGGTGAGGTGATTGAGTGGAGCAGGTGAAGGATATAAGGGTGCTGATGACAGGGTGAAGGTGTTAGTAATTAAGTGGCTGAGGACTAAATAGAGGAGGCAGCAGAGACAGAGGAAGGTGTAAGCCTGGCAGTCATGACAGATCCATGTTGTAAGTGGATCTGCCCACAGGTAGGATGTGAGCTATAAGAGAAGCAGACATTCTGGAGTGAGCTAGATGATTGGATGCAGTGTGTGACCAGAGTTGAAAGAGTGAGGGTTGGTGCTAAGACTGATGTGATTAGACAGGAGTACAGGGAGATGCAGCGTATGGTGAAGGTAGAGGTGGAACAGGCCAAACCATGGGTGTGTGATGACCTGTGCTCGGTTGGACAGTAAGGACAGGAAGACAACTCTGTACAGGTTGGTGAGGCAGAGATGTATGGGATTAAGTGTATGAATGGAAGTCTACTTACTGGTACCAAGTATGATGTGGTGATATGCTGGTGAAGGCTCTCAGTCATTCAGGTCATGGTAATCAAAAGGGTTCAAATGAAGGCAACTGGACTTTTTTGGTTTCTTGAAGATGTTTTGCTCTTGTTTGAAACCTCTCTTAAACCATCTATCTTCTCTGAGGTTTGCTAAATGCTTGCTTAGTATGAGGATTGCTGTAAAGACTTTGACACTAGTCAGTAACTCGATGTAACCTGTTGGGTTCCTTATAAAAGAAACATTTAGTGATTGGCTTAATGACTTGACCTGTATTGGAATGTTTACAATGTGGTGTCTTGAGACGGCTCTGGTCATGATTTGGTGTTATATAAATAAACTGAATTGAGATAGATAGATAGATAGATAGATAGATAGATAGATAGATAGATAGATAGATAGATAGATAGATAGATAGATAGATAGATAGATAGATAGATAGATAGATAGATAGATAGATAGATAGATAGATAGATAGATAGATAGATAGATAGATAGATAGATAGATAGATAGATAGATAGATAGATAGATAGATAGATAGATAGATAGACGTATGGATGAATGCATGTTTATACAGATCCTTCTCAAAAAATGTGCATATTGTGATAAAGTTCATTATTGTCTGTAATGTACTGATAAACATTAGACTTTCATATATATTAGACTCATTAAACACAACTGAAGTAGTTCAAGCCTTTTATTGTTTCTAATATTGATGATTTTGGCATACAGCTCATGAAAACCCAAAACTCCTATCTCAAATAATTAGAAAATTTCATCCAACCAATAAAAGAAAAGTGTTTTTAATACAAAAAAGTTAACCTTCTAATGATTATGTTCAGTTATGCACTCAATACTTGGTCGGGAATCCTTTTGCAGAAATGACTGCTTCAGTGCGGTGTGGCATGGAGGCAATCAGCCTGTGGCACTGCTGAGGTGTTATGGAGGCCCAGGATGCTTCGATAGCGGCCTTAAGCTCATCCAGAGTGTTGGATCTTGCGTCTCTCAACTTTCTCTTCACAATATCCCACAGATTCTCTATGGGGTTCAGGTCAGGAGAGTTGGCAGGCCAATAGAGCCCAGTAATACCATGGTCAGTAAACCATTTACCAGTGGTTTTGGCACTGAGCAAGTGCCAGGTCGTGCTGAAAAATGAAATCTTCATCTCCTTAAAGCTTTTCAGCAGATGGAAGCATGAAGTGCTCCAAAATCTCCTGATAGCTAGCTGCATTGACCCTGCCCTTGATAAAACACAGTGGACCAACACCAGCAGCTGACATGGCACCCCAGACCATCACTGACTGTGGGTACTTGACACTGGACTTCAGGCATTTTGGCATTTCCCTCTGCTCAGTCTTCCTCCAGACTCTGGCACCTTGATTTCCGAATGACATGCAAAATTAGCTTTCATCTGAAAAAAGTACTTTGGACCACTGAGCAACAGTCCAGTGCTGCTTCTCTGTAGCCCAGGTCAGGTGCTTCTGCCGCTGTTTCTGGTTCAAAAGTGGCTTGACCTGGGGAATGCGGCACCTGTAGCCCATTTCCTGCACACGCCTGTACACGGTGGCTCTGGATGTTTCTACTCCAGACTCAGTCCACTGCTTCAGCAGGTCCCCCAAGGTCTGGAATCGGTCCTTCTCCACAATCTTCCTCAGGGTCCGGCCACCTCTTCTCGTTGTGCAGCGTTTTCTGCCACACTTTTTCCTTCCCACAGACTTCCCGCTGAGGTGCCTTGATACAGCACTCTGGGAACAGCCTATTCGTTCAGAAATTTCTTTCTGTGTCTTACCCTCTTGCTTGAGGGTGTCAATGATGGCCTTCTGGACAGCAGTCAGGTCGGCAGTCTTACCCATGATTGCAGTTTTGAGTAATGAGCCAGGCTGGGAGTTTCTAAAAGCCTCAGGAATCTTTTGCAGGTGTTTAGAGTTAATTAGTTGATTCAGATGATTAGTTTAATAGCTCGTTTAGAGAACCTTTTCATGATATGCTAATTTTTGAGATAGGAGTTTTGGGTTTTCATGAGCTGTACGCCAAAATCATCAATATTAGAAACAATAAAAGGCTTGAACTACTTCAGTTGTGTGTAATGAATCTAATATATGTGAAAGTCTAATGCTTATCAGTACATTACAGACAATAATGAACTTTATCACAATATGCTAATTTTTTTAGAAAGACCTGTATGTATGTATGTATGCATGTATGGCATTGTGATTTTACCTTGAAGGAGTCTCTGGTGTTCTGCAGCACCTCGTGTGCTGTCAGAAGGTCTGACTGGATCATCTGGTTGTTGTAAAGGCTCAGGCGCTGAATGCTGTCCTCCAACTGCTGACACATGCCCTGGACAACCTAAAACAGACACATTTTTAGTAGCAGCAACAATAAAGTTGCTGTGAGTTTAACTGACCAACTACTTACCTTTTCAGATTGTTGACTTTTTAGTGCTTGCTGTATTTCCATCCCGCCAGACCGTCTCTGACCGTTTCTGTCTAAACACTGCTGCATCTGAACACAAACATTCAAAGAGGTGATTCACGCATAAACCTTGTTATTTTTCTTCCAGAATGCAGCCCTGTTTCCTCTGAGTCTACCTTGTGTAGAGCTTCTTCTGTCCGGTTGGGGTTGCTGCGGTAGCTCTGAGTGATATCATTCAGAGGCAGTGATATCTTCTGCATTGTGAAGTTCCTTCAAAACAAACACAGCTACATCAAAATATATTTCATTACAGACTTGACTAGGAACAACCATGGCCCCGGAGGGCCTTTATCTAACATGTTTTAGTTGTTTCCATGCTCCGACACTCTCGATCCAATGGTTGAATCACCTGTTCAGCAGGTCATCGAGCTCTGCAGAAGCCTGTTACAGTTTTTTTACAGACGCTAGGACACATATCATCAACACTTAGGTCACTTTTGCAAAACTCTTCACACAGCGAGCACAACAGAAGTCCATGTGGGCTAAACTGAGGATCAATTATCCTTGTTTTGGTACAACATGCATTCAATGACTACATCTCTAAAATTTCCTGAATTCTTTTCTCACTCAGAAACAACAACTGCTAAAAGTCTTTGTACCAGCAGGACATTTTGCACATGCTTGCTGCTTTCAGAACGGTTAAACCTTTGTTCAAAACAATAACATGATGCAAAACTAAGACTCAACAGCAACATTTCACTGAAATGTATTTTAAACCTACAAATGCAGTTTAAGCAGCCACAGCTGATCCTCCCTGCAGAGGAACGTCTACACAGGTGTTACTCTTCTATTTCATTACAAAGGAGACAGCTGCTGAGTAGGTTTGTGTTGGGATGTAAACATGGAGCCAGCCAGAAACAGAGACGTGGCTGAAAGAGGAGGAAGAGAGGCTGGGAATAAGCATGGATGCCTGGACACATCAGTCTGTTGTGTTTGTATGAGAGGATGGTGCTTAAACAAAGTCTCGTGTTTTGGAATTAGCAAAAACATAACAATAGTCTAAGGAGCTTGAAAGAAAAGCGTCTGGACTTCTTTAGGTTGCTTGAAGACGTTTCACCTCTCATCCGAGAGGCTGTAGAAGATCATCAGGGGGACTTTTGTTCCCTTTTCGGGGGGGAACTCCCACTGGGTTTAAATCTGGGACTCTCCACCATTTGACCTTAGAACTGAAGAAGCCTCTCGGATGAGAGGTGAAACGTCTTCAAGCAACCTAAAGAAGTCCAGACGCTTTTCTTTCAAGCTCCTTATACTACAATGACCTGGATGACTGAGAACCTTCACAGACAAAAACATAACAATAAATAAACAATATAAAATACTGAAGAATTCTGCATCATGTCTGATTCATTCCAGTAACATATGTTGCAGCTATGAACATGACAAGCTCTCACCCACATGTCAGATACTTGTTCTAAACTCTTAACACAGATTCACTCCTACATGACACAGTTGGCCAAATGGAAAATTTTCTTGTCAAAAACACATTTTGGTATGGATACACTAACTCTTTCTCTGCACACACTACCTTTACCCAAACACTGGACATCTGACTCAAAGTGAAATTATTCTGTCTAAAAGCAGAACTTGTTTTTACTTCACAAGATACGTTCAGTCAATCAAAGTACATCAGGTTTCAAAATACTGGCGATTGATGACAAAAACCGCGTAGTTTAATGTTTCAGTTTTAGAGATATTTGGATGGAAAACATGCAATCCGCCGCTGTTACACTACATTTCTCGGCTGTGAACTGTAAGTCCACATGTGCACATTTCAAAGCAATCCAGTAAAAAGTAAATCCTGTTTCTCCTTTACTGTTTATTTCAGGAGGTACAGCAGAAATCATGTTTACAGTACGACAGAACAGAAGCGGTTTTACAGTGTTGCTTGTAGTGAACAAAATATCAACGAAACAAACGAGAGCATTCTGAACAATAAAACAGCAAAAACCAGATAAAAAGGAGGCAACTACAAAACTCACAAATTACTGTTTAATCTCTGTGATCTTCAGGGTTAGGCCACATGTTTTCATCAACCTCACAGCTGACATCATCCAAAGCCATGCACCTGGGATAAAACCGCTTGCTATGTCGGATCCATCCTTGGCCATCATCAACTGTGATGTCCCTGCAGCCAGCATCCAGGAGGGACATGTGGTCATGTGGCTGACGGTCGTAAACCTTCCACCTCCATGCAGAAAAGGAAGTCCACTATGTCTGGACATATGGTCATAGTAGCTCCATGACTCTGTCACCGTTCCTCTCAAAAGGAACAGTGTAGAGCTGCTTCATCCACACTGTGTTTGGACAATGTCCGTGTAATGGTTGTGAAGCTGATGCCATCAGTATTGTCAGATATCTCATGGCCCTCCACTATTCTAGTCCTAGTCTGAATTTCATGCAGTTTTATTGCATTATTTGCAACAAGCATTCCCACAATGGCAAGCTCTTGATCATTACTGAGGAGCTTTCCATTTCCCTCAGAGGCTGGAAGACATAGCATTCTTTAGAGGGAAAAATGCATTGCTGTATGGTCTTATTTATACTGCAGGTGACTCATACTCTTCCTCGTCCAGACATCGCAGTGTTTGTCTTTTCTGTTTCTGTTTCCAAAAACATGACACCTCAAAGCCCTCCTTTTATTTTAGTGTCATTGTAATAGAAACAACAACATCTGCCCATGAGCCTAAGCCTGAATGTAATCAGCTGAGGTAGGCCCAATTTACCCGACATACATCAGCTGTGTGTAAATTATTCAATTGTTTGTTTATTATCAACTGAGATATGTTGTTCTTGAACTCATCATCGCAGAAGCAGAGGTTTTTATACTGCAACTAAGGTTAGGACTATTGTTTTTGCTATTATGGGATGTTGTGTGTTCCATTCGCAAATACTACAAAAACAATCCATAATTTTGTTGGGAGGAATAGCTTCTCCATTGAGACAACATAAACATTATGAAAATCTGTTGACTGAAAGCAATCAATTCAATTCAGATACTTTATTAATCCCAGAGGGAAACTAGAGTTTCAGTACACTCAATTCAGAGATCAGACATGCATACATAGGCATAGACACATGACAAGGTGACTGTGGTCATTCGCAACCCTGAGCCGCGCTACCTTAATAGAGATAAGAGGGTTACATGAGGATTGGTTCAGGTGGAGGGAAAAAAAGGCACTTCAGAGTTACCCTCCACAGGGAGGGCAGCTTTGCGCTGCAAAAAATAAAAAATAAATTTTTATGTGAAAACATGAAATGTGTGAATTGTATGGCCACAAAACACCGATGTTGTGCTACTTGTATTTAGAGTTTTGGAAATGGGACAACTGGTTGGACAAACACTTGTTAGCGACTGAAAAAAACTGTAGAAACAGACGTGTCCTTGTTCTACACAAGAAAACACTGTAATGCTACATGTTATTGGTGTTTTTTAGGTTGTTATGTTGTGGGCGACAAAGTGAGTTTGTCGGTTGTCAACCTTTGTTAGTATTCTGGAAGAAAGAGTTTATTTGAGACCTGAATGAAGAGTATTGGTAGTTGGAGTGCCTTTTGAATAAGAAATGACTGCTTTACCAAGCTTAAAGTCAGTTAGGAGAATTGTGTGAAGAGTTTTGAAGAAGTGGCTTAAGAATTGAGAAAAAAAAACGGTAGTCTCTGACTGACTCAAATCAGGTGTTGTAAAAGCAGGAAAACCTGTAACGTACGCAGGATGGAGGCCCTAAAGGACCACCAGGCTTGACCAGAGAAAGAGAAGAACCCAGACACACAGTAAAACAGGAGAACTCTGAAGGACAGGGGAGGCTTTGGGGCAGGGGAATGCTCATGTCTAACACAGATAAGGCTGGTTGATCTAAAGTAGCAAAAACAGCTCCAGAGAAGCAGCAGGGGGAGCAGCAGGGGGAGGTATATTTATGGTATCTTACACCTTCAGACAAAAAAACACCAACACCCCTCTGAAGATGGAGGGGAGGTGGTGTACAAACCAGCTCACATTTTAAAGGTATCCACAATCTGAAGTGAGTGCATGTGCGAATGTGTGTGTGTGTGTGTGTGTGTGTGTGTGTGTGTGTGTGAGTGCATGTGTGAGCGTGTGTGTGTCTGTGTGAGTGTGTGTGTGTCTGTGTGTGTGTGTGCGCGTATGACTGTGTGTGTGTGCGCGTATGACTGTGTGTGTGTGTGTGAGTGCATGTGCGAGTGTGTGTGTATGTGTGTGTGTGTGTGTGTGTAAGAGCATTTGCGTCCGTGTGTGTGTGTGTGACTGCATGTTCAAGTGCGAGCGTGTGTGTGTGTGTGTGTGAGTGCATGTGCGAGAGTGTGTATGTGTGTGTGTGTGTGCATGTGCGAGCGTGTGTGTGTCTGTGTAAGTGCATGTTTGAGTGTGTGTGTGTATGTGTGAGTGTGTGTGGGTGTGAGTGCGCGTGCGTGTGTGTGTGTGTGTGTGTGTGTGTGTGTGTGTGTGTGCGCGCGCGTGTGCGAGCGTGTGTGTGTGTCTGTGTGAGTGCATGTTCGAGTGTGTGCATACGACTGTGTGTGTGTGTGTGTGTGTGTGCATGTTCGAGTGTGTGCATACGACTGTGTGTGTGTGTGTGTGTGTGTGAGAGTGCATGTTCGAGTGTGTGCATGCGACTGTGTGTGTGTGTGTGTGTGTGTGTGTGTGTGTGAGTGCATGATCAAGTGTGTGTGTGTGTGTCTGTGTGTGCTTATGACTGTGTGTGTGTCTGTGTGAGTGCGTGTGCGAACGTGTGTGTGTGTGTGTGAGACTGCATGATCAAGTTTTGTGTGTGTCTGTGTGTGTGCGTGCTTATGACTGTGTGTGTCTGTGTGAGTGCGTGTGCGAACGTGTGTGTGTGTGTGTGTGTGTGTGTGTGTGTGTGTGTGTGTGTGTGTGTGTGTGTGTGTGTGTGTGTGTGTGTGTGCATGTGCGAGCATGTGTGTGTGTGTGTGTGTGTGTGTGTGTGTGTAACCTTTCCAAAGCGTCTGCCACGTCCTGGAAACCCCTCCAAGTTACGTTATTTCTGTCCCAGGATAAAGACCTAGAAAGAGAACAAATTAAAAAAATACACGTTCAAGATAAAAGAAACCCGTTTCAATGCTTTGAGATTAAAATCCAGAAGTGACAAATCCAGATTATCAACCTGTGTACATGTGTATCTGATATATTCCGCTCTGTTTCTGACTATCAACTAACACTGAACAGGCCAAAACTTTGCTGGAGGAAGTGTGGGCATAAACCTCTGGGCATCACCCTATGTTCAGGAAATGCCCAGAGATTGCTCCAAACTGGTCAGAAGGTGTCAGGAACATCAACAATGCAATGGGACTGCAGTTGGAGGAGACATTTTCCATGTTTTACCTTGAAAACCTACCAGCTGAGATTGCAAAAGAAGAGCGATATCTCCTTCAGATCTCACAAGCATCCAGCAAAAAAGCCATTACAGACCCTCCTACCTGTCCTCAATGGATGGAAACAACTAATGAAGTGCACACAATGGAGAAAAGGACATTTTCACTAAGATACGCTTCATAGGGAGGGAGGCAATATTGGAGGAAATGGAAGACATAGCCTGAATGGTGACATCTACATACAACATAAAGGATAATCTTGGGCCCTATTCATTAGTTTTGATGTTTTACCAGAAACACTTTTTTCTTAGTTGTGGTTAATTATTTTCTATCTTCAGCTGTAGAAATGTAAACATATAAAACTGAAAATAACATTTTTGGCTCTTCTTTAGGGAATGCCTAGTTCATGGTTCGTTCCAGCTCTGTCTGCTGTCAGAAGCCCCAGAGTGGTTCTGGGTTAAGCTGTGGGTACGCTGGTGCCTCACCATGTCTCCCTCAGACCCAGAGTAGCTCAGAGCACAGCTGACCTAAAGCAGCTGATGGGCCAGCAAATCTTCTGCGTTTCACTCAAACTCCAGATATCCTCTTAGTTGAGTGGCCCCGAGGCTGGAGCAGATTTATTAACACATCTGCAGTTCTGAGAGGAAAAGGCACACCCTGGGCTGTAATGATCCCAAAAGCCTGTGTGTCCAACACCTCTTCTAGGTGAGGGTGTGTGTTTCATTTGGGTGTGTACCTCAGGCTGGTGTTAGTCATCAGGGCTTTGGCCAGCATTTTGGCTCCAGTGTCTCCAATGTTGTTTCCACTGATGTCAAGTTCAGCCAGAGCAGCATGCCCCCCCAGAGCGCTCAGCAGGATGTGCATCCCTGCCTTCAGCTTGGAGTCACACACTGAAAGAGACTGCAGGGTCTACACACACACACACACACCCACACACACACACACACACACACACACCCACACACACACACACACACACACACACCCACACACACACACACACACACCCACACACACACACACACACACACACACCCACACACACACACACACACACACACACACACACACACACACACACACACACACACACACACACACACACACACACACACACACACACACACACACTGTTCTTACAGGTTTGTTCATGAAAAAAACAGCTCTGTGTTTCTTTGTGAAGGTCCCACCAAACCAGCCTGAGCAGGTGAGTCTTCAGCTGCTTTTTAAAGGAGTCCACTGAGTCCACTGATCTCAGGCTCAGGGGGAGAGAGTTCCAGAGTCTGGGGGCCACAGCAGCAAATGATCTGTCACCTTTGGTCTTTAGCCTGGTGCTGCACAACCAGTAGGCTTTGATCACTGGACCTCAGGGACCTGCTGGGGGTGTAGGGACTAAGAAGATCACCAATGTAGGATGGTGCTTGTCCATGTAAGGCCCTATAGACCAGAACCAGGATCTTGAAATGAACCCTGAAGTTGACTGGCAGCCAGTGAAGCTGGAGGAGAAGCGGGGTGATGTGGGTGTGTTTGGAGGACTTGGTCAGAAGCCAAGCACAGGCATTCTGAACCACCTGTAGACGGTTCAGGGAGGTTCTGCTCAGACACGTGAAAAGAGAGTTACAGTAGTCTAAGCGTGAGGAGATGAAGGTGTGGAGAACAGTCTCAAGTTCAGAGCGGGACAGAATGGGACTCAGCTTAGCAATGTTCCTGAGATGGAAGAAGGAAGAGCAAACAAGAGAACTGACATGAGAATCCAGGGTGAGAGCTGGGTCAAAGGTCACGCCAAGATTCCTGACGGAGGGTTCAGTGTGAGAAGCAAGCTGACCAATAGATTGAGATCGTGGACACAAGTGGCTGAAATGAGTTTTATCCTCAGGGTGTCTGGGCTCTCCCTTAGAGATAGGGTGTTAAGCTTGATTATTCGAGAAGGGCTCGGAGTCGACATGCTGCTCCTCAACATCAAGAGGAGCCAGTTGAGGTGGCTCGGGCATCTAGTTAGGATGCCTCCTGTTGAGGTTTTCCGGGCACATCCAAGAAGACCTAAAGGAAGACCCAGGGCATGCTGGAGGAACTATATCTCTCAGATGGCAAGGGAATGCCTTAGGATTCCCCGAAGGAGCTGGCCCAAGTGGCTGGGGAGAGGGGAGTCTGGGCCTCCCTGCTTAGGCTGCTGCCCCCATGACTCAACCCCGGATAAGTGGACAAAAATGAACAGATGAAGCAAGCTGACCAAGAGAGTCTCTGACTTTGGGAACCAGCTTGTTTGGGGCACAGATGAGGATCTCAGTCTTATCTTCATTCAGCTGTAGAAAGCTCCCAGCCATCCAGGTTTTAATAGATTCTAAGCAGGTGTGTAACAGCTGCAGCTTAGACATCTCATGGGGCTTAAAGGAGATGTACAGTTGGATGTCATCTGCGTAAAGATGGTAGGAGATTCCTTTGAAGGAGCCCAGGATGTGCTGAAGAGGAAGCAGATAGAGGAGGAAGAGCAGAGGCCCCAGCACTGAACCTTGTGGGACACCATGGGTAAGAGAGGTGGTGGAGGACCTAAAGTTGGAGACGGCCACAGAAAACAAACGCTCAGACATATAAGAGGAAAACCACTCCAGAGCAGTTCCTGATAGTCCTACCCAGTCTGTCAGCCTCTCCAGTAGCAGGTGATGGTCAACAGTGTCAAAGGCTGCAGTCAGGTCCAGCAGGACCAGAACAGAACAGTTCCCTGCATCACTGTGAGTCAGAAGGTCATTAGAAACCCTAAGAAGAGCTGTTTCAGTAGAATGAGCTCTACGAAAACCTGACTGGAAGCTATCATAGATGTTATGTTCATCAAGAGCAGCTGTGAGTTGTTTAGCCACAACCTTTTCCAAGATCTTGGAGATGAACGGAAGTTTAGAGATAGAGAGGGGTCAAGACTCACTGGGACCGATGGACTGAAAAGCACTTTTAAACAAAGATGAGGGTAAGATGTGGAGGGGGCATGCAGAGGTCTTCATAGAGTTAACTAGTTTGGTTAACTCAGGCAAAGAAACAGGAGCAAAGCTATCTAGGATGATGGGCCTGGTTGGAGTCGGGAGAGGCAGCGATAAGGCTGAAGGAGAGATGCTAGATCTAACCTTATTGACTTTGTCCACAAAGAAAGACAGAAAGTTCTCACAGTCTGCAACAGAGTGGATGGAGGCTGTAGGAGAGGCAGGAGACACGATGCTGCTGATGGTGTTAAACAGCACCTTGGGGTTCCCTTTGCTCTGGGACACCAGGTTGGAGAAATAGGAACCCCTAGCGTCTCTGACTGCAGAGTTAAAGGATGTCAGAAGATCCTTTAGGTGCAGCAGATGGACGTGGAGATGGATTTTCTTCCACAAACGCTCAATTTTTCTGCTAGACAGCGATGACGCCGGTTTCACACTGGAAGCATCAGCGGGGCAAAATGGCAGGAGAACAGTTTACTCACGAACATCAAAGCGGTCCTTTTCACACCGGGAGAGTGTTGGCAGCGGCACGGCTTCCTCGCCGTGCTCCTCACTGCTCGTGAGATCACAAGATCCCTCGAGGCTTCAGGTCACGGTTTGTTTATGCATTCCACCATTAAACCAAAAAGAAGAAAATCACATTTTATATCACGGCTTGATGATGTCGTTCCTCTCCGCTGCCAGGATTAAAGCCGTGAAAAACATACCGCTGCTCTTCTGGAACAATGCTGTGAGTAAATAAGCCGTTGGGTCACACGTAAGCTTCATATATGTGAAATTGCATCGCTGCAGTACTTTTATTTTGAAAATTATCAGGGATTTTACACTGAAACAGTGTGTGATTTCCTGTCTAGCCCTATGTTAACTGCGGAAATTGACGTGTCCCAGAAGCGGCTCACGGCAAAAATAGAACCTGATCTTCAGCTTCTGGGACGCGCCTGGAAATGGCCTCGTGGCTGCTGGTTTGAAAAGATCCGTAGACTATAATGAAGCGGTGACGTTTCGCTGCTGTTCCGCGCCGCTGATGCTTTCAGGGTGAAACCGGGGTTAGAGCTCTTGGTTTTCTCTCCTTTTTAGATGCAATTCATTTCCAGTACGAGAAATTAGTTAGCAAAATGTCTTTGGATCATAAGACTGCCAACACAATGTACGTTTGCAAAGTCAAATACGATGTTCCATATCAGCCCGTTTACCTGCATGCTTCTGTTTTAGTTTGCTGTTTCTGCCATATCAGCCTTCTATTTTCACAATCCAAGTTATTTCATTTACGGTTTCTATGGAGTGGAAACTGTCTCCATCACTTTCAGAATATAACTGTATCTAGAAAGTATTTTTTCTACACAAATTCACAAATAAATAAAGTCAGAAACATGACAAACATCAGGGTTTCGTGTTTATGTGGATGCATTTTAACTAAATGTAACATTACAATAGAGTTTTTACTAGTTTGTCACAAACACTTAATTCTGCTACTGTGGTGAAAACATTTTATACAACATTTCTAACCAATACTGACAGAATATTTTTACTAATCTGATCTGACCAGTTTGTAACTGGATTAGAATTGTATTCGATTGACGTGGATTGCTGTTATTGCTGTTAGGAGAGCAGAGGTTTCCTTCTGTGTGGATCGCTGTGGCAGATGTGGTTAACTGGCCCCTCAGACAGACATAAATGTGTTTTAGAGATACTGTGTTCTTGCTGAAACGAGAGGCTTCTGTGGATGTCTGACAAAATAAAACAAATGAAGTAATACTGTGGCACTCACGCATTCTTCATCCTGAATGAGCTGGGCTATGCGGTGAAGAAGGTCGGTGAGAGCTCTGTTCAAAGAAAAAACGGGGAAAATACTCATGAAACTGACTTTTTTCCATTTCACCACAACAGAGTTACAATATTAAACAATAAATACCTCTGGGTAGGTGGATTGATTACACCCCAAAAAGTCAACTAAGGCATTTGTGTGATTGGTTTAATAGACATTTGTCTATTTAACATGAACATTTTGTGTTTAAGTTGTGAAATCATTGTCACTTGTTGGTTTAACATAAAATAACAAAACGTTTAATGAAGTAGACTGGCATTCTTCAGTCCAATGAAGTGTAATTACTTTGAATCAACAACTCAAACTGATATCTAGTGCGCATGCTCAAACTTCCCGGAAGTTAAGAAGTGGGAAAACGGACCAAGTTTTGTGCCAACTGGCACCGTCTAATACCTGGTTTCTAATGCGCTCCGGCTGTTCGTGTCATTCTTTGCATTACCACTTTATTGCTTTTCATTTTTTTCTAGTTAACCCAGTTCTGTAGTTGTGTCTTTTTGGTCCGCTGTGTTGTATCCATTCGCCATGCAGCGGTGGCTTACAGTGGTGCTTTGTCATAATGTAGTCCCAAGTCTAAACAGGCTCCTGGACATCCGTCCTATTACGTCTTTTCATTTGCAGTCAATATGGTTATTGAACTCAGCAGGAATAATTGGTATCATTATTGAGTAATGTTGATCACTTTTGCATGGAAAATGCTGCTTTCTTCTATTCACTTCCATTGTTTATGCTAAGCTAAAGCAGATGGACTGCTGCCAAACCAGGAGAATTGCTGCGCTGGTTACAAAATGCTTTTTTCTCATTTATCTAACTGGGAAATATGGAAATGGACAAAATTTCACTTGGGGTGGAATATTCCCATAACTGTAAAAATCTCATGCAAACTGTGATGTAGCCTCAAATGCAAATTGTTCAAATTTTGAAATTAGTGACAAGACACTTGATATTGAGAAAAGCATGTCCTGAATACCAAACAAGTCATCTTGTTTTTTCATCACTATGCTCATCAGTATTTAAATTGAAATGTTTATGAACTTTGTTTGAGCTCTTTAGTTCTAACTCTTCTATAACTCTATTTTACCAGCTGAACAATGCCAACTCTTTTGTGTTTTTCCTCTAGTATCTATGAAATACTAAGATTCTACTGACATGAGATGTCTATTGTAGTATTTATGCACTGGACTACTTTAGTGGTGTGTAATTTTCTATTGATTACTTTGACTACTTAGATTTTATGAACAGCATAGAAAAAGTTATTCAAACAAAATTTGTTTAAACAATTTCTTAACTTTTATTTTGTTCTATATTTTTTCACATAGGATACGAACAGCGATGCAAACAGCTGCATGGAGCAAACCGTGATGGGGGTGTTTGTCATCCAGAAGGAGGGTGTTGAACCTGAAGATGACCCAGAGGACATTGGTGTCCTGATTGAGGGTGTGGAGACTCTCACTGGTGTGGGTAACATTGCACAAGCATGTGCTCTGTTGTTTGGACTCATATACTGTTTGAACCTGAGCTACCCACCAGAACTTAAATGCACATTTGAGGTCTTCCAGAAGATACTTCTAAACCTTGATGGACAAAAGCTCTCTTCAAAGGCACGGTTTCTGAGAAACCAGCTTAAGGGGTGGGTACACTTTAAAATGACAGAAGGTTTTGAATGGTTCATTGGTGCAATGGTGATTTCCAGTGTTAAAGATTAATATTTTGAGTTGAATAGGGTTACACTATTTATCTTATTTCATTAAACTTTTTTTTTATTTTTGTAGATTTTGGATTCTCTTTGTTGGGCCTTTATGTGTAGCACCGCAGAAGATTTGTATCTGTCACATGGATCGCTCCAAATGGATCAGAAGTACAGACATGTTTTCTTCTGTTATTTTTTCTGTTGGGTTTGTAGTTTAGGTTCTAATTCACACACACTGCTGTCATGTGTTGAACTGCCAATGGTAAAAGGGTGACATCCTAGGAGTGCTTAAGAGTCCCCCTCTTATTTTATTTTCTTCCAAATGCTTTTAGTTTTTTTTTTTTTTGAGGGCCGCTTGCATAACACAAATATAGTTGGACTTCAGTTCATGTTTGTGTAAAGGCGTATCTTTGCTTGAGCACTTAAAAGAGCGTTCGGGTGTACTGGCATGTTCAGTTTGTAGAACAAAGTCTACATTTCACACACATTTAATTGAGGGGATTCCTCCAAGAAGTGTTATTTGCTGGTTTTTAATGCATCCCCTTTGCTTACTGGCATGTTTTAAAAAACAGAAAAGCTTTGGAGGACTGAAACCAGAATGACAATAAAGACATATAAAAATGGCTCAATAACTTAATTATTAAAATTAGACGCACCAAAAACTGTAGATTTTGATAGAATGTGAAAGAAATATTTGTCAACTGTATTTAATTCTATTTTAAGCCCTCTATTTTTTTAGTTTTACTTCCTAAAACTTATTGTAGTTTTTAACTCCTTGTACTTATTTTCTATGCATTATGAATCTTTTCCCCTCATTTTTCTTTTGATGTATTGCCCCTGAATTATTTTTATACTTTTGATACTTTTTTTTCTTTTTCTAATTATTACAATTGCCATTTGTTATCTTGCCAAAAGGGAAATTTTAGTTTTAAATTTTATTACATTTGGGGCGACAGTGGCACAGGAGTTAAGTGCTCGCCCCGTAATCGGAAGGTTGTAGGTTCGAGCCCCGCTCAGTCTGTCGCTGTTGTTGTGTCCTTGGGCAAGACACTTAACCCACGTTGCCTGCTGGTGGTGGTCGGAGGGACCGGTGGCGCCAGTGCTCGGCAGCCTCGCCTCTGTCAGTGCGCCCCAGGGCAGCTGTGGCTACATTGTAGCTCATCCCCACCAGCGTGTGAATGGGTGAATGACTGAGTGTGTTGTAAAGCACCTTGGGGGGTTCCATGACTCTAGAAGGCGCTATATCAAATACAGGCCATTTACCATTTAGTTTATAGAGCAGTTTTTACATCAGTTTTTAGTTGTAGCAGTTTTGGTTTCACTGTCTGATTCGCATATTTATGACGTCATTTCCTGTTTAAATAACAGTTTTCTAGTGTTTGTTTACCTTTGAAGTTATGCTTGCAGAAGATGTACAAAACTGGTACGCTTTTATATTGTCTTCTAAATCCAGTTAATAAAGTTAATGTCATCATAATCTAATTGATTTTTATTGTAAAAGAGTGGGTTCTAAATAACGTGTAACAAATGAAAACAAATCTAATTGAAATAAATAGATTGATATGAGAAAAATCACCAACCCCCATATTGGTTCATTAAGCAAGACTAACAGTAATTACCTTGATTAACAAGGTAGTTGTTCAAACAACAAGATTTAATTGTTTTTTGCTGAAGTTTTTAACTTGTGTTGAATGAATTAAAAAAAATTCATTCTACATACTTAAATAAATCATTTTGGTTCAATGTCAGGCAGGATACAACGTTGTAATCTGATTAAATTAAACCACCCAATTCCAGTTGTGTTGGTTTGACATGATCAAAAACGGGTTATTGTACTTGGTTAAATTATGTGGAAATAGGTGCCATGATTAGATTGTGTTCATCCAACCATGGACGTAATTTTGGAGGGGACGGGGGTACATGCCCCCCCCACTTTTTCCAAAGTCAAGTTTTGACCCCTGCACGTTTTACCATCCCAAAACAATATTACGCTATATTAAATTGACACTGGTTGAGCTCTAGGACCAAGCGGAAAACAACCATTTGTGTTGAAGCCTGTTTCCCATTAGAGCATAGATACCCCCCCTTCTAAAGTGAAAATTACGTCCATGCATCCAACTACTGATTTCCAAACACACCCACATCACCCCGCTTCTCCTCCAGCTTCACTGGCTGCCAGTCAACTTCAGGGTTCATTTCAAGATCCTGGTTCTGGTCTATAGGGCCTTACATGGACAAGCACCATCTTACATTGGTGATCTTCTTAGTCCCTACACCTCCAGCAGGTCCCTGAGGTCCAGTGATCAAAGCCTACTGGTTGTGCAGCACCAGACTAAAGGTCAAAGGTGACAGATCATTTGCTGCTGTGGCCCCCAGACTCTGGAACTCTCTCCCCCTGAGCCTGAGATCAGTGGACTCAGTGGTCTCCTTTAAAAAGCAGCTGAAGACTCACTTGTTCAAGCTGCCTTTTGTATGACCTTCTTCACCACTCTCTCTTTATTCTGCTCTCCCCACCTATTCCACCTTCCTCAGGATCCACTGATTTCCCTCTTTCCTGTTCTCTCTCTCTTTCTTAACATTTTTTAATCACAATTTGTCTATTTCTGCTCATTTTAAATATATTTTTAATCACTTTCTAATTTCTTTTTATATTTTTACAGTTTTTGTTTTTGTGAAGCACCTCATGATTTTTATCTTGAGAGGCGCCATAGAAATGATATTTTCTTCTTCTTCTTCTTTAGAGTCAGGAAAAGTCAGCTGTCCAAAACAATCTACTCATGCTGCACACATTTACTTTGCCTTTTAAACTTTACAATGAACCTTATTCCCGCTGCTCAGGGAAAACCAGTAAACCGATGCCAGCCCACCCCACAGAGTAAATGAAGCTGTGTGTGATTTTCATCTGACCTGGACTTCATGGCAAAATTTCTTCCTATAGCGAGGCGGTGAAGTGACCGACACCGAGCCATGGACAGAACCAACGTCACCATGTCATTCTCCAAACCTGAGACCGAGAGGAAAACGGTCAAAGACAGAAAAGATGACAAGAGGAAGTCAAAGCGCTGCACCTAAAATAGTGAAATCCTGGAGGATGCAGTCATTTACTCAGCGATGCTGCCTCTGAATCAGGCTATGAGACCTCAGCAAGAAGCCTTTAGCTCACTACTGAAGTCATTGATGAGTGTTGGTTGTGGGACCATCAGGGAGGCGCTGCAGAGGACAGTCCTGCAGCAGCTGATGTCCCTGGTCCCATGCTGTGCTGCTTGTCCATTTAGGAACAACTATTGTCTTGGTCTCAAAAGATTCAGCTTTTCATCACTTTTGATGCATTTGGGTTAGCGTTAGGGTGAACGTGTCTGGTTAGAAACGGGCCCTCGTCAGGTCAAACAGGAAGCAGGATGGTCTGTGTGTTTCTGCTTACTGTTGTCAGAGATGTCCAGACTCGTAACCGCTGTAGCCTCAGACATGTGCTCTTGGATCACCTGGGCCCCAGCTGATCGCAGCTGCAGAAAAACACACGTACTGGAGGAAAACCGATGGTTTCTGGCTAACAGGTGAAACACATTTTGTTCTGATGACTGTGTAACGAACCTCACAGCTACTGACGTCTAACATCAGACCAAAGAGACGAGTGTTGGTCGCCAGACCCTGCAGCAATAACCTGGTCATAAAATATATGAAATATTTGCACCAATTACACAACAGCAACTTCAGCAGGATGAACAGGAATTTAGCAAATAGAGACTGTCAACTTCAGAATAGTAAATGTACAATCAAATGTAGGAGAATAAGGGATTGCTCAGAAGGCAGCTCCAGCAGCACCGCCATCCCCTACTGGAGAAAAATTAAATGAGTGGCGAAGGTCTAGCCGCAGACTGAAGAACATCTTGTGGAAAAAGTCAGATGATACAAATGTTTATACACCGATGGCTGAAGGAGTACGTAGGCAGCTAATGCGTCAAACTTTTGATTCATGGACGAAACTGACGGGAAGTGTTATTTTAGGTGTGGCGACGGCATAAGAGATGGAGGCCAACGAGGGACAAAGTCTCACAAACACAATAGTAAATACACTATCCTGGACAAGATACATCACTGCAATGGTGGCAGAAGACCCCAGACAAGCACTACGCCCTCTGTTGTCCTGGCGGGCAAAATGTCTACGTCCGTGACGCCACACACTGACAGAGGCGATACAACAGAGTACGCATACATAACTCACATCCACACACATCCCAGCTCTGAATATCAATCAGAGACGTGAACCTGAGTTGTCTGAACCTGTAAGGAGCAAACTCACCTGAGAGCTTGTGGCGGTAGTTTGGTTGCTGACAGGCCCACGTATTTAAGCTCACAGCTCTTACTGAAGAACTCCTGAATGCTCCTCGTCACCTCTCGCACTTTTCTACACAAACACACAAGAGCACAACATGACACCACGCAACGCCTCCCACTCAAACGCATCTTGGGCTGCTGCGTTCATATTGTGAGCAGTTGAATGATTTGCAAGAACCTCATTGAGTCAGACCTAAACTCCAACAACATTGCTGCTTTACATGTAATTAACACACATGGCAGGTTGATTCAGAGGATGTGAAGCTCTTAGCAGCAGGGAGATCCCCGCACCATCTTAGAGATCCTGCTGCATCACACACTCTGCTGTAGCTACTTGCTTGTGTTTGCATGTCTGAGTAGGACCTTATCGCAAGCTGCCTGCTCCAAACACCCAGACTGAAGAGCTAACCTGTGGCTGAAAGGATTCCTCGCCAAGTTCAGGTAAACCAGTTTGTAGCAACATCCAGCAGAAAGAGACACGAATAACTGCAAGCATAGGACAAAAGTCAAATTGTAAGTGTGCACTGGTGCTTTCATATCTGTAACCTGGCACCATCAGTAATTAAAACAGAACGATCTTTTCAAACACTTTTTACATTCTTTCCATAAGTGACATGATTTATCTCATAATAAAGTAAAACAAGCTAAATTCTGAGGAATGATGCTTACTCTGTAGAATAACTCTATGTGAGCAAGTTTGTATTCATCACACTAACCGTGTCCAGGGGGCAGGTGGTATCACTGAGGTCCAGATGAGACAGGGAGTTTGTACTGGACAAGAATTTGAAGAGGAACTGCAAGACATACATGATGTACAATAAATACCTGAAGACATGCTTTGATAAGGAAAACCCCATATGTTCTCAAGAAGCTCAGTCAACACGTATAATACACTCAACAAAAATTTAAACGCAACACCTTTGTTTCTGCTCCGATTTTTCATGAGATGGACTTAAAGATCTAAAATGCATTCCAGATAAACAATATTACCATTTCTCTCAAACATTGTTCACAAATCAGTCTAAATGTGTGATAGTGAGCACCTCTGCTTTGCTGAGATAATCCATCCCACCTCACAGGTGTGCCACATCAAGATGCTGATCTGACATCGTGACTAGTGCACAGGTGTACCTTATACTGCCCACAATAAAAGGCCACCCTGGAATGTGCAGTTTTTTGCTGTATTGGGGGTCTGGGGACTCAGAACCGGTCAGTATCTGGTGTGACCACCATTTGCCTCATGCAGTGCAACACATCTTGCTCGCATAGAGTTTATCAGATTGTCAATTGTAGCCTGTGGAATGTTGGTCCACTCCTCTTCAATGGCTGTGGGAAGTTGTTGGATATTAGTGGGAACTGGTACGCGCTGTCGTATACGCCGGTCAAGCACATCCCAAATATGCTCAACGGGTGACATGTCCGGTGAGTGTGCTGGCCATGCAAGAACTGGGACATTTTCAGCTTCCAAGAATTGTGTGCAGATTCTTGCGACATGGGGCCATGCATTATCTTGCTGAAACATGAGGTGATGTTCATGGATGTACGGCACAACAATGGGCCTCAGGATCTCATCACGGTATCTCTGTGCATTCAAAATGCCATCAATAAAATGCACCTGTGTTCTTCGTCCATAACAGATGGCTGCCCATACCATAACCCCACCACCACCATGGGCCACTCGATCCACAACATTGACATCAGCAAAGCGCTCACCCACACGACGCCACACACGCTGTCTGCCATCTGCCCTGAACAATGTAAACCGAGATTCATCCGTGAAGAGAACACCTCTCCAGCATGCCAGACGCCATCAAATGTGAGCATTTGCCCACTCAAGTCTGTTACGGCGACAAGCTGGAGTCAGGTCAAGACCCCGATGAGGACGACGAGCATGCGGTTGAGCTTCCCTGAGACGGTTTCTGACAGTTTGTGCAGAAATTGTTTGGTTATGCAAACCAATTGTTTCAGCAGCTGTCTGAGTGGCTGGTCTCAGACGATCTTGGAGGAGAACCTGCTGGATGTGGAGGTCCTGGGCTGGTGTGGTTACACATTGTCTGCTGTTGTGAAGCCGGTTGGATGTACTGCCATATTCTCTGAAATGCCTTTGGAGACAGCTTATGGTGGAGAAATGAACATTCAATGCACGAGCAACAGATCTGGTTGACCTTCCTGCTGTCAGCATGCCAATTGCACGCTCCCTCAATGCTTGTGGCATCTGTGGCATTTTGTTGTGAGACAAAACTGCACATTCCAGGGTGGCCTTTTATTGTGGGCAGTATAAGGTACACCTGTACACTACTCATGATGTCAGATCAGCATCTTGATGTGGCACCTTGATCAGCACGGACATGTCTGCTGCAGCTGCGAGTGGCAGCAGACAGCAGGATCTGGAGTTTTATTTCGTGATATTCAAATCTTGAATTGCGGCAGCGATGTTACTGACTGGTACCAGGAGATCTGAACATATCACGCCTGTCTTGGCACCCCTACACTGGCTTCCAGTCTCTTTTAGAATTTTGTTTAAAGTTCTGGTGTTTGTTTTTAAATGTTTAAATGAGTTGGCTCCACGTTATCTGGCAGACCTGATTCAGCCTTATGTTCCCGCAAGGAACCTTCGGTCAGCACAACAAGGACTGTTGGTTGTTCCGAAACACAGACTAAAATCCCGAGGGGGTCGTGCTTTCTCGGTGCTGGGGCCGAGACTCTGGAATGAGCTACCTACATGAGTTAAACAGGCCAGCACACTCGGCAAGTTTAAGAGCCAGCTGAAAACTCACTTTTACTCTTTAGCTTTTATTCAGGAAGAGGCCCGTTAACTGTTGGCTTTGCACTTTTTGCTGCCCCACCTAGATTTTATCTGCATGTTTTTGCTGGTTTTAAATGGTTTTATATGTTTTTTGTTTTTATTTTATTTATTTATTTTTTATGTTTATTTCTGCTGTGCAGCGCTTTGTTTGGTCCTTGGGCCATGTGAAGGCGCTGTATAAATAAAGTTTTAGTTAGTTAGTAGTCGAATTGAATAACAGCAATGCTCTGTCACTTTAAGAAACCCTGACACTCAGTAAGAGTGTAGACAACCTGCTGTTAGTTTATTATTTTGTCCTAATCCGCTTGCCGTACCTCCGGGTAGGTCTGTGTATGTGTTGAGTGGTATAGTCGGCATTCGGGTAGTGAGTCCATGCATGTAAGTTGTCTGCTGTTCTGCTGGTTAATAAAACCACGTTAACTGAATATACCGCTTCATCTTTATCATACTGGTGAACTTACAACAAAGAGGAAGTGGTCACACAAGATGTAGAATGAGGTAATCAGGAAGCAAATGTACGTTCTTGCTGTGTTTGTCTTCTAATTCCATTTTTGGTTCTTTTTTAAACACAGATAAGGTTTCGTTTGCAGCCACAAATGAAACCGTCAGCAAGGTAAAGAGAAACCTTATCTGTGTTTAAAAAAGAACCAAAAATGGAATTAGCAAATGCACATGATACAAGGTGAAGACTGTTTTCTAAGCTAATCCAGCAGCATCTGCAAACATTTGATGCCTTTGTATTGTAGATATGTATTGACCAGAGGTGTGACCAAGTCACTGCTTTGCAAGTCACAAGTAAGTCACAAGTCTTTCCAATCAAGTCTCAAGTCAAGTCCAAGTCAAAGATAACCAAGTCCAAGTTGAGTCCAAAGTCAGTGATGTGGAAAAACAAGTCAAACCCAAGTCCTTAACTTTGAATTTTCAAGTCATAATCAAGTCATCTGTCCAACTTCCATTTAATGACGATGATAAGAAATAAATTCCAGAATAAAAGCTTCTTAAAGCTTCATTTATTTGTTCAAACAAGCAGAAAGTGAAACCGATTATAAACAAAGTGCTGCTGCATTTAGCCGTACAAGATCTAATCCAGAACAAAGTATGAGTTATGATTTTTGTCCATGTCGCGCCACTTATGTGCTAAAATATCAAATATGCTCAAGTCATCATCAAGTCAACAGATGCAATTTGATTCAAGTCACAAGTCATTGGTGTTCAAGTCCGAGTCAATCGTAAGTCTCTATAGATTTTATCAAGTCAAGTCAGAAGTCATTAAAATAATGACTCAAGTCTGACTCGAGTCCAAGTCATGTGACTCGAGTCCACACCTCTGGAAATGCATTGTTTAACGAGAGACAGCTGGTGAAAATGATGTGTAAATAAGTAAGAACACATGTAGACATACATGGTTAAGCAAAACTGAAACACTAATATAAAGTATAAATATATAATTTTTTTTCCCAAAAATTTCTCCCTTCACATTTGGGAGGGCAGAGCCCCAGCACCCCCTATGGACGAGTCACCAGGGGCCCCAAAATAATATACTTTCGTGTGGTCCAAAATCTCTGGCAGCCTCCCTGTCTGCAGGTCCTGCAACTTTGCTGAGTTTGGGACTGAAGATATTCTGACTCGGTGCAGACCGACTGGGACTTGTGCACTTCTGGACATTCCAGTCAGAGATTGCAATTAAAAGTGTTGCTGTTCTGTATCACACCCGACTGACAAAATATTACAGACACACAGAGTACAGCATACCATGGCTTCTTCAGTGGCCAGACTTCCTGGGTTCCCAGACAAATCCAGATGTGTCAGAGACTTGAAGAACTGCTGTGTGGAAGATAACACCTGACTCAGGCAGCCGAGACCTGAGAAAACAATTATTACAGTAATTACTTAATAAAAAATGCTTTTTCATTCAAAACACAACCATGTTCATGTTGATTGTTCCACCAATCAAAAGCTTCCCTTTTTTATAATTTGATAACAAAAATACAAATAGATATTTGTGTGTGTGTGTGTGTGTGTGTGTGTGTGTGTGTGTGTGTGTGTGTGTTATCTAACATTTACCCTTAGCAGTCATTGACACATGACTCAGAGAGAGGTGCCTCAGTCCCTCGTTCAGATGCTCAAACTCCAGACTTAAAGCGATGACACCTGTAGAAAAATACAGCTCAAAAAGCAGCAAACCAAAATGCCAAAAATCTGAAATTTTAAACAACAGAATGAGCACAACAATAATTCAACACATCTGGAGTGTATTGGTTTTATGTACATTTACTACTCACGTGTGGTTTGGATATAAAATATAAACGCGTACCTTTGTCTTCAATAGGATTGCCTGAAAGATTGACGAGTTGCAGAGAGGATGATGAGTGTTCTTTCAGAGCAGCTGACATTTTGATTGCAAAGTCTCTGCAGCAGAATAAAAACGGTTTGAACTGTTTTCAGTCAGTAGCAACACAAAGAAATTCCACCCCATTCATGTCTAAGGTGAGACTCTTCCCTTTATCTGCTGCTCTGTTGTAGACCTGTTTATAGACATGTTTTCATGACCTAGTTTGGCCCAAGCTTCATCTGTCAGAAAGATGGCGTCACATTTTAGGAGTCACCATAGATTCAGTGATTGCAGAGGGCCCATGTGACTGCAGACTAATTCAAACCATCAACCTTACACCACCATGCTGGCAGAAGGCTGACCTGTGTCTGGTTTTCTGTAAATGTGCTGCAGTGCATCTTGTTTAAACATCTGTACTTTGCAAGATTTTACCAAAGACTATTTTTTCCAGAAATCCTGAGGTTCAGTCAGATGGATCTTTACTAACCTAGGCTGTCCCCATCCGGCCAAGGAAAAGCTGACCAAAGTGGAAAAACGCCATTCGGTTTTGATGATGCTCATTCTCGGTGCAGCTTTTGACAACGTGGACCACAATATCTTTGATAGGCTCATAAAGTAGGGGAAATTATTCATTACAGTCCATAGTTGGTTCCGATCTTATCTCAAAGACAGGGGTTATGTTGTCTCTATTGGTGATCACATGTCGAAGCTGATCACCATGACATGTAGGGTCCCCCAAAGATCAATTCTTGAACCACTGCTCTTCAATGTCTACATGCTCCCCCTGGATCAGGTCATACCCAACAACATTACCTATCATAGTTACGCAGATGACACCCAGATCTACCTAGAGCTGTCACCTAGTGACTGTGGTCCCCTAGACTCACTCTGTTTGGAGCAAGTTGAGGACGGGATGCAATCAAACTTCCTTCAGTTAAACGAAGACAAGACTGAAGTTATTGTCTTTGGAAATCATAAGGATAGGATGGAGGGTACTGCTCAGCTTGGCCCCAGAGGAATAAAGACAAAAATCCAGGTTAGAAATCTTGGTGTCATACCTGATACTCTGCTAGAGTCTTAACAAGAACCAAGAGAGCTGAGCACATCACTCCTGTTCTTAGATCTCTACACTGGTTACCAGTAAACTACAGAATCAATTTCAAAGTACATCTACTAGTTTATAATTCATGCAATGGCATGGGGCCAGAATACATGTCAGATCTCCTTCAGGTATATACGCCCAGCAGAGCTCTGAGATCCTTCGGAAACAGTCAGCTGGTAGAACCTCGGGCCAGAACCAAACAGGGTGAAGCTGTTTAAGCTGCTATTCTGCTCACAGATGGAATCAGCTTCCTCCTGACCTCAAATGTGGCTCAACTCTGGAAACTTTTAAATCAAAATTGAAAACCTTCATGTATTCATCAGCTTTTGAATGGTTGTTTCTTATTCTGCACTTTACTTTGCCCTTTTTACTTTATTTCTTACATCTGATTTTATTAGTATATTTTAAATTAGATTTTAAAGGAGTCGAACACTCGCTTAATCAACACACCTGCAGTAGTCTCCAGTAGGAATGAATGCCTTGTAAGTCGTTCTCGGAGGAAAAAATATATCGGTGCACCATTTCGTGGATCTAGAAGTGATCCACATCACAGCTGAGTTTCAGACGGCAGGTTTTGGAGACTTATTACCTGATTTTTGGTCATCTTGCCTGTTAGGCTATCTCCTGCTAGCCATTCAGCTTAATGCTCAGATAATCACACAAGGAGATAAGATATCTTATAATACCTTTTGAGCATTTTATAATCACTTTATCACTTAAGATCCATAAATTTTGCTGATTTCGTAATTACATAATGCAATAAAGAATACTGACTCTGTGACTTAATCATTTAATTAAAGTATTAAAGGCTTTTCATGGAGTCTCCTATTTTATAACTGATTAAAGAATGCTAATTCGTGCATGCTATATAATGAAACCACCGTTTATTTATTCACCATGATTTGACAACATATGCTACACAAATATATTAAAATGCCTTTGACATTTTCATTAAAGCTGCTGATATGGGCACACTTTAAGGTTAAAGTAAAATACATGTTTAAAGGCTGCATGAGAAGCTACACTCTTGAACTCAGCAGCAAGGACCACTAGAGCATTACATGAGTTAATGGTGGCCCAGGTCAAAGTGCACACAGAGATAGGGCACCAGACCCCAGAAGGGTCTGGGAGACCAACGGCCCTAATCAGGGCCGAGTGTCTCAGTTAGAAAAGAGCAACGAATAGAAGGAAGTGTATTTTTTGTGCTGACATGATATTTTGCAGACTGCCTGGATTCTGCAACCTTCATCTTCATGTAAGCAAAAGTAAAACAAAGTTCATGATCATCAACCGTAACTTGCCACCCTAGTATTGTTTCCCTGGATGGTACAGAACTACAACTTGTCAGTTCCTAAAAATATCTCGGTATCTGGCTTGACAGCACACTTTCATTTGGCATTAACATAAATTCATTACTTTCTGAAGTCAAGTCAAGAATTGGGTTTCTATAGCAACAGGTCATCCTTTACTCATTCTGCAACGCAAACCTTGGTCAACATGACAATCCGCCCCATCTTAGATTATACGGTGGCATCATTTATAGAGCAGCCTCCAAAAATGTCTTCATAAACTCCATGTCATTTATCACTCAGCGATCCGTTTGGTCACTGGTGCCCCTTTCACTACTCATCATTGTGATCTGTACTCACTCGTTAACTGGCCATCACTCCATTCCTGCAGGTTGTTACATCGGTATCAGTTCGTATACAAAACAATCATCGGTAGAAAACAGTCATATCTTCGCTCATTACTCATCACTTCCAACAACCAGCACCATTTACGTTCCAGTAACTTAATCTTTAAGGTTATTCCCCAAGCTCGCACCTCCTTTGGCCGCTCCTCTTTCCAGTTTGCTGCTTCCAACGACTGGAATGACCTGCAAAAATCACTGAAGCTCACTGCCTACATTCCATTATCTACCTTCAATAATTTACTGTGATCAATAGTTTCTGATGAATGTGCTTCTAAGTACTTAAAGACTGTTTTAAGTCTGTTTCGATTGCTTGTACATGTTGTAATTGAGAACAGCCCGTTGTCTTTATGTGTAAATGTTTTAATCTTATGTTCATCTTGTTTGTTTTATCTTATCTGTTGTTCTTTGGTGTAAAGCTAACTATGTGTCCGTTGCTGCTGCCTCTTCGCCAGATTAAATAAAGGTTCAATAGTAAATGAGGGGAACCAAACGATTTGATTGGATCCTGTTTTTACCTTTTCAACATTGTTTTGTAGTTTTGTTCTGTAAAACGTTTAATTACAACAATCCAACAAGACAGAGCCTGGATTTGTATTCTGAACAGTTTTTAAAGGAGACATGTGTGACGCATCAAAAAGCGGCACCTTCTTAGGCCCAGTAGGCCCACCCACAACGCGGTAGTGTTTTCTATGCTGTGGGAAACGGGTAATAATGGCTCTTTGATGGGAAATGGTCGCCGACCCCTGGTTTAGGGGAAGGACACAGAACGCTGTCTCAGAGATTTCAGCTGTCTGGTCCACAGTTAGGAACATATTGAGGAAATGGAAGACCACAGGCACAGTTCAAGTTAAGGCTCCAAGTGGCAGAACAAGCACAATCTCAGATAAACAGAAGAGAACAATGGTGAGACACCCACAGACCAGCATTAAAGACCTACAACATCATCTTGTTGCAGATGGAGTCCCTTTGCATCGTTCAGCTATTCGGTGCACTTTACACAAGGAGGTGCTGCATGTGAAAGTGATGCAGAGGAAGCCTTTTCTCCACCCACATCACCAACAGCAGTTTGAGGTTTGCTAAAGCACATCTGGACACGCCAGCTTCATTCTGTAACAAGCTGCTGTGGACTGATGAAACAAACTGAGTTATTTGGGCGGAGCAAGAGGAGTTATGCATGGAGGAACAAGAACATTGCATTCAAAGAAAAACACCTGCCAAAAACAGTAAAACATGGTAGTGGTTATGTCATGCTGTGGGCTGTGTGGCCAGTGCAGGGACTGGGAATCTTGTTAAAGATGAGGGACGCATGGATTCCACTCAATATCAGCAGATTCTGGAGACCAATGTCCAGGAATCAGTGACAAAGCTGAAGCTGCACCGGGGCTGGACCTTTCAACAAGACAACGACCCTAAACACTGCTCAGAGTCTACCAAGAAAGCCACGCAGAGGAACAAGTAGATCGTTCTGGAATGTTCATCTCATGCCCAAATGTATGCACCTGCTTAATTTAGTTTAAACAATTATTGCACCCTTTCTGTAAATCCTATAAACGTCATTTCATTTCTCAAATATGTCCACTTTATGATATATTTAACTGAAAATTTTATCGTAACAACAACGATACAGGAAAATGATGAAGATTAACACGACGGCCCAAACTTTCGCATCCCTCTGGATGGTCTAAGCCACAGATCAACTTACGCTTTCAATCCACAGTTCTCCAGCGAGACCTCTTGAATACTTTGAGATTTAGACAGCAGGATCATCAGCTGCTGTTGGATGTCGAATGGCTGAAAGAACAGAAAGACGGGCTCTGTTGAGTTCTGGTTTGGTTTGTAGAGAGAAACCTAGAGTACATGTGGATACTGGGATGGGTGTAGCATGGGTGGCACCATGAGAGGATGATGATTTTTAGCTTTTATGATCAAACAGCTTGAGCTTTTCAGTCTGGCTCACAAAAGCATCTGATCATTGAAACAGCCTTTTCAAAGGTTTACTCCGGCGTTGCTTTTGTCGTGAGGTTGTTTTCGAAGAGCACTACTTAGACTAGAGTTCCAAGCACGGTTCGGTATTTTTCCCCCACCTTTTCCCAATCTTCAGTCCCAGCTCCGTTAAGGTTCCCGGCGAGGCTGAGCTGGGCCAGCATCGCGACTGCAGCCAAAAAGGGCATCGCTTCAGACTCTGACACTGCAGATTTAAACTTCTATTGTTGTAACTTATTATTATTTTATTTTACATTTTTTTCAGAAAACGTCTTTGAACTCAACTGTTGCCAGCAGGCAGCACTTTTTTATTGATCTGACCACCAGAAGCTTTTAAAGATGCTGTACAAACGCGAGGTAAGCTAAACTCCTAATATTGCAACATTTGCGCAGCACTGAAAGCACCAGGCAGATAGGTTTGCTCTTAAAAATGACTTAAACTAGTCCAACAACCAGCTGGGACACAAGCTGCAGCTGTCACTAACTCTAAACATTCAGACGTGTCTCTTAAAGGCACAGTAACGCTATAAAGCCTCTCTGAAAATGTTCTCAACAATCCTGTCAGTCTATCATATTTGTCTGAGCACAGGGACTCGTGGTGGGAAATGGTCTGCATTTAGCAGAAAATCACACTGACTTTAAATTGATGCCACTTGAAATTCTTGTAATGTTGAAACACGAAAAATAAAATATGGAAAAACGAAAATAAAGATACTAAAGGAATGTGGCCTTGAATCAGATTGGTGGAGGTGATCGATACCAACACCAGCATAACGGACCCGGGGTAGAACAGGGGTGGTGACGATCGTTAATGCAGGCGGAAATGCACTGAGGGAAAGGTATTACAGCTACCATGGGATGTACAGAACAATCCACAACATCCATGTTCACTGTTGAAACACTGAAGCGTTGGGTTGGGAAAAAAACAGACTGTACCAGTTTGAGCTCTTTGCAGTAGATTTGAGTAAACCACTGGTTGAAGGACAAAGCTGCCACGGCCAAGGCCAGGTCTCTGCAGGAGAGGAAGAGGACCTTAGCAGAGACACAGGCGGACTGGACCCATGAGGTGTGGGTAGTTTCTCACCTGCTGTCTAAGTGACTGAAGTCGAGCAGGTTGAACATCCTCTGGTTGTGTATGTGGTAGATGTTGTCAACATCCTACACAAACAACCAAACTTTAATTGCATCCTTGTTGGTTTTTTAAACATCTGGTTCAGCTTAGAGTGCAAATATGAAACCTAACAGCTGACTCACCCACTGAATCTCCTCTCTTATTGGTGTTTCATTGAAATCACAAAGAGCAGCATAAGAATCAGAGAATCCTCCTGAAGAGAAACACTGTGAGTTTCATACTGAGATCCAAGCAGCAGATGTTTTTGCTCTGACAACAAATGTACAACTTTCAAAACTGTTGATGCCACAACACAGCCGTTGGTCCTGAACAACTGCAAGGGCAGCACACAGCTTCATCCGAGTCATCACCAGCAGCATTATGAGGTCAGGCTACAATGACAGAAACGTACCACAAGGCCCCAGCCGATGCCTCAGCTGCTCCTCTAACACATCGGTCAGCATGATGAGTCGCTCCTGGAGCTCCGCAGGATTTGTCCTTAACAGCTTCCTGAAGATCGAACAAAGGACTCAGCTTTAATTCCTCCAGCAGAAGTCGCGGGTAAAGGAACAGGGATTCCTGTTACGCTCAGATTGTCTCAGTCTCACACACACTGTGCTAGAGAGTCAGAACTGCTAAAGGTGCAGCGAAGCAGGTGTAGCGTCATGAATGTCCTGTTTTTGACCTAAAGGTCACGATCTGCTGCGTCTACTCGAGCAGAGACATAAAGTCTCTGACAGCCTAATCTACATGAGATAGTGGCCAAGGTCTTTCATGCACTCTGCTCATCTGAACTGCTTCACCTTTGTTACAGTGAAGACGAAGAACCCTCTTGATGAACACATAATCAACAACTTTGTTATTACCAATAATAATGTGAGCCCAACGTTCAATCTGTGAAATGACAATGTTATTACTTGATATTATCATCCTGTTCCGTCTTTCATTTTTTTAAACACAGAAAAGGTTTATTTACCTGCAACGTTTTGTTTGCGGCTGCAAACATCATCAGGCTAACGCCGATGGCGGCGTCACTTCCTTCGTTGGTAGCTAACTCCACTTACTTCACATACGACAACACAATATACAAACAACTGGAAGGCTTCGCCATGGGTAACCTATTATCAGCCACCCTGTGCGAGTTTTTCATGTAAGACCTAGAACAAAAAGCCGTTGCCACTGCACCCCCAAACTGTAAAATAAAACTATGGAAACGCTACATAGACGACATACTGGGAATCATACCAAAAGGACAAACAGAAACACTAACACAACACTTGAATAACATTGACGACACAGGCAGCATAAAGTTCACTTATGAGTCAGAAACAGAAGGCAGCATAGCTTTTATGGACATGAAAATAACCAGGCAGACCGACGGGACCCTAAACATAAACACATACAGGAAACCAACACACACAGACCAATATCTATTATGGACATCAGAACACCCCACCATACACAAAATATCAGTAATCAGAACACTATATCACCGAGCAAACATAATAACAGAAGAAAGAGACCGTAAACAAGAGGACAAACACATACAACACCCTTTAAAGACCTGCGGATACCCGACATGGGCAATAAACAAAGGAAAACAACAAACAACAACAGAAAGAAAAGAACAACCAAAGCAAAGAACCAGAAACCCAGAAAGACAAGAACCAGAACCAGTGATAACCCTACCATTCATCAGAGGCATAACAGAAAAAATAAGAGCAACAATGAAAAAACACAACATAAACACACCAACAAAACCATACACAACAGTTAGAAACAGACTAGTACACCCAAAAGACAAAATATCAGCTGGACTTAAATGTGGAGTCATTTACGAAATCACATGCAAACTCTGCAATAAAACATACACAGGAGAAACCAGATGCCAACTCAACACACGAGCAATGGAACATAGAAAGGAGTGCGAGAAAGAAGCAAGTCGAAGACACACAAGAGCAGCAAAACAAGAAGCAGAAAGCACAATAAAGAAGTCAGCCATAACAGATCACTTTATAAGAGAAAACCATATAATGGACTGGGACAACACAAGGATCATAAACACCGAACAACAAAAATACAAACGATGGATTAAAGAAGCAATCGAGATAAGGAGACGTGGATGTGGGACCATGAACAGGGACGATGGAGTTTACTCGTTGGACCGCGTATGGGACTGCATCATCGGAGAGGGGAGAGCGGGCAGCAGAGGACGACAATGTCCTCTGCTGCCCGCGGATAAACGGAGAAGGAAGTGACGCCACCATCAGCGTCAGCCTGAGGAAGTTTGCAGCCAAAAACAAAATGTTGCAGGTAAATAAAACCTTTTCTGTGTTTTAAAAAGAAATGAAAGATGGAATTTGAAACTCAACACAGCAAGAACACACCAGAGATCATAATCCTGTGATCAGTAGTATTTTACTAGTTATTATAATCTTGGACATTTGCACTAGTCACTAATGACACGTAATGCTAAAGTCACACGACACATTTCCTTTTGTCTGATCCAGTCAGAACCTTCGTTTCTGGCTAGGCGTGGTTTTCTGTGGTGTTTGTATAAACCCTCTTTTGCATGTCAAATTCTGATTCGCCAGTAAACCAAAATATGACAATTATAAAAACTATCCCACGCCACCTTTTCTTTAGTTAAAGCGTTCTAGAGAAGTCTCGGACAGGCCACCCAGACTTCCTCTTCAGCTAAAAGAACCTCGACAAGCTGGATAAAATCTGTTGCAAGTTACACCTGACCACAACAGTTCCTTCAGAATAAAAGCTGAACCTCACGACCCCTTCAGGGTCTCAGAGACGCCAGTGATAACCTGTCGTGACCTGGAAGCATTCCAAGACTAGTTTGGTCTGCACCGCTGCTTTTCTACCGGCATAAGTACCAAAGAGGGTCCAAGAGGACCTCGGCATTCTGGATCTAACGGAGGCTTCTCCTGGGTACGTAGACCAACAGATGGCGTTTCATGTTTGTTATAAATCTCCTACTAAAGTTTAGAGCGAAACATTCACTCCCACTCAGAACTAACTGCTTCTCCGGATCCGCTGGTTCTGATCAAATCAAATCAAATCAGCTTTATTTATATAGCACTTTTCATACCAAAAATGCAACTCAAAGTGCTTTACAGATTAAAATGGCCCCATAGATCCCACATTCCCATCCCAGCCCCCCTCCCCAAGTATAAAACAATTAAAAATTACAGTTCCCCTCCCGCACCCAACTTCCAAAGTGGACATACAATCACCCGCACACTCGTCCATGCACACACACACACACACACACACGCACACACGCACACACTCGTGAACACCTGAGGAAACAATAGGCTGAGTTCAGATGGGTCAGGTAATGAACGACACATCATCAGCGGAGCCATCTGCCCTGGCAGCAACAGATCCACGGCAGCAGCCAAGACACCGGCCCATGACGCCCAGTGGCGTACGGCAGAAACCCCCACCAGTGCCCGGGCACTACCCAGGGAGCGCCCTGGCCGCCGCCGCCCCTGACCACCGGCCCCAAGGCAGAGGGCTCCGCAGAGGAAACACTGGAAACATGCCACACAAACATCATTCATCACATCTCACTCCACTAGTCCATCAGTACACAGAGTGTTAAAGTTAGTCTTGTTTAAATTGTGTAGAAATAAATTTCTTAACTATTATAAACCTGACTCTCTTTCCTCGGGGTTAATACGAAGTGTTGCCTAATCCCTGCAATAAAAAGTTCTGATCTTCTGGTTAAAATATTCAAAGATCCATCAGATTGATATTTCATATTTCTATGGATTCTCACATTTTATGGTTCATAAGTAAGATGTAAACTACCCATCCTTTACACAGGACCAGCAGAAGACTGCAAACCAGGCACCCACCCTGGAGAAGAATCTGGGAAAATTCTCTTCAGTGATGCAGTGATGTGACAGATCATGGACTCCAGATCTTCATTGTGCAGCATGCTGAAAGACAGATTCTGCCTCTCTGTTTCCAACACAATCTGCAACACATGAAACTTCACTCTGAGTCAGAGCTTACAATGTTCTCCCATGTTTAGTCTGACATCATAGTACCTGTATGAAACCATCAAGTATTGCATCTTTACAGGCAAACAAGAGCAGTCATCATTCACAAAAACCTGACAAGAGTCGTACTTCTGTGAGTCCATGGATGTTGATGGAAGAAATCTCCAGGTAGCTGAACGTGCTCTCCACCTGAGACACAAGATTAAACATTATAAACATGCAGAACACACAGGAAGAAGTGAAGCAAACCAAAGTGTTTTCAGAGCTTGTCACGCAACATAATTTATTAATGGCTGTTGCTCTGGTGTACAAAACACCAGAGATGAACACCAGGTCCACGTGGAGAAGGTCAAACGGAGGATCTAAACAACGAGAGAAACCCGGCAGTCACAATAAAAAGTGTAAAGGTTTGAGCGAGTGTTTACCCGCAGTGGTTGCTTGTTAGTCACCAGGTAACCTCTCCAGAGACTCAGTACCTGAGACACAGATCCAGATTTACAAGTTCAGCATTATTCAGAGAGGAGTCCTGAGACCGCAGAGCACATCAGACATTAATGTTTACATGACATCTCTAAAAGGGGGGACATGTGTGATTAATGAAAGGGTGTGTCTGAGTGGTCTCAGCCTCTGTCCACGTAGGTGGAGAGCACAGAGCAAGACGAGCTCTCGGACACACGGTGTGGGACTTAGAGCTAAAAACATCTCTAAACTTCAACAAAGACCTTAACTGACTGTAAACCCTGCGTTGCAACCTCGTTGCAGCTGACAAGTATTCATTAAACAGCAGATCTGTAGTAGCTTCAGCTGCTGCAGAGCTTTCTACCTGCCCTGGGACAGGTGTGTGTGTGTGTGTGTGTGTGTGTGTGTGTGTGTATGTGTGTGTGTGTGTGTGTGTGTGTGTGTGTGTGTGTGTGTAGTCTATGGGACTAACACACAGCAACCATCCTCTCGTATAGTTAAAGTTCCATTAGTCATCACACACCGGTGAAGTTACCAGTGGTAGGATCACCGAAATTTGGCCCCTCCCCATTGGGAGCGGTGAGCTGCAGCAGTGGCTGCCCTCGGGAACTAGTTGGTGGTTTATGAGGTACTGTATGTTAACCACATTGTTGAGAGACAGAGAGGAAGACTGAAAAGGGGAAGCTATGCAACGTTTTTATAGTTCTAAGTCATTTTCTCGAGCCAGTATGTGCTAAAATGTCCCTTTACAGGGTTAATGAAATGCCACGCAGACCCTCACCGCCCTCTTGCACTTGCAACTTCAGAGTGCTTGTATGGTCTCTGTTGGACTTAGTAAAGTGGAGTTGACATGGCCAGGCTGCAGTCATGGTTCCGGCACGTTTCCTGCATGTTTTAGATCATGAACACAACTGATTTGTTTGATTAGTGAATCACTCCTGTAGACACTAATGAAGGCTGAGGAGACGTTTCAGCTGTTAGATTAACGTGTTAAATAGACAAACGCGTAGCGAGGAACGCTTTTAGTTTCACTAACGAACACTAGGGGCGCTAAAATCAAGCCAAATGCCTAGTTTTCCTTTACAAGACTTCCTCAGATTGCTATTGTTTCTGAAAAGCGTATATTTAATGTTGTTGTTGTGTTTGTAGTTCCAGCAGCAGCAGGAGCAGGTACTCCATCCAGAGACACTTAATCACAGGAGAGGAACAGTCCTATGCAGATCCATCTTTACTTCTTCTTCCTTCAACATCTCAGCATGAGTTGGACCCCTAATGTCCAGAACACAACACATTTGTATTCAGCCCCCTGGACTCGGATTGCCCTAAATAAAACCCAGTGTGATAGGCTGCTTTGAGCAGTCATCTAAACATATGAAAGAGTTCACTTATGAGTGATTTAGTCTCATTATAAATAAACATGTTCTATGGAGGCCTCAGTGGTTTGTTAGAGAACATTATAGAACAAACAGCATCATGAAGACAAAGGAACTCACCAGAAAGGTCAGAAATAAAGTTGTAGATAAGTTTAAAGCAGGCTTAGCAAATATCCCAAGCTTTGAACAACTCAAAGAGCATTGTTCAGTCCACCATCCAAAAATGAATAAAGTATGGTAGAGCTGCAAAGCTACCAAGACCTGGCCGTTCACGTAAACTGACAGATGAAGCAAGGAGAGCACTGGTTAGAGAAGCTTCCAAAAGGCCCATGGTCACTCTGGAGGAGCTACAGAAATCCAGAGCGTGCGTCCACAGGACAACTGTAAGTTGGGCACTCCCCAACTCTGGCCTAAATGGAGGAGTGAAAAGAAGAAGCTGTTGTTGACAGAAAGACATTAAAAGTCTTGGATGCAGTTTGCCAGGAGCCATGTAGGGACACAGCAGACATGTGGAAGGTTCTCTGGTCAGACCAAACTTTTGAGCCTAAAAACTATTGAAAAGTGCCACTGCTCATCACCCTGAACACACCACCCCACTGTAAAACATGGTGGAGGCAGCACCATGCTGTGGGGATGCTTTTCTTCAGCAGGGTGGAGCTAAAGACAGGACAATCCTGAAAGAAAACCTGTAGGAGGCTGCAAAGGACTTCAGACTGGGAAGATTCACCTTCCAACAAGCCTATGGCCCTAAACATACAGCAGGAGCTAATGTGGGATGCTTTAGATCACATATTCATCTTAGAACGTCCCAGTCAGTGTCCAGATCTAAATCCCAGTGAGCATCTGTGGTAGGACCTGAAAATGCTGTTCACAGAGGCTCTCCATCCAACCTGGGTGAGCTTGAGCTTTTATGCAGCAAAGAATTAGCATGAATTTCATCCTCTATATGTGCCAAGCTGATAGTAACACCCCTAAAGCATTAAAGGTGGTATTGATGCAGGGAGCTCAATAGAAACATGCCACACTATCATTTTCATTCCACTTCATAGCTAATTTCTACTTTTTGCTGTTCAATCACAGAAAATCTCAATACAATTTCAGGTTTGTGGTTGTAAGGTGTCGACATGAGTAAAAATTCTATTGTGAGGTACAGTGTATGAATGTGTGTGTGAATGGGTGAATGACTGATTGTGTTGTAAAGCGCCTTGGGGGGTTCCTGGACTCTAGAAGGTGCTATATCAAATACAGGCAATTTAATGTATGAACTAAATGCTTCAAGAGATTACGATCATCCTCCCAACATGGAAACTACCAGAGGTGACAGGACCAGAGGTGATTAATGAAAGGTCTAAAACAAACATAACTTACAATATGTAATAAATATGGACTTGGGTCTTTTTAGGACGATCTCAAAGACTTGGGCACAATAAAATGTAAATGAATCACTGAAAGTTTCTCCACCTTGGTGGTTCTGATTCTTCATTTCGATTTTGTTTACAACAAGAGGAGGCAGACAGGAGCTGGTGTGTCAGCTGGTACCACCTGAACTCAGGTGTGTCCTCTGCCCACCTCTGCCTCTTCACCATAATTATTAAATTATCTTTCGTTTCATTTTACTTACTTGTCTTAAATGTTCCTTTTGTATGGAGGGCCAAAAGAGGAACAATGCAACGAACAATAAAACCATTTTAAACGTGTCATTAATAAAAATAAACCATTCAATAAATATCTAATTTATGTATCTAAACAAAGTGACTGAGGTGTGAGGGGTTCACATGGAGCCCCTACAGAAGCAGCTCCTGATGGGTGATCAGTGAAGCTCCTCAGAACAAAGTAGACCTGTTCATGGTGTCCTCCATGGAAGTGACGATGAAAACCTCAAACGATCCGTTCATGCTGATCGTTACCAGCCGCTCACTAAGAGAAGGTGTTGTGGACTCTGTGCACTTCCCCACCCGTGTGTGACGTCTAACTCACCACAAACCTGCTGGTTGTCCTCCCACCATGCTGGTTGGACTGTTGGAGATGAATCGGCATCACCAGACAGATTCTGTGAGGCTTCAGCAGTTCGCAGACCTGATCTGTTTAAACGGGACCAAATGAAGACGGACACCATTGTTAAAGCACATTGTTGTCTTTTTGTGTTTGTCTCACTCACATCTGACCTTTGACCTCAGAAAGGGATAGTTCTGTTTCCTCTTCTGAAGAGGGTCTCGGTCATCTCTGTCTGATTTCCACTCATCAGCTGGTTCAACTGCTGCTGTCAGAAGCTAGCGGTTGATAATCTACAGCTAACACGAAGACACAGGAGGCCTGCTGCTTTTACGGTTGAGTTTAGCGACAGCAGCAGTGTGAAGGGCTATTTTAAATAAAACCGTTAAAAGATCTAAACTTGGGCCTTCGTTCATCCTGACCACAGCCACTTCTGACAGAAACCTGGGGTGTTTGTTTCCAAACCCGTCTGAGTCATGTTTCCCTCTGAGTCGGTGTGTCTGTTGAAGTGGAAACATGGCTGTTGAGGCACAGCAGCACACATCTGACCTAAGCACGTAGTGTTCAGTTAACGCTGTATCGTCCACTAAAACATGGATTTAGTTTATTCATCCGTCTGTTCTGCTTTCGGGTAACCACTGTATTCACCTGAAGACAGCCACGTGCCTGGCTTAAGACGCTGAAACCCTCCCAGTGTTGGTTCTGTCTCCCCAACATGAAGTAGAACCATGAAGACAGGCTCTGTTTAAGGTCCAAACACACTTCAGTTAAACATGTTCAGTTAAACAGGTAACATGGATCAGCTCACCTTGCAGTGTCTGAGAAACGGAGTTCATGCTGTTTGCTTCTGGAAAATTTTCAAACTCATGAAAAGACGACAAAGACTCCAGCTGTGATCTTCTCCAGTTGCACAGAAAGCGGCAATAATGGCGGGTGTAAATGTGACTTTCTGCTCACACACTCATCCGTTGTCTGTGAATAAGACCGTCTGCAGTGGAAACGCACTCTAACCTGCTTTCTACCTGAAGATAAACCACTTTCATTTGTCTCATCCTACACACATGTGCGCACACACACACACACACACACACACAAACTTAGACTCACATCCTGTTCCATTTTGTGAGTGACTAACTGCTGCCAGGAAATCAGCACTTCCAGAGTAAAATGCTGAGACGTGTCTCTGCTAATTGTAACTAAATCATTTTTGGCGCATGGGTGGATCAGATGAGACGGGTTTGTCTTCTGGCTCTAGACGGACCCTCTTCTTGTCCCCATAAATCCGTCTGCTGTGAAACCACTGAAGCCCACATTAAACACGGACCACGAGAGGGTCACAAAAACGTTTCAGTGAACTTCATAAATCTGGAGCACCAAGTCCAGCTAAACATCCATCCATCTTTTACACCTTCTCCCTCCTCTAGGTGGGAGGTAGACTACAACTGGACAGGTGATCTGTTCATCTCCACCTGTGGTCATGCAGCACCCAACATGTGTGATGAACTGTAAATGGTTTTCTATTTACCGTGGTAACTTTGATGCCTCATATTTTATGGGCTTTTATGAGCTTTGTTTAGATTTACATACTGTAAAATGTTTTGATGCAGCTTTCAGAGATGATGTTGGTGCATCAATGTTTGTACCTTCTCATACCCGTCAAGTCTCCCAGGTATGTAAATGATACTATGTGGAAAAAGTACAGAAATTTCCTACTTAAGTACGAGTACCAGTACTTTGATAATTTTTTTACTCAAGTACAAGTAAAAGTACTTGCCTAAATGTTTGCTCAAGTAAAAGTAAAAAGTAAAAGTAACTTAGTTACATTTTTGTCAGCGTAAGGATGGCTACATCTAAGTAGTGCAAAATCACAACGCAGCTCACAATTCGTGTGCGCAAAACGCTGAGAATCCGCTTGTTATGAGCGCTAAACGTTATTTTGCCGCTGCCGTGCGGAGCGGTAGGGAAACACATTTCAAACATGGAACCGAGTCTGGCTACCAAACTCAGCAGAATTTTGATCGCGTCACACCGGTGCGCGAAGGTGCGGGTTCCAACCCACAGGAGAGGAGGGAGAGAGGAGGTAAACAGCGAGTGGATCAGAGACTGTTTTCGAGCAAAACTGCGGTAAAAATGGCTGTTCTCATTATCAAGCCCACCCCCCCCCCCCCCCAAACACACACACGGTTTAGACACGGCGCTCATGCAGGTGTCTCTTTCTGTTCCGACACGTAATATTTTTAATTTATTAAGCCTACAATTTCTTTTTACTCAGTAACGGATATGATTTAAAATGTAGCGAATTAATTTCTTTTTAAAAAACGTACTCAAGTAAAAGTACAGATTTTAAAAACAACTTAAAAAGTATAAATACACAAAAAAGCTACTCAATTACAGTAAAGTCAGTAAATGTAATTAGTTACTTTCCACCTCTGCGTATAATCCTTATAGGCAGAGGGCGTTTCCACCAATCAGGTCAAATGACTTATGATTACAAGTAAGTCAATGAAAAGTTTACCTTCTTATCCAGACCAAGACAACTAAAACGACTGATCTGACCTAGAGTATGATGCTTTCATTTTATTGTTCTTCTGAAACAAAACTTTTACCAGAGATTAGATTAAACCAGAAAAAACCAACTCAACAAAAAGAAAATCCAAGAACTTTATTTATCCTACTGCGAGCTGGTTGAAGCTGGAATCTGACCTCATAATCATGACTCAGTGTTCGGATATTCCCTTTTGTCCCTAGAACTCAAGACAAATATTTGTGTTTTAACCAATCAGATAGCTTCGATGGGGCAAAACAAAGGCAGCCATATTTCTATTAAATCATAAATACCGGAGCTACAGTAGACCCTGGTCATCTGTATTTACTTTTGAACACCACTTAGAACATCATGTGGGCTTTTAATAACATACAACAACAAGATGTCAAGATGAAAGCAATTTAATCAAGAATTAAGGATGATTACAGGCAGAAGGAGATATTCTTGTCTTTTAAACGTTGTGGTTGGAGCCTGAGACGACTCCGAAATCATAATCTGGTTACTCTTCTGCAGTTAAAAACCTAAAACGGACAAACATCAACATAACAAGTGCTGAAACTAAATGATTCAGGTGGAAAAACACAGCCTCTAAAGACCAAACCGTCTCCCACTGATTTCACTAGTGATTCACACAAAGACAGGACCCCCCCCAATCTGTGTCCTCTGTAGTGTAAGTCCCAGAGAGACAGAAACACAATTTCACTTTCGGTATGTTCTACAATCCTGACAGTAAGATTGTGGGGTAGCATGTGTTTCACCAGCAGATAATTTAATAAGTGTGTGTGTGTGTGTGAGAGAGAGAGAGGACCTGATTTCAGAATGAAGATTAAAAAATCCACCAGAACTTATTCAGAACTGAAAAAAGGATGAAAGAAAGCTGTGACTTGGGCGTGTGTTCATCGGTCCATCATGCTCAGAATCATCACTGGGGTCAGATCATTGTCAGCAGCAGCTGCTGCAATCTCCTCCACCTCCTCCACAGTCTGGTCCACCTCCTGCTCCACAGGAGTCTCCGCTCCTCCTTCACCCACCTCCACCTTCAACACGTCCTCTGTCATTGCCTCAGCACTCTCACTCTCCACCTGGATGATGTCAATAGCTACAAAACAACACACACATTCAGCTGACAGGTGAGCACTCAGAGAAAAGCTGCTAATTTATTTCTGAAGCTGAAGTATTTCTGAGTCTGGAAGCACAGGTGTGTTTACCTGGATAAGCTTCACGAGTGTGTTTACCTGGATAAATCTCACAGGTGTGTTTACCTGAATAAATCTCACAGGTGTGTTTACCTGGATAAATCTCACAGGTGTGTTTACCTGAATAAATCTCACAGGTGTGTTTACCTGGCTAAATCTCACAGGTGTGTTTACCTGGATAAACCTCACGAGTGTGTTTACCTGGATAAACCTCACGAGTGTGTTTACCTGGATAAACCTCACGAGTGTGTTTACCTGGATAAACCTCACGAGTGTGTTTACCTGGATAAACCTCACGAGTGTGTTTACCTGAATAAACCTCACGAGTGTGTTTACCTGAATAAATCTCACAGGTGTGTTTACCTGGATAAATCTCACGAGTGTGTTTACCTGGATAAATCTCACAGGTGTGTTTACCTGGATAAACCTCACGAGTGTGTTTACCTGAATAAACCTCACGAGTGTGTTTACCTGGATAAATCTCACAGGTGTGTTTACCTGAATAAACCTCACGAGTGTGTTTACCTGGATAAACCTCACGAGTGTGTTTACCTGAATAAACCTCACAGGTGTGTTTACCTGAATAAACCTCACAGGTGTGTTTACCGGAATAAATCTCACAATAAATCCCTGCTTGACAAAGCGCACCTGTTCACTTTAGGATTAGTCGGCTTCACAAACAATTCTCAGGTGGATTCAACCCCCATCAGCAATCGAGGCTCACGCGCATCCATAGGTAGCCCCTGTTAATCGATGCTAGATAAATGAGAATGGAAGTAAAGGAGAGACCGTCATTCAGACTCTGAACCAGGAAATGGCTGCAGGCAGTGAAACAGAAGGTAAAACACTCGGAGCAACCGGTGTCTCTGCCCCCTAGCCAATCAGCAGCCAGAATCACGATGCCATCCCGTCTCAGCCTTGCCAAGTACCTCAGCGGAGCAGGGACTAAAAATAGGGGGGAAAGTAGAGAAGAAATACCGAACCGTGCCCTTGAGAACAGCGACCGGGCCGAGCTACACGGGTCCGAGTTGCTCTGAGTAGTGTTCCTGGAAAAAAACGCTAGAGAGAATAAAGCTATGTAGCCGGCGCTATTTAGGTAGAGCGTGCACGTATTTTATTCAACGTTTCATCATTTATGTGTCGTTTTCAAGATCTGCTTCTGAGTCTGGATGGTTTTAGACTGGAGGACTTTATTTTTGCTGAGCAGCTGTGAGTTTTAAGAATATACATTTGGGGTAGGGCTGTTGAAAAAAATGGATTCTTCAATTCTGAATCGATTCTCATTAATATTCATGAGGATCAATTCGTACGTCCAAAGATTGATTTAACCCTTTAAGCACCAAAGTCGCAAAATCGCGACAAGCGTCATTGCTGACTTTAACGAGCCACAGCTTCAAATATGATCCCTCATGAAGTTACGACTTTACGCCAGAAAATAGTGAGGTGTATATCTTCACAATCTGAGCAACACTTATGTGTTTTAGAGATGAAACAACTAATCGATTATTAAAATAGTTGACAACTTATTTAGTCATCAATTGTTTCATAATCACGTTTTACCATAAGTGGTCTATTTTTAACACAATCTGTTACATCTGCTAGATTTGCTGCCAGTGTGTGGCAGTAATGAACCATCGATCTACCAGTGGCGCAGTAGAAGAAGAAATCAGCCAATAGGTATCCTTGTTTTCATGGCGTACTACGCACATGGCTGACGCTCATGCTCACACTGAGCAAGAAGGCGGAGCAAGAAAAGGTACAGGAAAAATAAAACAGAAACGATGAACCCGAGAAAAAATAACTTAAACACATCAAAAGTATGGAAGCACTTCACTCTAGATGCCATGAAAAGATGGGCGATATGCAAAATATGCAAAAATGATCTAGCATGGAACGGAAGCACGACTTCTCTAAATGAACATCTGAGACGAAAACATGTCGGAGTTGATGCAGCGGAAGGGCCTGTCCGGGAAGTCACTTACACCTGAGAAGAAAATAAACAAGTACAGTGGTCCCTCACTATAACGCAGATCGATTTTGTGACTTCGCTGTTTCACTGAGTTTGTTGTAGTACAATTTTACATGGTATTTGTAGTGTACTAACATTCATTGTATTCTACTGCTGATTGACAGATGCAATTGCAGATCTTCTTCGTGTCGTGTATCCTGCGCTTGCCAAATTTAGCATGTCTGTTTAAAAGACGGTTCTTGTCCAGAGACAAACATCACAAACCCATAACTATGTTCCTCACTTGAAAAAGAACAACTATGTGGAAAAAGATGTAGGGGCATATGAATAAAACGTGGCATACTGTAGTTATAAACTTCATTATAAACGTCAGTTTCACCTGCACAAATCAGCACAAACAAAGCACTAAAAAAGTAGACTAATATGGTCCATTTTGGAGCACTTTGGGAATTTGATGATGTCATCATGCTAAATTAAAATGTGTAATATCTCAGAAACCATAGCAGCACAAACGTCAGTTTCACCTGCACAAATCAACACAAACAAAGCACTAACCGAGCAGCCTATTTGCCTCCGCTTTTGAAGCTGACGGGGGGTCAGCTTCACAGAGCTTAAATAATAACTAACCTCTCTGAGGACACGGTGCTAGTGCACGCTCCTACAGCACCTTGACACGACTCAATACATATTGTGCAAAAATTTTGTGAACATCAATTTATTTGCATGTATTTGTTATAAATGCCACTGAATAATTCTTGCTGTCAGTATTTGCACGATATTGGTATTTGGGTCTGTACTGGTTAGACTTAAATGAGTTAAACCAAGGTCTTAGCCCTTGGGTCATAAACTATGAGCTATAAGTATATTGGTCTTTTTATACTGAGACCAGGAGTTATTTTAGTGATCATCTTGTTCTTATTTATTTTTGTCCCGATTGTGCCCTGAGCAATTTTATGACTGAATAAAAACAAATAACATCAACATCAATTGAAAAATCGTCTTAAATAATCAAGATCTCAATTTCAATCACAATAATCGTGATTATTATTTTTGCCATAATCGAGCAGCCCTAATACCCAGCTCTAGTTTGTGGTGGTCACGTGACCCTAAAGCTAACGCTGTAAACCGTTTGTCACAAATACACATTTAGCACAAATATTACCGTAATTTCCGGACTATAGAGCGCACCTCAATTTAAGCCACACCAACAAAAAAAAAAGGTTTTCTACACACACACACGCCGCACTCGAATACAAGCCGCGGCGCAGCAGCCACATGCAAGTCTCCGGCGCACGGCGCTTGTACGGCCATAACATAAGATAATTAGACGGAAAGACGCTACACGGAGGTTTTTCGTTGTTGTTTTAATTTAACAAAATGAATTTTAAACACGGGTGAACGTGCCTGCAAGTTTAGAAAAGAAAGCAGCACTGATAGCATTCATATTTCTGGATGGTTATTAAATAAAAACAGAACTGACACATTATCACCGGTAATTTGCATGTTTAGAAGAAAAGAACAGCGCTGACACAGCATCAATAAGCCCTGGATGATTAGAAAATAAAAACTGCACACAAAACATGCCTGGTTAGTAAATAAAACACACCAGCCTACCAGAAAAAGTCATTCGCTTTCATCTTCCTCTTGCGCGCTAAAGCCATTAAAGTCCTCTTCTTCAGTGTCGGAACTGAACAGCCTCAGAAGAGCTTCGTCACATACCTTTTCTGTGGCGATGTCCGTGTTGCTGTCATCATCCCCGGGTGAAGCTGGCTTGAATGAGTTCTTCCCGCTGTCGTCTCCAGCGCCGAACCATGGATTCATTCATGCCAAGCTCACGTGCGGCATCAATGTTTCCCTCCTTTACTGCCAGATCGATGGCCTTCATCTTAAATGTGGCAACATATGAACTCATACGTGTAGTTTCCATGATGAGGGGGTATGGATTTGAAAAAAATTCTTTGTGGTGCCGGCTGCTTACATGTGCTAAATTAAAATGAGCGCTTTCTTCGATTTCCACTTTTGACTTCCACCTGTTTCCCTTTCTGCTAAAGCGCCCCCTGCAGGTGAAGGAAAATCTTCAGTAAAGCCGCACCTCATTATAAGCCGCATGGTTCAAAGCGTGGGAAAAAAGTAGCGGCTTATAGTCTGGAAAATACGGTACACACCGAAGACAACACTGTCATTTTCTTTAGGGATGTCACGATACACCTTTTTCACTTCCGATACGATACCAATAATGCAGCCTCCCGTATTGACTGATACTGATATCAGTCCGATATGATATCATCACAAATCATACATATTTTTACCTATTTCGTAGTGTGGAATGTATGAAAGGCTTGATCAAGTGATATTACTCAATCAGAGAACAAGAGCCAGCAACGGTAAGTATGACAAAAAAAAGAGGATTTTTTTTAAACCATTGGTTGCAAAAATGTGAACCTTATCGGACTGCTTATATCAGAGATTTTTGATGCAGTCCGACATAATCCCAAAGTGTTTTTGGGCCAGTATCGAATTACTTCCGATATCGATATCGGAAAGGGACATCCCTAATTCACATCAAACATTGGCGTGTTTGACACGTGACCAGAGTAAATATAAAGTCACACCAATCAAGTAATTCCTTTTTCATGTGTATACTAAGGTAGTTTAATGTTATTTTAACACGTGCGGGGCAACATCAGTGGGATGAAACACTCCTGGCTGCAGATGAAGACTAAATACATCAAATGTTAAGATGTAAATCCAATTAGAGCTCAGTCTTAAAAGTTTAAACCTCACATTTATCAATAATTTAGCCATCAAGAACAAAGCTGCTGCTACCGCTGTGGGCCAGCGTTGTTGCTAATCCACCATCTCGTAGCTGCCAGCCACCAACAAGAAAAAGGTGACATCGTGCAATCATATTCCAGCTACTTGGCTTCAATCAAGCAGCTAGCTCTGTTCTGATATTTTTACAGTCCTCGTAGGCATGAATGAATAATTCTTGCCCTGTCTGTGAGTGCAATCAGGCTCTGTCCTTTCCATCCATTCTCATTTATCTAGCATCTATTAACAGGGGCTGCCTGTGGACGCGTGTGAGCCTCGCACATCACTCCTCCCTTAGACTAGAGGGTTGAATCCACCTGTGGATCGTTGGTGGTACCGAAAACTCCTTGAGTGAACAGGTGCGTTTTGTAGAGCAGGGATTCATCAGGATAGCCCTGATGTTCTGAGCTCGCTAAGCGGTATACCCCCCAGGTGTTTACCGGAATAAACCTCACAGGTGTGTTTACCTGAAGTTGCTGCTTCGGCCGCTGGTTTCACAGCCTTGCTGGAAGTCCAAGGTTTGGGGTTCTTTGGGGGTCTGCCTCGTTTCCTCTTGACTGGAGGCTCATCAGGAGGTGGTACCGGGACAACATTAGGAGCTTGTTCTAGTTCTAGGCTGTTTGCTTCTTCCTCCTCTTGCAGAAGTTCAGCATTATTCTCACCCTCATCTTCGTCCTGCTCAAAGTAATCCTCCTCTGAAGACAGAAACATCATAAGAGTTAGCAGTCAGAACACCATGCCACACTCCAACACAGCTAGTGACGTACCACTATCCTCCTCGTCTTTCCTGTTCCTCATCTTCCTCTTTCTTCCTCGCGCTCCTTTCTTTGGGGTGGGACCTCCGTTCTCGGCCTCATCCACCTCGCCGTTACAGTTCTCAGCGTGGCGAGCCATGGTGTTCTGAAAACAAACACCCCAGATAAACGACTCGTGTTGGGAGTCTCAAACCGGTGCGTGTTGTTTGTTGTTTCCACACGTGTCAGTGTTTCCATTTCTTTTCAAAAGTGACAATTTTGCTTGTGATTTCTCTCAACAAATCCTAAAAATTGAAATACTCATCAGAAAGAGTTATGATTGAAAGAACCTGACGTAAGAGCTTTGTGTTAGATAACACAATATTACTGCCGTAGTAAAACATCTAAACCCCACTTAGACCTGCAACAGGGACAAAAACAACAGCAGCTGTTGTTCAGACCAGAGTTCAGGGTCTGAGTCAGGTCTTGTGCTGAATCTGGCCCACGGCCCACTAACTGATGAACCTCACCCTGCGTGTGAAGGTCTTGCTGCACTTGGAGCAAACAAAAGCCACGGGGACAAAGTTGGGGTCGTGGTAGCGTTTGAAGTGCATGTCCAGGAGCTGCTTCTGTCTGAAGGTCTTCTCACACTGGCTGCAGGCGTACGGTTTCTCTCCAGTGTGGGTGCGACGGTGCATCACCATGTGGCGCTCCTGGACCCGGCAGGATTGGAACACAAGTGTTGGACAAACATTATGTAATTCCATTCCTGATCCACAGAGATTTAACAGAGATGTTTCTCTAAACTCAAAGCTGCTGCGGACGTTCAGGCAAGCTACATAAAAAAACAATATATATATTTTACGGTCTGACCCCCTTCTTCAGGCTCTCCTTAGTCACAGAAAATGGTAAAACATCGGCTATAGTACGTATACTGTTAACCATAATAACATAACATCATCCCACCGCTTATGCCACGATTCCAAACATAACCCGCCTATGTAAAGGTGTAGCATGTTAGCTAGTGTAGGGTTTCTATGGTGAAAACACGGCCGGTTTTACTTTCTTTGTTCATTCTTAACGTCAAAATGAAAGCAGCTCAACGCTACTGACAATCTGAGAAACCCCAACAAAAAAGGTATGTGAGTGAAAACAAACCTGGCGGCAACAGTAGTCACACAAATCACACCTGAAGCGTTTCTCATTTTTATGGGACTTCTGGTGTTGGATCAGAGCGTAACGTTCATGAAACACAGCATCGCAGTAACGGCACTTCTTTCCCGTCTCTATGAAGGAATGCTGCTTCCGAAGATGCACGCCTGAACAAAAGAGAACAAACGAGAATGCTGGTTGGAAGGAGCATAGCCACGTGTCAGGATGAGCTTTTAAATTTCAGGCCATGGCTGGAAGACCTAAGCATGGTCCAGAGTTGGATCAGAAATATTGTGTGAATGCCAGATGCTGTCCGGTTTATATAAAAAAGTTATGAGGGGAGATTCTATGGCAGAAAACTTGCTGAATATTAATGTCCAAAATTTTTGGGCAGCAAACTTTCACTACCTACTGTTGAAGGTGTATCTGGGGAAGATATTACTGCAGCATTATGGAGGCAGCTTGCATTTCAAGCAGGGCGGAACCTTTGTCATTGATTTCCTGGTAGACCAGATATCACTGACGCACACAACAATGCACAGTGCTCTGCTAACGGCTACTGAAAGGGAACAATTTGAAGAAATTGCCTTGCTTGGACTGCTGCCATATTTGTGAAAACATGTCAGCCTCTTTTCTTAACTTAAATAAAAACAAACTTCCTGGAAACTATGGAGTCTGTGATGCGGACATTTTTCAGAGATTGTCTCTGATCTCCGCTGCTGCCCGGTGGCACCGGAAGCTTTACACAAGTGGAGGTATTATTAACATTCATGTAACATTTGTGCAGCGCTGAAAGCACCAGGCAGAGTAACGCTTTGCTCCTATAAACGATAGTGGATTTGTGTCTTTTTTCATAACACACAGTGACATTTGAACAATTAAAATGTATTTTCTTAGAAATGAAACAGTTGAGTTTACAGTAATAATGTCCATGCCTAATAATTCATTCTTTGCCTCATTTTTTTATTGCTTTGAGGGCACATTTACCTATATGATTAAAATGTGATTAATTTAGATTAATTAATTAATTAATTAATTAATTAATTACAAAGCTTCTAATTAATTAGATAATTACTCCTCCTTGAACCGTCACCTTACCGTGGTGGAGGAGTTTGAGTGCCCTAATGATCCTAGGAGCTATGTTGTCTGGGGCACTTTGTACCCCTGGTAGGGTCTCCCATGACAAATTGGTCTTAGGTGAAGGGTGAGACAAAGAACGGTTCACAGGATCTTTCATGGATGTAAATTCAAAGAGTCGGAGTACCCGGCCCGGAGGGTTACCAGAGTCCCACCCTGGAGCCAGGCCTGGGGTTGGGGCCTGTGAGCGAGCGCCTGGTGGCCGGGCTTTCGCCCATGGGGCCCGGCCGGGCCCAGCCCGAACCGGATACATGGGCTCATCCAACTGTGGACCCACCACCCGCAGGAGGAACATGAAGGGTCCGGTGCAATGTGGATCGGGTGGCAGACCAAGGCGGGAGCCTTGGCGGTCAGCTCCCCGGACAAAAAAACTGGTTTTTGGGACATGGAACGTCACCTCGCTGGCGGGGAAGGAGCAGGAGCTTGTGGCAGAGGTTGAGCGGTACCGGCTAGATATAGTTGGACTGACCTCGACACATAGCATTGGCTCTGGAACCCAAGTCCTTGAGAGGGGTTGGACACTCTCCTTTGCTGGAGTTGCTCCGGGTGAGAGGCGGAGGGCTGGGGTTGGCTTTTTGTTAGCCCCAAGACTCTCTGCCTGTGTTGGGGTTTACCCCGGGGGACGAGAGGGTAGCTTCCCTGCGCCTTCGGGTCGGGGAACGGGTTCTGACTGTTGTTTGTGCTTGTGGGCCAAATATCAGTTCAGAGTACCTACCCTTTTTGGAGTCCCTGGGACGAGTGCTAGATAGTGCTCCATCAGGGGACTCCATTGTCCTGCTGGGGGACTTCAATGCTCACGTGGGCAATGACAGCTTGACCTGGGGGGGTGTGATTGGGAGGAACGGCCCACCTGATCTGAACTCAAGTGGTGTTTCGTTATTGGACTTCTGTGCAAGCCGCAGTTTGGCGATAACGAACACCATGTTCGAACATAAGGATGCCCATCGGTACACTTGGTACCAGGTCAGCCTAGGTCGCAGGTCGATGATAGACTTTGTAGTCGTATCATCTGACCTGCGGCCGTATGTTTTGGACACCCGAGTGAAGAGAGGAGCGGAGCTGTCAAATGATCACCACCTGGTGGTGAGTTGGATCAGATGGTAGGGGAAGATGTCGCGTAGACCTGGCAGACCCAAACGCATAGTGAGGGTCTTCTGGCAACGCCTGGCAGAAGAACCTGTTAAGATGGTCTTCAACTCCCACCTCCGGCAGAGCTTTGACCGCGTCCCAAGAGCAGTGGGGGACATTGACTTTGAGTGGGCTTTGTTCCACTCTGTGATTGTTGAGGCGGCTGTAGCTAGCTGTGGTGGCAAGGTGGCCGGTGCCAGTCTTGGTGGCAACCCCCATACCCACTGGTGGACACCAGAGTTTCGGGGAGCCATCAGGCTGAAGAAGGAAGACTACAGGGCATGGCTGGTCTGTGGGTCTCCGGAGGCAGCAGACAGGTACCAGATAGCCAAGCGGGGTGCAGCAGTGGCAGTTGCCGAGGCAAAATCTCGGGCGTGGGAGGAGTTTGGTGAGGCCATGGAGAAAGACTATCGATCGGCTCCAAAGAGGTTCTGGCAAACTGTCCGGCGCCTCAGGAGAGGAAGGCAGCAACTCGCTCACACGGTTTACAGTGGGGATGGGGAGCTGCTGACGTTAACTGGGGCTATAGTCGGACGGTGGAAGGAATACTTTGAGGAGCTCCTCAATCCCACCTATGCACATTCCGAGGAAGAACCAGAGCCGGGAGACCTGGGGATGGACTGTCCAATCTTGGGGGCAGAAGTTGCTGAGGTAGTCAAACAACCACACAGCGGCGGAGCCCCGGGGGCGGATGAGGTTCGTCCTGGGTATCTCAAGGCTATGGATGTTGTAGGGCTGTCATGGTTGACACGTCTCTGCAACATTGCATGGTCATCGGGGGCAGTTCCTGTGGAGTGGCAGACCGGGGTGGCGGTCCCCATCTTTAAGAAGGGTGACCTGAGGGTGTGTTCCAACTATAGGGGGATTACACTCCTCAGCCTCCCTAGAAAGGTCTACTCCAAGGTACTGGAGAGGAGGGTCCGATCGATAGTTGAATCTCAGATTGTGGAGGAGCAATGAGGTTTTCGTCCTGGCCGTGGAACTGTGGACCAGCTCTATACCCTTGCAAGGGTGATGGAGGGGGCATGGGAGTTTGCCCAACCAATCCACATGTGTTTTGTGGATTTGGAGAAGGCTTATGATCATGTCCCCAGGGGCACCCTGTGGGGGACGCTCCAGGAGTATGGGGTGGGCGGCTTTCTGTTAAGGGCCATTCAGTCCCTTTACCAGAGGAGCGTGAGTTTGGTCCGCATAGCCGGTAGTAAGTCGGACCTGTTCCTGGTGAGGGTTGGACTCCGCCAGGGCTGCCCTTTGTCACCGGTTCTGTTCATTACCTTTATGGACAGAATTTCTAGGCGCAGTCGTGGTGTGGAGTGTGCCGAGTTTGGTGGCAGGAGAATCTCGTCTCTGCTTTTTGCGGATGATGTGGTCCTTCTAGCTTCATCCAGCTCTGACCTTCAGCTCTTGCTGGGTAGGATCGCAGTGGAGTGTGAAGCGGCTGGGATGAGGATCAGCACCTCCAAATCTGAGACCATGGTTCTCGACGGGAAAAAGGTGGCTTGCCAACTCCGAGTCGGGGGAGAAGACCTACCTCAAGTGGAGGAGTTTAAGTACCTCGGGGTCTTGTTCACAAGTGAGGGTAGGAGGGATCGGGAGATCGACAGGCGGATTGGTTCAGCCTCTGCAGTGATGCGGACGCTGAGCCGATCTGTCATGGTGAAGAGGGAGCTGAGCTAGAAAGCCAGGCTCTCGATTTACTGGTCGATCTACGTCCCAATCCTCACCTATGGTCATGAGCTTTGGGTAATGACCGAAAGAACGAGATTGCGGATACAAGTGGCCGAAATGAGTTTCCTCCGTAGGGTGGCCGGGCTCAGCCTTAGAGATAGGGTCAGGAGCTCGGACATTCGGGAGGGACTTGCAGTAGAACCGCTGCTCCTCCGGATTGAAAGGAGCCAGTTGAGGCGGTTTAGGCATCTGGTCAGGATGCCCCCTGGACGCCTCCCCAGGGAGGTGTTTCGGGCATGTCCTGCCGGCAGGAGGCCCCCGGGTCGACCCAGGACATGTTGGAGAGGTTACATCTCCAATCTGGTCCGGGAACACCTTGGGGTCCTGCCGGAGGAGCTGGTGGAGAAGGCCGGGGAGAGGACGGTCTGGAGCTCCCTAGTTGGGATGCTGCCCCCGCGACCCGGACCCGGATAAGCGGAGGAAGAAGAGACGACGACATTTTTTACTCAAGTCTCACCTGAATTAGTTGACTTACTTTAAAAACTAGAAATTTGCCCCAGAAGTAGCTGCTGGCCCCTGATCCGCCATCCTTTTGACAATAACGCGCTGTAATGTTTGACCAAGGCCAGGCTACAAGGCACCTCCTGTGTATCCTTGCTCAGCTAGCTAAACGGCTAACAAACAGACACCTTGGTAGAACGTGAACATTGGAACACGCCTTGGTGGTTCCTGATGACGAATCTCCTAGGCAACTGCTGCTAGACCAAGACACCAAGGCAAGGTTCCTTAACATTGAGAAACACTATTAAATAACCACGTGGAAAGTCACATCTGGTGGTCGTGGAAAAGATGATAAAGGAATGATTAAAACCTGGATGGATAGTGGGGACCCGTCGTCTTTGAGGAAGAAATGTGTCCAGAAAAGGATCAGCGATCACTTAAAGGTTTGGTGAAATCAAATGGAAGAAAAACAACAGTAGAAGTCAGAGCCATGTTTGGTAGTGAAAGTAAGAAAGAGCCTTTTCAAACACACAATGTGAAGGGAACTCAAGGGATTGGGACTGAACAGTGAAACACTAATCAGTGAAGCAAACTGGAACAAAGGCTTCAGTTTGCAAGGGAGCATAAAGATGGATGTCTGTAACTGCAGGCTTGTGTTATTTTAAAGCTCATCTGAAAGGTTTAGTATCATCTCAGCCATCACTGATCCCACGTGAGCTATTACTACTCATCCAGCCTAAGGAAGCATGGTTCAAGTGTTTATGTGTGGATTCTTCTTTTGTATCATGATTTTAGAATATAAATGTAATTTAACATTTTTAGGATTAGATTTCTATAGGCGTCTGTCACATGTGTACTATGTATTTGATTTATTATGACATAATTTTATATTGGACCAATGCGTATGTTAAATGAAGTCCACTACTACCACTAAAACCACCCAAAAGACAAACGTCTGCCGTGGTTCCGTAAGATTTACCCAGGTCGCTCTTGCGTGCGATGACTGTGTCACAGTGAGGACAGTGGAATTTGGCCACATTTTCTGTGTGTTTCTGCAGAATGTGCATCTTCATAGTTCCACTCTGGGTGAAGCGGGCGTGGCAGATGTAGCACTCGTAGGGTTTTTCTCCTGAGAACAACATGAGGCAACAATCTCATCACACTCCAGCGGAAAACATGGCCAAAGAGACAGAAACTAGTGAATACAGCCAACCTTCTAAAGAAGGAATTTCTTCTTTCTGTTAATAAAGTCTCAATGAGGTTTACCCAAAATAAAGCAACAGTTTAGGTGTCTACCTGAGTGCGTCCTCATGTGTCTCTTCAGCTTGTATGTGTCTCTGCTGGCGTAGCTACAGAGGCTGCACTGGAAGGGCCGTTCGCCCGTGTGGGAACGGATGTGACGCTTCAGCTTGCTCACCTGAACAACACACACCTTTAGCCTTAGCCTCTGTGCTGGTTACGATGTTAAGTGGCATGCCATAGGGAGCTGGGTCTGTTTTCACATGCAAACGTGGGTCATGCTTCAGCTCACAACAAGATGCAATGAACAACAGGGTGCTTTATTAAACTGCAGCTATTTCCATGTTTAGCGACTCAAATCTGAACACAGAGGCTACATTTAGCTCTGTTGCTGTTTACTTTCACAAGATGCAGCCAAAACGATTGTTTTTCTGTATTTTATTAACCTGCAAACTTGGAGATGTTCAGTAAACAAATGGGGGAGCAGCCTACATCTGACGTGAACCGCAGCAGGGGGAGGAGCGGGACTTTGCGGCTCATTACAGGGACTTATTATTGGGAAAGTACCAACATTTAGCACCAAAAAACGATACTTCTTACCATTTTTTCGGTACCCTGGTCGGCTCCAGTCTTGATTTTATTACCAATTTTATCACAGAAGGACCTGCTGGATCCCAGGGCTCTCACACACACAACTACTACACCAGCTTGGTGCTTAAGTAGGTCTGCTTCGTAGCGCAGCCAGAGGACGCCGCCGGTCCAGCAGCTGGTCTCGACAAGAGACGGAGTCTGCTGCTCACACACCGGTGTTACAGAAAGGAGCGGATCCTCTCAGAGCAGCAGCAACCGTGTTTGTTAAAGGCTAAACAATCGCTCTCTAGTTTTTGATGTTAACAAAAGCAACAGATTGACTTTTCCAATCAAACTTTCTTGACTGATCTTAAATGCAAAACTGTTTGTTTTTCAAGCATTTTCAAGGACTTAATACAGAAAAAAGCACTTTCCATACCTTGAGAACACGATTGAAATGTAAACATTTTCAAGGATTTCAAGCACCCGTACGGACCCTGCAGATAAAGTGAATAGTATTTAAATGAAGCGAGTCTCACCTCCACACTGGCGTAGTCACACATGGAGCACTTGAAGGGCTTCTCATGAGTGTGTTTGTAGCGCCGATGGCGAACCAGTTCTCCACTGGTCACAAAAGCCATGTCACAGTCTGTGCACTTGTGTGGGCGAGTCCCTAAATAAAACAACAAGATGAGACTCCTGCACTCTCACTCTGAATAAAGTCCATCTTCCTTAAATAAATAACTCCACAACTTTATAGGCTGACATAATCAGATGTGTTGAACGAACAAGATCGTGTTTGAATAATCAGTACATTAATCAATGATGTGTTAAAAAGAACATTTTTTCCTGCAGTGATTCATTTCGGGCCTTAAACTGCACCAGATCCGTGTTTAGTTGATCCATCAGTAAACTCATACACATGATAATGAGATTATTATGAATGTTTAACGTTTTTGTTTCACGTAACTCTTATAACATGTACACTTCACACTGAGAGAAACCTCTCTGAGTATCTGACTGAAGGCGTGACTTCTGACATATTTTGGTAACGCCTTTTAAACGTGTCAAATTCTGGTTTGTCTAGAACTAGTAAACAACATCTAACAGATCCAGGAATCACTTCCTGGTCTAGTGGTTCTCCCGCTGCATCCTGGTTTGGCCAACTGACCGGTGAGCAAGCATTTGAGACCATCCTATCTTTTGACCTCAAGGTCAAAGCCTCTCTGCAACGCTTGCGAGTGATTTCAGACACACCGCCGAACGGCCTTAGATGCTCAATAAGCACTCCAGCTTCCTGCCGCCACCTGGAGGTATCTCAGACTAGACGGGTCGTATCGGAGCTATCTACGAGCTCCGGTACCAGGCCAACTGCAGTATCTATCTCGACCTCCTGACCCCCTGGATCGCCCGGGGACCTCCACACAAGGGTGCGTAGACTCGGCACTAATGGCGTTGGATGGTTTTACAAACAAATCTCTAGCTTATCAAACCATACAGCTAGGGTTGTCACGGTGTGAAAATGTAACCGCACGGTTATTGTGACCAAAATTACCACGGTTTTTGGTATTATTGCGGTATTTTTTTTAAACGTGCTACATTTTCACACAATTAAATAAACCCTGTATGTCAGGAAAATGTTGTCCTCGGTTTGTGTCTAAATTTTGCCTAAAATGTGTTATTTTGTAATTATGTTGTTTGTTTACAATTTTCCTCTTTAGTCTTTAAAATACCAATATTTGCCCATAACTTCTTATTTTATGTCTGTTTGATGTCATCATTTTAAAAATATTAGATCAGATGATACTCAGTACTCAAGTAGCCTTCTAATCAGATACTTTTTTACCCGTACTTGAGTAATAAACCCTATATCAGGAAAATATTGTCCTCGGTTTGTGTCCTTCCAGTGAGCTTTGCAGATGTGGGAAAATGTCATCAGGCAGTAATCATTGTTAAATTCATAATTATTCTCGGAGAGAGACCAACTCTTATCTGCCCCTGGGAGCCCCGTAATGCATAACGTCATTTCAACATGGGGGTGTCCGCGACACGGTTTATATGCAGGTAGCGGCGCTGCGGCTGCTTTATATAGCGACTCGTTGCATTCTCCCTCAACCCAAATCCTCGGGTCACGCATTTGAGCTAAAATGCTAATGTTAGCTTGCCTTGCGTTGACTGCAGAGTTGTGGGTGATGGTCACGCAGATGTATCATGAGATTTGAAGCGTTGCTGCCTTTCACAGACACTTTTTCTGCACGTGCTGCAAACAGGATAGCCGTCTTCTATCAACTGTACCTCGGCATTCTTCAAATATCCAAAAGATGCCCGTACTTCCCACTTTGTCTTCTTTGAGGGATAAAAAATGTCCTGAGCGCCGCCGTCTCCTCCTTTGGCCGTTATTTCAGCTTTAGCTTCAAGAAAGTTTTGGTTGTAAACAACAAAGCGTGCATGTGCCGCCGGCAACTTCAGCAGATGATACGGTGGCTGGTAAGGGTCACCGCGCCTACACCGCAGTCACGGTAACCCACCGAGATAATATAGTTTTTAAAAAACAAGACGGTTATTATTATGGTCAACTTTTTTACTGGGGTTTACCGCTACACCGGTTACCGTGACAACCCTACCGCTACACCGGTTACCGTGACAACCCTACATACAGCCAAACTGATGTTAGCACCCAGACTCCACAAGCTCTCAGGAAGGTTCTGCTAAAACATCTAGCTCCCATTCCACTCGTGCACATTCATACTTGGTCATGTGTGATCATTTAGTTTAGGAAAATAGAACGAGTCGTTCTTATAACTACATTCTTGACGCTGTCTGATTAATGTGAAGCGTGTGTTCCCTGAACAAGTCAGAGAACCTAAAGGAATATAAATTAAACATCCCAAGACCAATCAGATTGATGTTCCATATTCATATGGAACATCACATCTTACTGATCATTTAAAACATAAGTAGCCAATGGTTAACGCTACAGAGGCATTAGTGTAAAGTTATGACACCTTATCGCTGCTGAAGGCCACGGCGGCACAACAATCAGGACTCTACAACAGTCCTATAGCGCGTCTGTCAGGCTCACTGGCACTTCTGTAAACACCTGTGTGAGTGTTGAGATGGTTTCGCAGCAGAGTCACGGTCCTGAAGGCTCGTCCACACAGGTGGCATTTGTGCGGCCTCTCATCGGTGTGGCTCTTCATGTGTCGGTCCAGGTTGGAGCGCCGAGGGCAGGTGTAGCTACACAGCTCACACTGGAAGGTTTTCTTCACCCCTGACACAACAGCAGCAGAACAGCTTTTAGGTTAAGCCGCGCTGACTGACTGGAGTAAATGATGTTTTCTTACCTTTCTTCTTGATCTTGGTGGGTTTGGGAGGCTTCATGGTGCCGACTACTTTCTCTGCATTCACCTCTGACAGGAGGCCTTCCTGCTGCTCCTCCTCAAAATCATAGACACTGACATCCATGTCCTTGTCGCCTTCAGCATAACGCAGACGACTCTTCTTACCCTGAGAAAGCAGCTGGTTCAGAAACAGCCTGCAAGTATCTCAGACCCCAGAGAGGGACGGAACCACGTTACCTTCTTGGTCTTTCTGACCCCCACAGAGGGAGGCTGATAGTCTGGGTCTTTAGCCCAGCTTGGGTCATCATTCAAAGGCTGAACAGGCTCATCTTCTGCTTCGTCCAGGATCTGGTTTCCCACCTCCTCCTCCTCTTCCTCCTCCTCCTCCTCTTCTTCATCATGGCCGTCTGCTCCCTTCTCCTGCTCTACTGTCTCCACCTCCCCATTAGCTCCAACCTTCACCACCTACAACACCAGTAACATTTGTTTGTCAACATGACAAAACCTCCACATGAACCAATCTACAATTCACCCAAAATCAGGAGGTTATTTTCGCTGGTGCACCTGGAAGCCCTCGGGGAGAGGCAGCGTGTGACAGATGACTGGATCTCCGTCCTTCGGCATGGCAGAAGTGTCCACGAATGTGCCTTGCTGCAGGGTTTCCACGGCAGAGGCCGACACAGGCACCTGGACCAGCTGGAGTTCCCCCAGGCCCAAGGCTGCTTGTTCCTCCATGTTTACCAGCTGCGAGCAGAGAGAAGCAGCAGCTCAAGACTCAGACCAGGTGTTTGTGTTTCTGGTACAGTCTGTGTGACCGGTGAAGAATGGATGAATCACCTGGAGGGTGATGATTTGGGCCTGGTCCACTGTTGTGACAGCAGCTTGATGAGCGACACCCCCGACCACACCCACTGTAGTGGTGGAGGCCCCCACATCAGTGTTTATTACCTGTGAAGTAAACAGGTGTTTGAACTCCACCTGCAGGCCTGTTGGATCTGCAAACACACCGTTACTCTAAACCAGACACGATCTTGAGTTACTCTTACTTCCGTCTTCATCTGCATCAGAGTCGGATCCAGTGAGTCAATCACCATCATCTCAACTCCGGCTCCGCCTTCTACACCAACCCCCACCCGAGCTTCTATCAGCTCCTCCTGTGATTGGCTGGCTACCATTCCCACCACGTGGCCTGAAACACAACATTCCACAGTCACTCCTGCTTTTCCGGACGTTTCCATGACAGGGCACTTGCACCGGACCTTGTGTGAGCGTGACTCCAGCTTGTCCCTGCATCACACCGCCAGCATCGGCAACGTGCTGAAGGAGGTCCACCACCATGGCATCGTGGCCGTGGACGGCCTGAATGGTCGGGACGTCCACCACCCCGCCATCATCTGCTGACTCCCCGTTCATGCTGGGTGAAAAGAGTTAGACTTGGTAAATCCTCACCAGAGCAGTCAAAACACCCTAAAACCAACCAGATGAAATAAATATGTCACTAAAACCTGATGGATGAGTGTCTCCACACAATAAAAGTGTCTAAAGCATTTCAGTGTGTTTATAACAAATGATCCCATGAACTGCTGAGCTGAGTTAATCAAGCTCTCAGGAGGTAATCACTGGATTGTGTAGCTGACCAACCCTAGCTGTAACGACTAGGGATGCACCGATACGATACTGGTATCGGTATCAGTGCCGATACTGATACCAGTATCGGTATCGGTAAAAGTTAACAGATACCAGTAACTGATACCAATGCAGTTGCTTGAAAGTGACTTCACTGTAAATTGCCATTTCTGTTCACCTAATATTTTAGTTTTGTGATCACTTCTATTACTTTTTATCTACCTCACAGGCTTTTCCTATTGAAAACAGAAGAAAATAAAACCTGTATTCCAATTCATTGCATTTTTTTTGGTGTGGTAGAAGTATCTGTATCGGTAACTGGTATCGGCGAGTACTCAGATCCAAGTATCGGTATCGTATCGGTTTGGAAAAAAGTGGTATTGTTGCATCCCTAGTAACGACACATGTTCAGGTCAAACTTCACGAGCTGAACGTTATTTAGAACAGATAAATAAACATAAAGTCAAAAATCCTGCCTTCCTATCAAGTATTCAGACTGAGGTCCCTTTGACAAGGACCAGACGTGGATCTAGTTCAGGAGCCGCACACGAAAGCAGCCCGGGTGCGGTTAGAAACTCTGGTTGGGACTGTCTGTCATATAAATCAGATATGGGGCACATACAAGTAAAGGGTTTCACTTTGTTGCTGTATGACCCGCAATCTGTTGGTGGACCAGATCCACAGAGGAAGGTTTCGGACTGGTCAGTTGCTGTAGTGTGATCATGCTGTACATGCGCTCATCCTTCCCTTTCCTGATGTCGGAGAGGACAGTCCGGAGCGCAGGCTGGGTTTTTGCTAATCCGCAGAGAAAATCGATGACAACGTTTAACAGAAAGAAGAGTCATCAGAAATGTCACTGGGTTGTCTGCTAGGTGCTTTATTGACAGGAAGTAGTTAAGGAGGTCTGAAAAGTCATTAGAAATAGTGACAAGTTGGTAAAATGGTGTGGGGAGTGCGCTCCTTCTGCAACCTAGAGCGGCGAGAGAGTAAACTGCAGAGGAGGAGCAAATAATGGGTTCATTTTGTTTTTATGACCTTTGAAAATCCAGATTGTAAATGAGATCGACATTCACTTAACCAGCCAGCTTTAACACACGTGCTGGACTCTGGAGAGCTGCACAAGCGCTGCCTGAACCGCCTTATTATTTCTGAACTGAACTACAGAGCAGCACATGGTTATGTAGGTGTGGGCTGTACTTCCACAGTCCAGAAATACACAGGTGTGTGTGTGTGTCTCACCTCTAGCCAGATCACGTGTCCAGATAGGCTCCACCCGCTCCCCCGTTACCCTGAACAGGTAGAATAATTGTGATTTTTGTGTTTTTACATTAAAACTGTTGCATTAGTATCCAGGAACAATAACATTAAATGTCATAAAATTCACTTGCACTTTATAACGACTGTCCTGGACACGTGCGCATGTGTGTGAGATTTGAAGTGGACCTGCATTGATAGTACTGAGGTGTCTTAATGGACTGGTAATGCTTATAGTATTACTACTAATCCAAAGTACCACATGAAACGGACCCAGGTGTTTAGTACCTGGGACAGGCATGTCATCGTTTTGAACTCGTATTAACGTTTTCCTGTTAAAACAAGAGTTTAGTCAAGTGCGTCCGGTACCAGGAGGAATAAAAGGACACCTGCACTGAAGTGTGGACCTGTATAGCAGCTGGGTGGTTCGGTAAAGGCCCGGGGACACGTCTGGACCTCAGTGACAGTCTCTGCTTCTTGTGTTGCATTTAGAGTCCAGCGGTATTTTTGTAGCTCTCCCAGCCGAGTCGTAGAGGGAGCTCTCTCTGTCAGACTCCAGGTGGGCTTAAGCATATGGCGGCGAGTGGGGCGACAACAGCCGCCAAGTCCCACTTCGTCCCAGCAGTCAGACAACAGACAGGTTGCGTTGCGGTATACAATGGAGGACGGGAGACATGAAGGGACGTCTAATGTTAAATTAGGGTTTGGAGCGAGCGGAGCAGGGAGGTTTTTACCGCCGTCATTCTCTTCCGCGTTGGCCTGGCTCCTTATTTCCGCCTATGGACGCTCCTCCCTGGACTAACAACAACAGTATTCGGGGAAATGAAAGAAGAAATTAAACGTTTGCTCGGTTATTTGAAGGCTTTTGAGACTGAAGCAGCAGTGTGGGGAAGGCCGTAAGCCTGAGCTAGCATTAGCCGCCTAGCTCTGACGGGACTTCCTTCACATTAAAGCAGCTGGAGCGCCTAACAACAGCGGCTCAAACACAACTCAGACAGGGACGCGTCGCAGCCTCACGGCCCTTGTTTCCAGCTCGTTTGTGTTTGTGAAGGCAGCTTTCTGTGTGCTAGCTAAAACCCGACAGCGCGTCGCTTAGTGAAGACACGGAAGACAAAGACGAGCGAAAATGGACGCCTTGTTTGTCTGGACTCTTAACGAAATCGACGAATGATCCATTTCATCTGTATGCAGATTAACACCACAAACAAACAGCTTATTGTTTATTTATTCTCTTTTCGGATCTTTCGATGAGTTTTTCAAAAGCGATAGAGGGAGACAAACACTCTCCCACGAGCTGCCAGTTCCCAGAGCCCCATCGTGACACCTAGAGGCCGAATAAAGATCCTGCAAACTCCCCCCGTCAGAAAAGTAGTGATACTTTACCCGTTTTAACGCGTTTCTTCCCCCTGTGCTCCCAGCTGGACGCAGAGTGTGTGCTAAAAAGTTTACATTGCTAGTTGATAGTCTTCGCAGATTTTTTATTTCCTCTCCCGCTTTAGCAAAGTAGCTTATGGCACAAAATGGCAGTTGAGGGCTCAGTGCGCCTGTGCGGCCGCTGGGGGGTGTTGTCGAAGCTGCTGCATACACGCTAATCGTCCGGGAGGGGGCGCTCACGGACCAACCCAGGCTCCCAGCCTGCAGGGATCTGAGTTATCTAACCAATTAAAATAAACTAGACCCTCTGTTGTAAGCCTGTCTCGATGAACAAGTCTAATAAAGAATGACTCAATAATCTTGATTTCCGTACACAAAGTAGTGCTTTAAGACAGGACTAGACATTGCACAAAAGACCATTTGCCACTTCCAGGGTTTGAAAGTGTAAAATAAAATCAACATCTGTGCCCTTTTCCTTTTCTCTCTTTGGTTTATGAGTCATCAGTAATGTTTCCTATAATCCGCATGTTCATATTATGCACTTTTGCATTCCTTGTTTATTGGGAGATAAACAATCCACATTCCCCTGGATTAGTGCCAATTACCATCATTGGATTGTCTATATTTCTAAACGTTTCTAAGACACACACACACATAGGCCTCTGTGGTATAAATATATCCAGATTTATTCCATTTTTTAGTAAAAGGTTCTAGTACTTTTGGGAGGAACAGCCAGGTCACACTGCTTGTGTTCTTTGCCTGATATGACTCATAATAAACCACACACTTTAAATAAATGTTTATTTGTTTTTTATACATTATACACTGTATTTTCTGCAAATATAATAAATATATAAAAGCCCGTTGAGTTTAATTCACCCTGCTTACAGAAAAAGGTACAGGTTGTGCTGGAAGGATGCTCCTACAGCTTGTTTGAGGCACTAGTCAGGTCTTCTGTCCAAGCACAAGTATAGATGCAGGTTTCTGCCAGCCACTCCCTCATGCCGTTTATCACCCGTCCTATTTGATCGCATCTAGACTAAATCCTGCAGCTCATCAGACATGATTCTGCCAGAGTTCCTACACGAATAAACGACCCTGCATCTGCGAGGCATCATCAGGACCAGGGTGGAAAGCCTCTGAATCCCGGTGAGAGATCAGGCACATCCAGAGTCTGAGCTGAGTCCAGACCCGAACTTCAGCTGCTTTTGAGTTGTGGCATCTTTACCCTTTGGTTAAAGAATCAGCAGAGAAATGGAAACAGCTCCATCTCATATTGTTGTCGCACAGACAAAACCCCGGCGGTGCCGTGCAGACTCACACAACACAACCCAAAACAGCAGAAATGTTCAGTGAGGCTGTAAAAGGCACAGCAGTGTTCAGACAGAAATACACTCCTGTAAGGAGAGGAGATACCGCCCTGATGGGTTCACACGGCACCAGAACCTGGGTCAGCTCACCCTGGTTATAGCACTGGAACAGGCCTACAGCAAGCTCTGTGTTAATCATGCTAAAGACGCACCTGCTGGAAACAAAGAAGGCAGAACAAAAACTAAAGTGCACTTGAGACGAACAGCTGAGGTCACCGGAGTTCAACTTTTAAAGCTGTTTGTTGATATCAGCTTCATTCTGTGTGTGTGTGTGTGTGTGTGTGTAGGAGAGAGTCTTCACATCTTCCATAACAGTTCCACTAGAAGGAACCATAAATATGAACTTGATCTGCTTCTCCTTGCTAGGCGCTCATGACCTCTTCCCCTTCCATTCCTCAGGCAGCAGGCTGGGCAGCCTTAAGCCTGTTTCACACCTGATGCTGATCTGATGCGGTCCAGTTTTCGTACAGCTTCTGCATGGATCAAACACTCTTTAGTCTGATCAGAGCATCCACACCGAAATGACATGAGCCAGACAGGAAGTGAGACGTGGATCCACCAGGTACAGCATATTTCACAATAAAACTTGTCATTTTATTTCTGCCAGCTTTTGTTTTATTATTTTAATGACGGGGAAATCAGTTCAGTGTTTGATAGTTTTGCTACAGGTATGTGTTTACATGTATTATGTCTGATTTCTAATCATGTGGTGCTCGTGTGGGAGCAGATATCTGGAGACGTTCAGAACACAAACCGCAGTCGGTGTGGATGGTAGTACATCTGGAAGCTGTGCGGAAACCGGACCGCCTCTGTACCGCTCTCAGAGGGAAACAGGCGGTAGACAACATGGCTGAGGAGCAGCTGCAGCCTGAGGCTCAGTGGCAGGGTGAGAAAAGTTCAGGTGTCACCTTCTGAGTCAGGTCAGAATTCACCAAATCTAATGGGCTGCACGGTGGTGCAGTTGTTAGCACTGTCGCCTCGCAGCAACAAGGTTGCAGGTTCGGCCTTTCTGCGTGGAGTTGCGTGTTCTCCCCATGCATGTGTGGGTTTCCACCGGGAACTCCGGTGTCCCCCACAGATCACAACACGCCCTACAGGTCAACTATTGTACGTCGCTTTGGACGAAAGCGTCTGCCAAAGAAATAAACATCAACTAATTCATCATCCTGAGCAGCACGAGGAGGCACGGCTCCTGAGTTCATGTAGCAAAAGCTCTGGTGTAAACACACACACACCCACACACACACACTCACCCTCACACACGCACGCTCGCGCACACACACACTCACGCACCCGCACCCACACCAATGCACACACACTCACACTCACGCACACACACACACTCACACCCATGCACACACACTCACCCTCACACACGCACGCGCGCACACACTCACACTCACGCACACACACTCACCCTTACACACACACACACACACACACACACCCATGCACACACACTCACCCTTATATACACACACACACACACGCACGCACGCGCGCACACACATACACACACACACACGCACACACACGCACACACACACACACACACACACACACACACACACACACACACACACACACACACACACACACAGAATGCAGGAAGTTCAGGTCGGCTTTGCTGCCAAACAGGACGACGGCGCCGGTTTCATCCTAAAAGCTTCTGAACATTTCTTTGGCTCAAACTCATTTCTCATGTTGGGAGTATGCGGGGTCCCTGCAGTTACAAACATGTGATTAAGTTGAATATTTAGTTATAAATCTGTAATTCAACAACAAATAAACTAATCTAGTGCAGTATAAACAGCCTTTCATTAGCCTGGATGCAGTTTTCATGCTTGTAGCTGACTGTGCTTCACCAAGGACCACCGTCACTGGTGTGCATGTGTAGACACGAGCCGTGCTTCTGTAAACTGCTATAACATCTGTGCATAGGTTTTCTTTCACATAGCATTTGCTTCCTGACAGCAATAATGTAAAAGGACGGGTCTGTAGAAACCGCTGAATGGATGCAGATTAGCATTTGGGCTCCAAACCTCCTTAAACGGGGTCAGCAGCCTGGCTGGGTCTTCGAGACATCCCAGAACCTGAATGATGATGTCATACTGAACGTTTTAGGAAGTGAAACACAGAAAAAGTCCTCCTGGGCTCTAGAGAAACTCTCCTGTAGAGTAGACCGTTTCCATTTGTCACAGAGCTGCTTTCTCAGTGGGAGAACGACCAGTACAGTCCTTATGCTGGGGCCGTTGTGTTACAGCACAACACACAAGTGTGTGTGTGTGTGTGCTGTCAGAAGGCAGTGCTGGCCATGCTTCCTGGAGCAAAGAGTCTTGGTAAGCTGTCCTGAGAGATCTCCACATGCCTGTGAGCCATCTTTCCCTCCTCGCCTGCTCCACGCAGCAAACAGAAGCACAGAAAGAAACAGGATGTGAGAATTTACCATCAGAAGGACATTTTTGTGCCTAAAACACCCACAGACAGAGAAAATAAAAATATGATAGAAACTGGAGTCGGCAGAAGCAAGGACACTTGTGAGGAAACCACTGACTGAACATAGCTGAGGTGGCTCCAGCATTACGAGGCCCCCTGCCTGGACGCCCCCAGTGGGGGAGGCATTACGGCCATGTTCGGTCAGCAGGAGGCCCGCGGGTCGACCCAGGACGTCCTGGAGGGACTACAGCTCCTGGCCAGGGAGAGGCTGGCGATCCGCTGGTGGAGGACGGTTTGGCCCTTTCTGCTGGGGGCCGCTGTCCCCGCGACCCCGATAAGCAGCTGAAGATGTCCTTCTTTTGTATTTCTAATTGTTAATATTTGTATTAATTTAGGATTTTTATCGTTTTGACTGATCTTTAGTATTTTCTTCTTTACTTGCGGGTTTGACCCTTTCTTCACCGTGTGATTCTGTGGGATTGCTGTGCTTTGGTTTTGTTTATGACCTTATTCTTCAGTCTTTAACGTTTTTTCTTCGTGATGCGTTTGCATCGTGCTTCATTTATAGCAGCACCCGTAACGGGACACGAGCTGTTAACGGAGGTTAGGATTACCCAGCTCCAGCAGCGTTAGTTTGGCAGCCTCCCGAACCTCCTCCTTGTCCGTCTGACAAACGTACACCAGCTGATCGATGCTTTCTTTGGCCTGGAGGGTGAGAGTTACAAGTGTTAACATGACTGGTCCTGTTCACACGAGCTGAATGATGCTTTACATGGAAGTCCGTACAGCAACGCCCCCTGCAGGGCATTCCTACCTTCAGACATGCTAAAGCCTTGCATCCACAAACTCTGGTGTCCACATCCTCATCCTCCAGCATCTCCATGCAGCTCACCAAAGCCTGAGGAAGTAAAGCAAACAAATGCAACAAGTCCTGCTACGTCTGCAGCCGACAATAGGTGCTTTCACAATTTTATTAGGTGGTGAAATCTAATACTTCATACCTTAGTTTCAACAATAACATTATGACATTCCTTTTAGGATTTTCCAAGACATGCTTTTCATAAAGAACTTTGGAAACAGACAGAAATTCCTTCAACAATCTACTATATAAACCAACGACCCCCCATCCATCCCCTCCTCCCACTCTCACCTGCTCTCGCCACCTGGGCTGAGCGGCCAGAACTTTCAGTACCGAGCTGACGCAGGACAACACCTTCCCTCGTGGATCTTTCAGAAGTTTTGCCAAAGCATGAAGTCCCTCCCTCTTCAAGCTGCATTCTGCAGGACGACGCAGAGCGCTCAGGATCAGGTCCTGATCCCACGATGACAGGCTCTGCACCAGCCACACTGTTGGAAGGTTAGTAGTGTTACTTCAGCCTATTTTTCCTTGAACTCACAGCTCTGGTCAGAAACCCTGGCTCCACACAGATCTGTTGAACGACCAGATGACTTAGTTTTAGAACATCTAAGGGGTCCTTTCCTCTGGAGGGAAGCAGAACACCAACCTGTCCACTGCTGTTTATCTGAGACCAGGCCAAAGAGGGAACAAGTCCAGGAGAGATAGCCTAGCATCCCTCTCTCCAGCTCCCCCAGGGACAATTCAAGGCATTTCCAGGGTAGAGACGATACAACCAGTTCCTCCAGCAACCTTCTGTAGGAGATTTCTTCCTCTGAGAGAATCTCTAAAGTGAAGCAACCAGGAGGTATCCTAGTCAATGCCCAAACCTTATTGGCTAGCTCCTTACAACGTGGAGGATCAGCAGCTCTGGAGCTCCGGCTTGTTTTACTAGATCTGACTGCTGATACGGTGGACCACGAGGTGTTGGGGCATTGTCCAGAGCATTACGTGGGATTTACTGGCTGGGTTTGGTCCTAACCCTTGAACAGAGTGGTGTGTGTATGGATGGGTGGTTTCTCCCCAGGGGTGTTCCACAGGGCTCCATTTTGGGATCCCTGCTCTTTTGTGTGTACAAAGCTGAAGTCCTACAGAAGCATGAATTCATAAAATTAGAATATCACGACAAAGTTGATTTATTTTAGTAATTCCATTCAAAAATTTAAAGTTGTATATCAGATTCAGTCATCACACACAGACTGATATATTTAAAATGTTTGTTTCTTTAACGTTGATGATTATAACTGACAACTAATGAAAATCCCAAATTCTGTATCTCAGAACATTAGAATATTAATTAGGATCAATGCAAATAAAGGACTTTTAGTGTTGGCCAGCATGAAAAGTATGAGCATGTACAGCATCCAGCATGTAGTCTGGGCTCCTTTGGCCTGGGTTACTGCAGCAATGCGGCATGGCATGGAGTCCGTGGGTCTGTGGCACTGCTCAGGTGTTATGAGAGCTTACTCACTCAGACCAACAAACCCAGAGCTTTCCTCCTTCACCATAACAGACCCACTGGTCCATCTAACCAACACCACACTAAGATACCAGATGGGTTTAACAGAGTGGGACGTTCCTTGGTTTGGCCTCACAAAACCCTAACCCCACTAACAGATCACAGGTACGATGATGCTGATGATGCTAGTTGTGAATTCAGGCTTTACCTTCAGTCTCAGCGCACATTCACATAAAAGCTGCATGTCACAAGTCATTTGATGCCATTTCCACTCAAAACTGATCAAATCAAATTTAAAAAAAAAATCCCTATAGGAAACCCAGCATTCCACGTCAGATCCAGAGAGGAAAGTTTCAGTTAATGAGTCAGTTCATGCTGCTGTTTGGTCTCCTAATACTATTAATACTACTAATACTACTAATACTTCTACTGATAATACTGATACTCCTAATCCTAAAAGTCTCTGATAGTTCTGTTGGTGTTATATTACTACATTTAGAATAGTGAGTAGGCTAGGAGAAAAGTCTCTGTTACCATGGTGATCTGCTCAAACAGATCTTCTATCATGATGCTGAAAACATTGATTTGAACTCATCCTAGTTGGCCAAACAGGAAATCTAGCTTTATCTTACTCCTACTGAGGCAGAGACTCACTCCCAGTCCAGAAGGACTCGCCTCCCGGCAGATTGTGTGTGTTTGTGTACCTTCTTGTGCAAGCTCGGTGATGTGAGTCTCTATGTCTCTGATGTTATTAGAGTCCAAGTAAGTCCACAGCTGGAACAATGTGACCACCAGTTTATCTCTTGGGCCTCGTCGTGGTAACTTCTGCCCCAGAACTCGCTCAGCCATGCACAAGAACACTGGAACACACACAGCAGAATTAACAAAACTCTCGCTCTCTCTGCCTCTCACACACACACACGCACACGCACACACACACAAACACACACAACACACACACACTGCTGTACCTGTATCACCTCGGTCACTCAGCCTGCTTGAGTAGACAGCAGACAGAGTCTTCATGAAGCAATCAGCAGAGACACAGAACACACTGCTGTTCTTCACACACTGCTGCCACAGTGAGACCGCACCACGGCACAGGCCCAGTTCTGGTACCACTGTAAGACAGGAACATTTGGAACTATCATGGTAAATACAGAACATATCATCACATTATTTATATTATTTTGTACGTCAGGACGTCTGATCTATCAAAGCCAAAAGGGCTCCACCAGGAACAGCACTGATGCTGATATTTTATGGATCCAGGCGACAGGTGTAGCAGAACGTACCTTCAGCTGGCTGTCGGGGACACTGTGGACCATTCCTGATGATGTGGTGGATGACTTTAAACACACTGGCCTCTCTCAGCAGTTTGTCTAAGGCATACATCTCTCTACACCGCAGAGGTCCAAACACACCCAGATGCTGCACACATAACACCACATACATCCGGGACTTTTGTATAACTATTATGAAGACAAGAAACAGAACCAGAACCAGAGCATGGCTTATTGCAGAACACTGGGGCAAAGGTCCTACCAGCAGCTGCGCACTGCAGTTCCTCAGGTGAACCACCAGGGAGCAGTCCAGGGAGGTGGATCCACTGGTGAGGGGTGAATCTGGGCGGAGGCCTTCCCAGGCCTGTCTGAGTCTACGTGCACACACACGCACACACACACACACACACACACACACACGCACACACATGCACGCACACACACACGCACACACACACACACACACACACACACACACACACACAGAATGACAGTTCTCTGTTTTACTAAAGCTGAACTGAACTTGCTTTCACTGTTGCTTGAATAATATTTTAGGACATGCTGAAATATTTGTTGAAAAAGGAAGTACTTGTGTAACTGATACATGAATACAGCACCTTAACTGTAAACACCCGCCTGCAGTTAGGTCATTAGAACTGGGTTCTAATGAGATAAAGTACCTAGTCCTGATAGGATTAAAGCATATTTCGGTGGTTCAGTCTTTAACTAATGATTTAGTCACATTTTACTGGATTTGACTGAGTCATTTTTAGTGTTCCAAAAACGAGGCAGCGCTAAACACCAGCCGCTGTTCTCGAGATCCAAACGTCTTTTGTTGTCCGTGCCTTCAAATGGTATTTCTCTTTTTGGGACTTTGTAGTTTGTCCTAAAGTTGAAGTGGTAGCAGCCGGCTGTTTCTCCTTCTGATGTTATTGAGTAGAGAACATCTCACACCAGTGGTGTTCTTGTGCTAAATACGCAAAAGTGTGTGATGAGAGGAGGACCCAGCAGTGGTTCGGTGAGACCGACAACTGGATGGTCCGATAGCTGGTTCCAGTCTGAAACATGCTATTAGTGGAGATTTTAGAGAAATGCAAGAGAAACACTTGATTTATTAGTTGTTGTTTTTATAAATTTTTTTAATGCTCCACGGTATATTTATAGTAAGTAAGTAAGTAAAAGTTTATTTATATAGCGCCTTTCACAGATATAAATCACAAAGCGCTGTACAACATGATAAAGATCAGGGCAAATACCTCTAACCAATACAAAGATCAGAAAAACAATAGCAGTGATAAACGTAGAAAATAAAATCATGAGTATAAACAAAGTGAAGGTGTGAACCCGAACAAAGCCATCTTTTTGAAACATGTAGGGAGGGAACGCCTGGATGAAAAAGTGAGTTTTTAGATGATTTTTAAAGACCTCTACAGTGTTAGAGAGACGGAGATTTGAAGGTAGACTGTTCCAAAGTCTGGGTGCAATAGTCTGAAAGGCCCTGTCCCCTTTGGTTTTCAGTCTGGTTCGAGGAACAGCCAGGAGGTTTTCAGATGTGGATCTAAGGTTCCGAGAGGTGGTGTGTGGGGATAAAAGCTCAGATAGGTAGCTTGGAGCCTGGTTGTTAAGAGCTCTATAGGTCAGGACTAAAACTTTAAACTGTATTCTATATTCTACCGGGAGCCAGTGGAGGGACTGTAAACCTGGAGTGATGTGAGCTCGTCTGCTGGATTTGGTTAGGAGTCTGGCTGCTGCATTTTGAATGGCTTGAAGGCGTGAGAGGGAGGTTTTGCTGAGACCAGTAAAAAGAGTGTTACAGTAGTCTAAGCGTGATGGCACAAAGGCATGGATGATTTTTTCCAGATCTGCAGTAGAAACCAGTTTACGAACTTTTGAAATGTTTCTCAGTTGAAAGAAACAAGAGCGGGAGATGGTTTTGACGTGTGAGTCTAAACTAAAAGCTGGATCAAAAATAACTCCTAGGTTTCTAATGTTGGCCTTGGCTGATGGGCAAAAAGAGGTAATTTCTTGCTCGATTTTTGGTTGAAGTTCCGGGGGTGCAGCGATCAGGGTCTCTGTCTTGTTAGCACTGAGGACAAGAAAGTTGCTGGACAGCCAGTTACTGATCTGGGTCAGGCAGAGTACAAGTGTGGCCAGCCTGTCCAACTGGTGTGGCATAAAGGACATATAGAGCTGAATATCATCAGTGTAGATGTGGTAGGAGATGTCGGAGAAAGACTGAATGATGCCAGCTAGGGGAAGAATATAGAATGCGAATAACTGAACCTTGTGGGACCCCGCATGTTAGAGAGGCAGTATCTGAATATCTGTCAAATATAGCTAACGTTAAAACGTTAAGAGGCATGAAAATGCTTTCAGTTCATTCTTTTTCCAAATTTGCTGTTGCAGCTTTAAACTCCCGAAGAGCTGTGCTATAACACAACACACATAACCATGGCAACCAAATACATCTGCTTCATTAGAAAGGAGACGGAAACATGTTAAATATTTTATCGTTAAAGTTTATTTCCCAGAAGTTCTGGCACCAGTTTTTACTGGTCTGACTGGAACCAGTAAACTAAGCTCCAGCGCTGATCACCTTATTTATGTGGAGGTCTGTGATGGTCAGTGGGATTGTTCTCTATCTTATTAAATGTTGAAGTTTGCATGAAAACCACGATGAAGATCACAAGACAAGCAGTTTGATCATTAAAGCTTCAACACTGACGGTGCTGCTGGACCTTTGACTTGTGTTTGTTCACACTGACCTGCCATTTCTGCTCAACTTGCAGCTCTTCTCCTCTTCCTCACAGTCTGACGTGTTGAGAAAGTCAAAGCTGCACAACGCTGACTCCACTGAAAGGCTGACCATGCTGGGTGAGCGGCTATGCCTGTAGCCCTGCACGCACGCACACACACACGCACGCACGCACGCACGCACACACACACACACACACACACACCCACACACACACACACACACACACACAATGAAACTAGGAAACAGGAAGTAGCTGATTATTCGCATCATAATGTCCAATTCACAGCTGAGTCCCAGTCAGAGGTGAGCGAGTGGTGCAGAGCTGCACAACCGTGGCAGAAACCAGATGTGAGTGCACCTGCAGCACAGTGAGAAGACACCTTGTGTCCGTGTCCAAAAAGGATGGTAGCAAACTCCAAGAAAGTCATCGGACTGAACATGAAAACAACACACAACACCGGTGGAGGACAAAGGGCTGCCAGAGATTGTAGTTGCAACAACCAGAAGAAATGCCCAAACTTTGTGTCCTCTGATGATCTACCATCAAATAAACCACTGATCTAGACTTTGTGTGCTGTTAAAGCTGTAATCCAGAGTTTTCACCCTTTCAGGAATTATGTGTAACTTATTAGAAATCCATAAAAGTGATTTGTAACTTCTAACTGTAACTAATTACTTTTTATTGTAAGATGCCTAACACTACTCTGTACTGAGGTATAATGTTAGATAATCCCGCTCCCTGTCCTGCAGAGCCCCATTCAGTCTCACCTGGGTGCCACTCAGCATTGGTCAGTAGTGACTTACATCATACGTGTCAGTGTGCGTGAGCATTTGATGACGTACCCAGACCGGGGCGGGCAATCCTGGTCCTCGAGGGCCACTGTCCCACATGTTTTACTGTTTTCCCTGTTTCAACACACCTGATTTCAATCAGCAGGAGATTAGCTGGCTTCTGCAGAGCTTGATGAGCTGCTGAACTGCGAAGTAACAAAAAGATGCTGGATACTGGCCCTCGAGGACTGGAAGTGCCCACCCCTGACCTAGACTGATGCAGAGTTGATGACCTTTCCCATGGACAACAAAGTCTTGAGAATAATATTTGTAAAACAATTTGTTTTGGTCAGCTAGTGGTGTGTGTCCAAGAATGAGAGCCGTAAACACAGAAGTAAGGACACTGATTTAAGGTGCAATACATATCTCAGCCTGTAGATGGTGCCATCAGAGAAAAAACAGTGTTTCTGCTTTAAAGGCAGAAACTTCCTCCTCCTTTAACCCTCCCAATGTCCTAATGGGTGTGACCCTGCGAGGAAAGTTGACCATTGAGCAGGGTTGATGGTTTATCCCATGATGGTCCACGTGGCAGGAGTGAGGAGTGAGCACCACCTCACCCCTGCCACATGGACCATCAATCCTGCTCAAAGGTCAGCTTTCCTCGTGGGGTCACCCATGAAGAGAATAATTTATTGTCTTACCTTCAGTGTGACCTGCAGCTGCTTCAGCTCCTCCTCCAGTGATTGTAACTCAGGGAACTGTCCTCTATAATCATCCAGAGAGGAAACTAGAGTTCCCAAGGCCTCCTCCAGCCCACTGTCCACTGGGCCTTTGCCCTCTGCTCCCACACAGGAAACCATTTCCTCTACTGACTGAGTGTTCTGGTCCTCTACCTTGGAATTGGGAGTCAACAGTGTGATGGTGTTCTGCGGATGCTCAGAAAGGTGTGGGTCTTGGACGAACCCATCACTTGGGTCAGGTGTCTCAGGGGTGCTGGGCAGTTCTATCTCTATGTCACTAACAGAGGTCCCAGACAGCAGCGATATCACCTCCTCTGATTTACAGACAGCCTGGTTTGGGAAAACAGTTCCATCAGCACCGCTGTCCCTTCTTTGGCTAAGAGAGTTCTGCTCCATGTCAGGACTGATGGTTCTAGAAGCATCCACCTGCTCCCCACTGTTCTCCCTCTGGACCAAAGTGTTCTCCTCCTCGTCTCTGAAAATTGGTGCAAACATCAAACTTACAGTGTTTTAGTGAGCAGCCTGTTTCATCTAACAACCATTAAAAATAAGATCAAATAAACACCTGTGGCAGGTGAAGTCTCCAAATGCGTCAGTTTGTGGGGAAGAACATCCTCCGGGTTCCACCACATCCTGGAGGAGAGGGACGAGAGGATTTACCCATCCCACTGGTGGACCAGATCTAAGGTGGACCAGATCTAAGGTAGACCAGATCTAAGGTGGACCAGATCTAAGGTGGACCAGATCTAAGGTAGACCAGATCTAAGGTAGACCAGATCCAAGGTGGACCAGATCTAAGGTAGACCAGATCCAAGGTGGACCAGATCTAAGGTAGACCGGATCTAAGGTGGACCAGATCTAAGGTAGACCAGATATAAGGAGGACCAGATCTAAGGTGGACCAGATCATAATTTCAACAACTGAATTAGCTCCATTTCCACATGTTGATTAGCAAAAAAACACAAGGAGGCTGCGGTTCTGTTGTGTGTGAGCAGGGCGCACGTGGGAGCGAGCTCGTAGTGAGCCACGCGTTTTTGTGCAAAATGTATACAGGTTGGCAGGTCTGAGAGTTTCATAGCTATAAATCCAAACTGCTGCTCATTCTTCTATCAAATCATACAACTAATTCACCTTTTTCTTTTTGTGACATTAATGACAGAGCCTGAATCAAATGAAAAGCATCAAGTAGAGGCGTGCCTAGATAAATCACCCTGATTATGTTTGTGTTTTCTCTTACCTTCTCAGACACGGAGCTCTGTGGCTCTGATTCAGAGAGCGGCAGGCTGCAGGAGTCGTCAGACGACTCCGATGAATTAGATCGCAGTGTTCTGTCATAGAGATGATTTTTCCAAGGAGACATGCTCTAAAACAGAACAGCAAAGGTCAAAGGTTAAGTCTGGCTTCAAGAATAATGTACACATTTTTATCAAGTGTTTTCACACACATGGGGTGTCAAAACACAGTGGTGTAAGTTAAAATTACAAAATAGACTTTAAAACATCTCAGGAGCTGGTGGAAGTAAAACCATTTCAAATGTTTTATAAAGAGAGGGACTAAAACATGCAGGCCAGATGACTTTCTGATTGTAAATGAGCTAGGTGTGTGTGTGTATTTTTGATTGACAGGTAGAAGGTGAGCCTTCAGCACTAGCACTAGTGACTCGGCCTCACGTTAAAAGTGTTACAGAAGGTAGAGGGTAGCAGAGTTGCTCAACCGCGGTTTTCTGCCTGAAAGCGCCAGCTAAGCTCTGTTAGCTTTGGCTAGCTCATAGCTACATTGGCTCAGAGTTTGATGGGTGTCAATCATCTGGCCTCACCATCGCAGTCCCTCTCTCAGATGCACTTGAATTGGTTAAGATGGTGGGAACCGCCCACTGGGCTAGAATTAAACTCTTCAGAAACCTACAGGTGATGTCACAGAGACTCTGTCCGTCTTACATATACAGCGTTTGGGTAAAATCCTCCCCTTTTGAGTCTGTCAAATGATTACAATAGACCGATATGTAAAGAAAAGACTCACAGCATTTGTTTCTCTTACCGAAGGAGTGTCAGGTGATCCCAGGAAGGAGATTCTTGGAATGATGCTGACAGGACCAGGAAACAAGCCCTGATCATCTTTGTCAAATGGACTAAGAAGACAAAATAATGGAATAATAAAAACTGAGCGAACATTTGTGTTTTCTTTAAACGACAGATGCAGCAACCTGCGGAACTCACATCCAGCTGACTTCCAGGCTTAGCTTAATAGTGCCAAGGTCATTGATGTCCACAGCAACCGTCTGAGGTAGCGGAGCAAACAGGTCAATAGTTTCACAGGAGACATTTCCAACAACCACGTGGTTGGCTAAGCTCTTCAGCTCGGTTACCTGGGAGACCACAGAAAGATGTTTGTATGAAGCATAAATCGTCGTCGTCTTCCTCCGCTTATCCGGGTCCGGGTCGCGGGGCAGCATCCCAACAAGGGAGCTCCAGACCGTCCTCTCCCCGGCCTTCTCCACCAGCTCCTTTGGCAGGACCCCAAGGCATTCCCGGACCAGATTGGAGATGTAACCTCTCCAACGTGTCCTGGGTCGACCCGGGGGTCTCCTGCCGGCAGGACATGCCCGAAACACCTCCCTGGGAGGCGTCCAGGAGGCATCCTGACCAGATGCCCAAACCACCTCAACTGGCTCCTTTCGATCCAGAGGAGCAGCGGTTCTACTCCGAGTCCCTCCCGAATGTCCGAGCTCCTCACCCTATCTCTAAGGCTGAACCCGGCCACCCTACGGAGGAAACTCATTTTGGCCGCTGGTATCCGCAATCTCGTTCTTTCGGTCATTACCCAAAGCTCATGACCATAGGTGAGGATTGGGAGGTAGATCGACCGGTAAATCGAGAGCCTGGCTTTCTGGCTCAGCTCCCTCTTCGCCACGACAGATCGGCTCAGCGTCCGCATCACTGCAGACGCTGAACCAATCAGCCTGTCGATCTCCTGATCCCTCCTACCCTCACTCGTGAACAAGACCCAGAGATACTTAAACTCCTCCACTTGAGGGAGGACCTCTCCCCCGTCACGGAGTTGGCAAGCCACTCTTTTCCGGTCGAGAACCATGGTCTCAGATTTGGAGGTGCTGATCCTCATCCCAGCCGCTTCACACTCGGCCGCGAACCTACCCAGCAAGAGCTGAAGGTCAGAGCTGGATGAAGCTAGGAGGACCCCATCATCCGCAAAAAGCAGAGACGAGATTCTCCTGCCATCAAACTCGACACACTCCACACCACGGCTGCGCCTAGAAATTCTGTCCATAAAGGTAATGAACAGAACCGGTGACAAAGGGCAGCCCTGGCAGAGTCCAACCCTCACCGGGAACAGGTCCGACTTACTACCGGCTATGCGGACCAAACTCACGCTCCTCTGGTAAAGGGACTGAATGGCCCTCAACAGAATGCCACCCACCCCATACTCCTGGAGCGTCCTCCACAGGGTGCCCCTGGGGACCCAGTCAAAAGCCTTCTCCAAATCCACAAAACACATGTGGATTGGTTGGGCAAACTCCCATGCCCCCTCCATCACCCTTGCAAGGGTATAGAGCTGGTCCACAGTTCCACGGCCAGGACGAAAACCACATTGCTCCTCCTCAATCTGAGATACAACTATCGATCGGACCCTCGTCTCCAGTACCTTGGAGTAGACCTTTCCAGGGAGGCTGAGGAGTGTAATCCCCCTATAGTTGGAACACACTCTCAGGTCACCCTTCTTAAAGATGGGGACCACCACCCCGGTCTGCCACTCCACAGGAACTGCCCCCTATGGCCACGCAATGTTGCAGAGACGTGTCAACCATGACAGCCCTACAACATCCATAGCCTTGAGATACCCAGGACAAACCTCATCCGCCCCCGGGGCTCCGCCGCTGTGTAGGTGTTTGACTACCTCAGCAACTTCTGCCCCAGAGATTGGACAGTCCATCCCCAGGTCTCCTGGCTCTAGTTCCTCCTCAGAATGTGCACAGGTGGGATTGAGGAGCTCCTCAAAGTATTCCTTCCACAGTCCGACTATAGCCCCAGTTGACGTCAGCAGCTCCCTATCCCCACTGTAAACAGTGTGAGCGAGTTGCTGCCTTCCTCTCCTGAGGCGCCGGACAGTTTGCCAGAACCTCTTTGGAGCCGATCGATAATCTTTCTCCATGGCCTCACCAAACTCCTCCCACGCCCGAGATTTTGTCTTGGCAACTGCCACTGCTGCACCCTGCTTGGCTATCCGGTACCTGTCTGCTGCCTCCGGAGACCCACAGACAAGCCACGCCCTGTAGGCCTCCTTCTTCAGCCTGATGGCTCCCCGAACCTCTGGTGTCCACCAGCGGGTACGGGGGTTGCCACCACGACTGGCACCGGCCACCTTGCGACCACAGCTAGCAACAGCCGCCTCAACAATCGCAGAGTGGAACAAGGCCCACTCGGAGTCAATGTTCCCCACTGCTCTCGGGACGCGGTCAAAGCTCTGCCGGAGGTGAGAGTTGAAGACCATCTTGATAGGTTCTTCTGCCAGGCGTTCCCAGCAGACCGTCACTATGTGTTTGGGTCTGCCAGGTCTACGCGGCATCTTACCCTGCCATCTGATCCAACTCACCACCAGGTGGTGATCAGTTGACAGCTCCGCTCCTCTCTTCACTTAGGTGTCCAAAACATAAGTATAAATCATGATTAACAAAACTATTTACCTTATTAGACAATAACACTACTATAAATGAAGTTTAGAGTTATTTTAAAGCTGAACCTGGTATTCAAACTGACTCTATTGGGAGGTTCTAGGGAAGGTTCTGGTGTTCCTAGACACTTAGGTCTTCTTCAAGGCACTCCAGGAGTACAGACGATTCTCTCTTTCACTCCCTTATCCTTTTTTTCCCAAGGCTCTTTGTCCTGTCTGCCCACAGAGCGCTTCTCTGCATTTCTTCTGAAAAACCCTATTTTCACTTACCATGGATTTGATAAACTGGTCATTCAACGTGATTGATAAGATTTTTTCATCAAAGAGAATGAAGCAGGGGGCTACCACATGCCCACAGGGGACACACCCGGTGGGGTATATGCTGGATTCCTGGAGGGAATGGAAGATCATATGCCTCAGCCAGCTGCCAATTGAGGACATCGAAGACGTGTGGATATTCGGCCTAATAATCACTAGATTTCTCCTGATTGGAGTGAGAGGATATCTGGTTTTCTTGAAATTTGGGAAGACGGGAGCGATTGGAGGGCAACCCGCACCCACGGAAAGCACCGTCCGTGTGGGGACTTCTCAGATTGGGACGTTTCTCGAGGTGAATTGTAAGCTGGACAATGTTCTAGCTGCAACACCGGTATTAGTGCGCAAAATGGATGTCATCTCGGAGAGAGTCACTGGACGGTATGGACAGATTGGCAGACTTCAGCCTGGCAAGGTCATCAATCTGCAGGAGTCAATGTGCTCTTCGCTTCTCCGAAGATCTCCCTCCCACCTGTGACTGTACAGCATATGAGCGCCGTAGATGGCTGCTCTCACTGGGGGAAACAGGATCCCAGCCACCCCTACCTTCCTATTGGAGTCTCATGTTATGTTGTATTGTCTGAAGTCTGTCGCATATTTGTTGAGGTGTTTTTTTGCAGAGCAAAGCTGTCCTCCTGGTGGAGGGTAACTCTGAAGTGCCTTTTTTCCCTCCACCTGAACCAATTCCTCATATAACCCTCTGATCTCTATTAAGGTAGCGCGACTCGGATTGCGAATGACCACAGTCACCAATTCTTGTCATGTGTCTACGCCCATGTATGTCTGATCTCTGAATTGTGTGTACTGGAACTCTAATTTCCCTCTGGGATTAATAAAGTATTGATTGATTGATTGATTACCTTCACAGTGAGAAATTCATTAATGAGGGGCAAAAACACCATCTCCTCATTGTCCCACACTTGCTTGGTATTGATTTCTATTTTTCCTCTCAGTTTCCATCGCTGTCGACCGTACTTCATGAAGATCTGAGAACAGAAGCCAAGTTTGAGTTCAGAGAAAAGTGTTAAAGTTAATGGTTTGTGTGTTGTTCTTCAGCAGAGGACGACATGTCAGTGAAACACATACAAGAAACTGATCTCAGAGGGACGAGGAACCACAGGAAAATGACCCTGATTATTTTACAGCATGTAGACCCGGAATTAGTCTTTTCCATTCAAATCATAAAACATTTTCTTATGTCAGAGCCTGAAACTGAGCATGCAACTAACATATCTCTATGAACTGGTCAAAATGTAAAACATTAATAAAACATACAAAGTATGTCTTTGACTGCACATACAATCACAGCGTTGCTCATAAGCCAAGTCAAAAATGATTCTGAGATCTTCATTTAAGAAAGAAGAAAAGAAAAAAGAACAAACTTAAAATACTATTTATATTTTACTAAATGAAGACTGGTGTTTTACGGTGGTGGTTTAAATGGTTTAGTCTCCTGGAAGTGGCTGCAGGCATGCTTCTGTTATAAGAGAGGACAAGAGGGACAAACCTCGTACTGATCACCAGCACACAACCTGGCAAATCCAGCAAGACCTGGAAAAGAAGTCAATAAACAATCAAGTCCAAGAGTTTCAAACAACCTAAAGTCAGGATGTTGTGTTCTTATTTATGACATCTAAAACCTTCAATAACTGATGGAAGTAAACCCAACTGAGAGCTAAGTTCATGTATGGCAGGCTTTAATCCTCATCATCATCATCATCATCATTATCATCACCATCATCATCATCATCATCATCATCATCATCATCATCATCATCATCAACCTTTATCTGTAAAGCACTTTGCAACAACCACAGGGCCGTACACTAAATAACCTGATGAAAACATTATTATAAGACCATGACAGATAAAATATAGAACTGCAAACAGGCAAATCAGATAAGACACCCAATAAAAACTCATGGGGAAGTAGATACAACATAAAGAGCATCTATCGTTTTTCAGCTTGCAAGAGGGCAAAAAAGTAAAACTGATTCTTAAATCTAGTTTTGATGATATTCAGAGAAGGAGCAAGTATGGTAGCCAGTGGTAGGTCACTCCATACACCCAGTTTCAAATTAGGAATCAACAGACACCGTCCAGCTGACTGGAGGGTCAGTGAAGGTCAGTGAGAGGTCAGGTTCCTCTGTCATTGTGACAAGTAAAATACAAACAATAATTTAATAGCAAACCAATGTGACGACTGACTGGTTGATGTACCGAACCAGTGGTGCTTAACCTTAGGGGAAAATCGACCAGTCTTCTGCATATAAAGCCTAGCTTATGCTTCTCCACAATGGAGATGCTCACGCATTCACAGGGATGTTTTGCTCTCGAACATCTCCGTCACCTGGAGGTGTTGCGAAGCAATTCCCCCACCAGGACAACAGAGTGTGTAGCACTCTTCTGTGGTATCCTGTCACATATCTGGTCCAAGTGCATTTACTATTGCGTTTATGTTGTGGGATTTTTTTGTGTTTCAGAGACTTTTTAACACAAACAAATTTGACCATCATTATCCTCCACCTCTTCATGAGCTCACTACCTCTAAACCCAGGTTTCCCATCACTTCTGTTCACAAATAAAACACTTGATGCGTATCTTTCTACTCCTCCAGTCATGGGTGAATAAAACATTCATACTTTTACAGTTTTTTTGTGAGGTATTCTTCAAGTTGCTCCATGTCTGCCGCTTGACATCTTCACCTTTCTTTGTTTTGAGGGCGCAATCGCGGAGCTGTTGGCGAAAGCAGCATCCTGACCAATCACAAGCTTGCCTTCTCCGTGTCGTTTGACAGATGTTTAGAAAAGGGGGCTCAACTCTATCCGTCCTCTAGAGGGCTCTCCAGCAGGCTAACATGAACGGATATTGGAGTTGCGTGTCTGCGTACAGACGCAGAAGCATTATTTGGGTTAAGTGGAACTTGACCATGTGCTTTCAGGACATTGCCCTAAATTCCAGCAAGTAATAGAGAATAAAAAGGGGGCCGAGAATAGACCCCTGTGGTACTCCTCAAAAGAGATTGGCACAGTTTGATTTATAGTTTTTACACAAGGAGGCAGCTAGGACCTAACCCTGAGAGCTGGGTGTGTAATGTTCCCCCACTGTTCCAAATATTTTAGTAATATACCGTGGTCCACGGCACCAAATGCCGCTGTCTGTCTGTATGTCTGTCTGTCTGTCTATCCACCCATCCATCCATCCATCCATCCATCCATCCATCCATCCCCTAACTTGATCAAAAGTTGTTTACATCAGGTGTGTATTTATGAAACACTCATGGATCTTAGCTGATGTAACGTGATGAAGGAACCCTTTCTCCCCTCTAACAGCTGTTCTGTTTGACACGGTGTCAGTGTGCATGAAACAGGCTCGAGGTCATGCATTCACTTCTAATGTTTACATTCCAGCAGTGAAGACAGATGAACGAAGAATGAACTCTTTTCTTTTAATTGATCAAATAACTCTATTTTAATAAAGCTAATCAAAACAACTGTTAGTCAATAATAACCATGTGACCGATCTGTGAAATCACAATGTTATGATTAATGTTTAATAAGGAAATGACGTATTGTAGCCACTAGCCACCTGATACACAAGATAAATAATCATGACACGTTCCGGTCGCAAATCCAATCAGAACCTTCACTCTGAAGCGTGGCAGAGTCTCTGTGGTGTTTGTTTAATCTGTCAGCTGTGATTCGACCAGAATCTAAACATCAAGATTAATAAACAGAACAACGCCATTTTGAGTTCAGTATTCAGCCAGCTCTCAAGGTCCTCTGAAGTTCATCATTGCTAAGTCGAGTACGGACCGGCCAACTGTATTTTTTACCTTTAAGCTGAGAACTGCCAAGCTGGGAAATCTCGTCGTTGTTATCAACAAAACAACGGTGCCTTCAGAATAAAAGCTGAACTCGCTGACCCAAAGGGGGGTCCCTTTGACGCTGTGAAACACCTGCCGCTTTTTACCTGGAGACTATCCAAAGACTGGTTTGTCGTGCTGTCGACGCTGTTTCATCGGCTCCAGTACCAGAGGAGGGTCCGTGGACCTGGCAGCCTGATCTAACACGCGAGTCCCTGACGGGTAATGTAGAACGGCACAAGATAGCGTCTCATGTGTTTTTCTGGCCAAGGTTCAAACGTTGATCAGTTAGGAGCAAAACAACATCTTCCACTCAGACTCGCTTCTCCCGAACGGAGGTTCTGAACTGACATCGCACCAACAGACACTCCACCCCACATTCATTCCATCAGCATCCATCACTAGAGAGTTAGTCCTGTTAATTGTTTAAAATAATTTAGATGATTAATTTTTCTTAAACGTTCCGCGGTCTCTCTTGTCTCTCAGTTCATGCAAAGTGTATTAAATTTCCCTGTAATAAAAAGGACCACTCTTCTGATTTAAGAAAAAGCCCAGTGTCCAGAGATGGGGTCCATACTAGATATGGATCATTAATATCTCTGGTCATTAATTAAATTGTAATTCTCTTCATTCCATTACACTGACATAATCTCAGAGTGACTCATGCAGGATTATACAACAGTTAGTTCCAACCAAGTGATTTGATTGGTCAAGAGACTTTCCAAGAGTGCTGATATTGGACTATAACAGCACTGGGACTGTTTACAAACAGTATCACTCCGCTGTGCAAAGGTGTTCTAACCGTTATTGTGGAAAATGTTTGTGTTGCCTAGCAACAGCCTAGTCTGAGTCTCTGTTTCATGTTGGGACTATTTGTGTTGGCAGAGCCTGATAAATGTAAATAAATGAAAAAAATCATAATCTGTTGTTGCTTATTTTTGTTATAAAAATAAAATGAGCAGGTAGAACTGTTGTATAAAAGCAATATCACACTCGAGGTTGTGCGTTGTTGCTGAATATCAGATTATCTACGGCCGAATCACACCAGTGCTGATATTCAGCAACAACGCACGACCTCGAGTGTGACATTGCTTAATTAATGACTCTTACCTTTCATCCGAATGTAGAACTTTCCCAGTTGATTCTGTAACTCACTCTCCAGTATACACATGTTCTACAGAGAGAATCGGTACTTCAGTCCATCTCTTTTGCACAGCTTAACAGTTCTGCTTAATGTACATTCTAGTCTCCACTAGTTGAATGTTGTGTACTCTCATACTTGCTCATCCAGTGGCTTTGAAACAACTTTTCCCCCATAATGTTTTTCAGCTCCTTCTGTTATTTCCCTCTCACCTCTGTGTACTCTTTGTGTTCTTTACTGGCCTCCAGCAAACTCTCCTTGGCCTCTTTGCTTCCTAAGGAGGCTGTGTAGGCCTTCATCATCTTCTTAGCCCCATCTCTCAGCCTCCTCTGTCGGCTGTACACCTCATAAAGCTCCTCAATCTGACAAGAGTAGATGGATTAATTTACACTGAGATTTCACACTCTGTAAAATGTTCTCTGAATGACAAAAAATTGGATATATTGATGCATTTAAAGCATATTGCTTTTTAGTTTATTATGTTTGTGTTTAATTTATACATCTATTTCAATTTATCAACAATTATTTATTAATTTAGGATCCCAGCCTGTTAGACAAGAGGCTCTTCATGCATGGTCTTGGACTATTGTTAGTTTTGATTAAAATAACTCCATTTTAACTTTAGACAACTTATTGCTTATTGAGAAGATTAAAATCACTCAGCACTGAAGATTTAAACCAAGCATCACCAGCAGTTCAGTCATATTATAAAACACAGATTGGTAAATTATGAGATGCTCCACTAATCTATCAGCAGTGCCGTTGAGCAATAGATATTTTCCAGATGACCTTACATATTTTTGTTTACATAACTTTTGATCCTACTGGGAAAGACACCCCCAACCCGATAGCATATCTTTGATCAATTTCTAAATCAGGGGTAGGCAACCCTCGAGTGCCATTATACAGCCTTTCTTATTTGTTTCCCTGTTCCACCACATGCAGTTTTAATCAGTCAGAGATTGCCAGGCTTCTGCAGGTGATTCAACCATTGAATCAGGTGTTTTGGAGTAGGAAGCAACTTAAACACACAGGGTACTGGCCCTGCAGGACCAAGGTTGCCTGCCCCTGGTACAACCCATCTGTGTCAGAGTCACTGCTGTTGTTTTAAAGATCTGTATGATGAACATTAATATTTGACTCATAAACATATCCACAAACAGTCATTGAGAAGGCCGTTCTGGTCTGACCTTACTGAGGTGGAACTCCAGCCGTCTGATGTACCTCTCAATTATCTTCACTTGCTGTCAAAGAAAGGCAAAGTTATAAGGTGTTCACATTAGCATATTATCTGTTCATATTAGCATATTATCTGGTAATATAGCATGTTAGCTGTTCATATTAGCATATTAGCTGTTCATAATAGCATATTAGTTGTTCACATTAGCACACTATCTGTTCATATTAGCATATTATCTGGTAATATAGCATATTAGCAGTTCATATTAGCATATTATCTGTTATTATTAGCATATTAGCTGTTCATATTATCTGTTAATGTTAGCATATTAGCTGTTCATATTAGCATATTAGCTGTTCATATTATCATATTATCTGTTAATATTAGCATATTAGCTGCTCACATTATCACATTGTCTGTTCATATTAGCATATTATGTGTTAATATTAGCAAATTAGCTGTTCATATTAGCATATTAGCTGTTCACATTAGCACATTATCTGTCATATTAGCATATTATCTGGTAATATAGCACATCCGCTGTTCATATTAGCATATTGGCTGTTCATATTAGCATATTATCTGTTCATATTACCATATTATCTGTTAATATAGCATATTAGCTGTTATTATTAGCATATTAGCTGTTTATTTTAGCATATTAGCTGTTCCTATTAGCATATTAGCTGTTCATAGTAGTATATTATCTGTTAATATTAGCATATTAGTTGTTCATATTAGCATATTAGTTGTTCACATTAGCACATTATCTGTTCATATTAGCACATTACCTGGTAATTTAGCATATTAGCTGTCCAAATTAGCATATTACCTGTTCATATTAGCATATTAGTTGTTCACATTAGCAAATTATCTATTCATATTAGCATATTATCTGGTAATATTAGCATATTAGCTGTTCATATTAGCATATTATCTGTTCATATTACCATATTATCTGTTAATATAGCATATCAGCTGTTAACATTAGCATATTAGCTTTTCATATCAGTATATTAGCTGTTCCTATTAGCATATTAGCTGTTCATAGTAGTATATTAACTTTAGACAATCTGCCACATCAAGCAGAGTGGGACTGCCTCAAATTCCATTCTACCTTTAATCAAGATTTTAAGTTACTTTACAGCAACTTACCTTGTCCAGTTCATAAAAGAAACCCTAAGGAAGAGGAAATATCAAATCAGGAGTTTCTGTATATAAATGAATGAATGTGTGTAAAGCCACGCTTATGGGCTCGACACACGAGAGGCGACATCGCCTCTCCTCTATTCATTTTCAATGAGACATGCGCGACAAAGCGATAATTGCGGGTCTCCCTCCTACCAAGCGAAACACGAAAAACGTGCGTGTGAAATTTTGCGCTCGTGTACGTGTCGTGCACAGGTGACCCAGCGACGTGATCCCAGAAAGTTGAAACATTTTCAACTTTTCATCGCTGTTGCTCAGACGAGGACCAATCAACGGAGGTTTCATTCACTGACCAATGAGCGGACAGGATGCTCCGTACATCTCCGAGCAAACATGAAGGAGAAGTTGATTATTATTATGTTTATATAGTAAAATCAGAAGTAAGATTTCACATAACTCTAGCAGCACCTTGTGAAACATGATATCTACCACTTTTTAAACTCTGAACCGCTTAAATAACCTTAATTCCCTCCAACCTGACACAGCCAAACAAAACAACGGAAGTTTAGATTTCGCCATGGAACAGAACGCGTAGACGGCTTTGCCGCTGCCACGGATCGCCTCCCGTGTGTCAGGTAATAAAAGCGACGGCGACAAATTTCGCTGATCGCGGTCGTTTGTCGCCTCCCGTGTGTCGAGCCCATTAGAGTGCAATAGCATACCAATCGGGAGTTTCTTTTAGATTGTTTTATTTGTCTGCTGAGGTTCTCCAAATCCATCTGATGAACATGCAAGGAAGATCTGAGGACACACACCACATCAGCACACAAAGAAGCGTTTACTTTGATTCGGTGATGAAACAGATTCGATGCTATGTGTATGAAGGTGAGTGCACTCACTGAAGGCCTTTCTTCAGGGCTTCATAGACTTGATCCAACCTTTCTGGTTGAGGAACCTTAGGAGTTGGGGTTGACTTGGTTGACATACTGAACATCCCACTGGCTCTGCTGGGCTTTCTGCTAAGACCAGGAGTGCTGAACCCAGAGAAGCTCCTGCAGTTTGAGATTACTGTCACTGTTTGAGATCTTAACCTAAATTTTCTCTTGGAAACCTGTACTAAAAAAGATATGTTCTCATATCACCTAACGTATCAAAAATGTATATAACACCATTTCTTATAAATTATTTCATTAATGTATATTTTTGTCCTACAGGGGACATATAAGGGAAAACTCACCCTTTGCATCTGTTATTGCTGCCATGTAGGTCTCTACTGTCTTAATAAAAGCTCCAAACATGAAAAAAAAAGTTCTTCCTTATTCTGTCAGCGTTTGGTTTCAGGAACTATTTTCCTCAATTGAGGCATTTCAAAAAGTCCTCATAGTGAAACCTGATTAATCTGATAGCAGTTGTGCAAATAGAGTTTTTCAGTTGGAGAACGTCTCAAGTTCTAAATTTTTTGGCATGAAAAACTAGCTTAAAATTGCACAAAATGCACAGGACCGAAGAGAAAGAATGTTGGAGCTGAAGAGAGGCCTGATAGGGTGTAGGTGCCACAGAGAACACCCCAGGTTAGACTGTAGTGGCATTCAGAACAAAACCAGAGGAATCTGCTACTGGGACAGAATGATAACCAGATTATCGGAAAGCCGCGGGACACGGATGTGATGGCTCAGGTACCGATCTGAAGACATCCAGGTGCATCTTGTTTTGATTCACAACTTTGACAAGACATGTCCATCTGTGAAGACACTTGTGTTCTGTGTTGTAAAAACATGGGACTGCTATCAGAGAGAGGTGTAAATATTTGGTCTTCTAACTGATACAGATGGGTTTTTGAAAGATTATCCAGCCATGTATTGAGTTAAACCAGTTAGTCATAATTTCCAGCAAATCTCCTGGTGTTGATTTTTAAGCAATTTTTCCTACAACAGCCAAAATACCAACCCCAAGCAGAAAATGGTGAATGAAGATGGAATGAGTACCTGTAGGCTTTGTCCTGGATGTTAACTCCCGTGAAACTCTGGCTCCTAGTGATGGAACTGGAGGTGATGCGTCGGACTGGGTGAACCAGGAGAGACATGGTCGACAGAGTTCGGAGTGGACTCCCTGTGTGCGACAGAAGGACATTATGGATATGATTTTACATATAGAAATAATTTTCCCTTTTTAAATCGCCAGGCATCAATTGAAAAATGCCTGAAAATGTCTTTCCCTAACACACACACAACATGCAGGTATCCTCCTTGTTCAGTTAGCTGCAGTCTGTCTTGATGCAGCATTAAAAGATACACATAAAGAATGAAGACAGTAGAAATTGTTTAACATGTTTGACATGAATGGTTATACACCGCTCAGCCCCCCCCCCCCCCCCCCCAAAAAAGGTCCCACACTAATATTTGGTTTGACCACCTTTTGCTTTGATTGTGACACACATTCACTGTGGCGTTGTTTCGATAAGCTTCTGCAGTGTCACTAGGCTTATTTCCATCCAGTGTTGCATTAATGTCTCATCAGCATCTTGCATTGATGATGGTACAGTCTGACTGCTGCACAAAGCCTTCTACAACACATTCCAAAGATTCTCCATGGGTTTAAGGTCTGGACTCTGTGGTTGCCGATCCATTTGTGAAAATGATGCCTAATGTTTCCTGAACCACTTTTTCACTATTTGAGCCTGATGAATCCTGGGCATTGTCATCTTAGAATGTACCCGTGCCATCAGGAAAGATGGAATAACCTGGTCATTCAGGATATTCAGGTAGTCAGCTGACATCATTCTTGGAGCACATCTTGTTGCTGAACGTAGACCTGACCAACTGCAGCAACCCCAGATCATAGCACTGCCCCTACAGGCCAGTAGGCACTAGGCATGATGGGTGCATCACTTCATCTGCCTCTCTTCTTACCCTGATGCTCCATCACTCTGGAGCAGGGCCCATCTGGACTCATTAAACCACATGAACTTCTTCCATTTCAGAGTCCAATCTTTATGCAATGCAATGGAGCAGAACAACTAAAATGACAATGGCTCATTTGAAACTGCTTTAGCACCAACTTTGGACTATTTAGACATGTGCTTTCTTTAAGTCAAGAGCAAATATTGGTATGGAAGTCCTTTAATGGACTGCCTCATTGACTGACATCCATCCAGGCAAGCCGGTTATGGCTGTAACCCTCAGAATTGGTGGAACCCAGAGGTTGGAGGGGTCATGAGGGTCAAGAAGGAGGCCTAAAGGACATGGCTGGTCCGTGGGTCTCCAAACACTCAGACAGGTTCTAGAGGACCAAGCAGTACACAGCAGTGGCAGTTGCTGGAGTAAAAACTCAGGATTACACCCAACTTCCCTGGAAAGGTGTCTTTCAGTGTTCTGAAGATGAGGGTATAGTCTAGAGTTGAATCCTGGTTTGAAGAGGTGCAAGACTTTTTTTTTTATCTAGGCCGTGGAACTGTGGACAAGCATTTAACCCTTGTTGGGGAATTTGTGTGAGAGTTTGCCCAACCAGTCCATGTGTTTTGCAGAGTTGGACCATATCCCCAAAGGCAAGCTTACGTATATAATCCCCCCTTCCTTCAGTAAAGGGTCTTCAGTCCTTTTTCAAAGGAGTGCAAGTCTGGTCCACAAAGTCAGCAGTAAGTCGAGACTGTTCCCAATGAGAATTGGAGTTCAGCAGCACTGCCCTTTGTAACAAACTTTACGAACAATGTTTAGACACAGTTGTGGGATGGAGGGTGTTGAGGGTGGTGGTGGGAAAATCTCATCTCTGCTTCTTGGACATTATAGCCCTTTTTACAAGACACACCATGCTGACAAATCAGCATAATATTACCACAACGGTGTGTCTTATAAATGCCCCATGCCGATGCACAATTTTTGTGGCATTCATTACGCCTCGCTCTGTAGTTATATTGCAGTAATTGTCTGTCTTATAAATGACAATTGCACCATGGCGCAACAGAGGGAGGTGTCATAATGACGTGGGGAGTTACTGCTGAGCTCCAGCCGGCAACTATATTGAACTATATTGAAAATGAAAGTAAACACGAGCCGTAAGTTTTGCTCTTTGAACAAAATCAACTAAGACTGCAAACTGAAGCGATGTAGCGCTCCAGGAGCTTCTCTCCATTAGAGCGGGAGGCTGGCACACCAGAGACTGCCTGGGGACAGTGGGGGACACACACCTTTAGGAGCGGCTTGCTAAAAATGTAATGATTGCATCTTCAATCGCAATAAAAAGCAAGCTATGTCCAAGACAAATGGAAGTCTGTGGCAGCTCAGGGACCGCTTCATACCCATTTTGTGCCACCACCGCCTAATCTTTGGTAGAAAGAACACAATTGCGCCAAATTTCCGCCACTTATAAACGACCTACGGCTTCCAGATGCCGCCACAGCGTTGTGGCAATTTGACGGCGTTGTTTTGTAAAAGCAGTTTATGTGATCCATATTAGTTACATCACAGCTGAGTATGAAGGCACTGAGTAGAGCTGCTGCTCCTCCACAATGAACGAAGCCAGGTGAGGTCATTCGAGTATGTGATCAGCACGCTCCCTAGACACCTCCAACCACTTACAAGTTGGAGGGATAATATAATAATAATAATAATACATTTTATTTCAACAGCGCCTTTCAAAACACTCAAGGACACTTTACAGACAGAGATAAAATACACAACAATAAAAGACAGAACAGCATAAAACAAACAGACAGATTGGAGCAAAGAGAGCAATTACTGGAATGCTAGATGGAACAGGTGGGTTTTGAGTCTGGTTTTAAAGAGAGTGAGGGAGTCAATGTTACGGAGGTCAGGAGGGAGTGAGTTCCAGAGCTGGGGAGCAGAGCGACTGAAGGCCCTGCTCCCCATAGTGACCAGACGGAAAGGTGGGACAGAGAGGTGGATGGAGGAGGAGGACCTGAGGGAATGGTTGGAGGTTGAAGGATGAAGGAGGTCCGAGAGGTACGAGGAGCTAGGTTATGGATTACGAGGAGCTAGGTTATGGATGGCTTTGATTGTATATAGCAGAACTTTGAATTGGATTCTGGAAGCGACTGGGAGCCAGTGGAGCTGCTGAAGAACAGGGTTGATGTGGTATATACGTAAGTGGACTTGGGAATGTTTTGACATCACATTGGAGGAACTGAAAGTAGTGATGGAGGAGAGTCTCCTTTGCTGCTGTCCCAGAAACATGGACTCACAAGTGGAGGAAAACAAGTATGAGTGAGAGAATATATATATATATATATATATGTGTGTGTATATGTATATATATATATATATATATATATGTGTGTGTATATGTATATATATATATATATATATATATATATATATATATATATATATATATATATATATATATATACATATTTAGTATGGTGGTGTTCTGTCTGTCTAAAATAAATCAACCTATATTAAATGGCATATATATTTACAACAATTGGTTTCAATGTTACCAAAATGATGTCAGAAATGCATCAAAATGTATTAAATCATAATTTAATTTAAGACATGTTTTTTCAACTATGACCTATCCAGCGTCCTGTTTCCTTTTTCTCCAAACAGCTGAGAGGTCGTTGTGAGGTGAATTCCCAGCATTCCCCCTACCACAGCACAGGAAATGGCACTATCTTTTAGGAAGTCAGATGTAAAGCTCCTCCTGGCAGGAAATTCAGTAGGTTAAAGAGAACAAGTCAGTTCTGTTGAATTCTGTTTATTCTCAACCACTGGGAATAAAAGAACTTCATTACATTGACTCAAACCTTTGTTTGCAGATGGGAAACCTTGACTTTTTTTATCTTAACCTAAAGACTTTTGCTAGAAACATTAACATCTATAAACACCCACATTCTAACACTTGTTAACCTGATCTGGTTTGATCACCTGTTAAAATAGCAGATCTGAGAAGGAGGAGCGCTAACAACAAACTGATCACAGATGTTGAGTAGCCCTACCAAAGCAAAGGAAAATCTCAATCACAACAGCTGCTTCGCTCATTCATTTCCTGCAAAAACGTGTCTTCTTTAGTAATTATAACACCTAAACAAGCCAGCTGGTTTTGTGATTGACAAGCTCTACTAAAACCTCGGTTACATGAACTCCTATGGTCACACTTGTTAGATGTGTCCCCCTTACCCGATGCCATTAGAAAAACAGATTCCACTCACATAATCTTCTGTGTAAACACGGGAACTGAGCCACAGTCCCTGCTCGTCGTAAACCTCTATCCTCATTGAACATGTGATGCTGCACCTTTCATTTTTGCTGCCTGACCTCTTTTTCCAGGCCATTCTGTAAAAAGCCCCCATTTCCCCACCCACACTCCTGACTCCTTTCACACACACACACAAACAGAAACTGTGGTGCTGCAATAACTCATCACAAGCATGGATTTCATATTACTGTTGTGTTTTTAGTGAACGATTTGAGCCTTGGACGATGAAACAGCATACAACTTCAACGTTTAGGACTAGGTCCAAACGTCTTCTGCTGTCCGTGACTTCAGATGGTGTTTTCCTTTTTGGGACTCTGGTAGTTTGTCCTAAAGGTGAAGTGGTAGCAGCTGACTGTTTCTCCTTCTCTGATGTTACTGAGCAGAGAACCTCTCACACCAGTGGTGTTCTGTTGCTAAATGCATGAGTGTGTGATGAGTGGAGGACCCAGGGAAGTGTGGAAGTGTGCTGGTTTGGTGAGACCAGAAGGTCCAATCGTTGGTTTCGGACAGAGTTGTGTTATTGGCTGAGACTTTTAGAAAAATGCAAGAGAACCTCTTCATTATTTTTACCAAAAAGCATTTATAGCTATAAAAGAATGTTTTTAGCTAGCTTGTTTAGTAGATTTGCTGTTGTAGCTTAAAGTCTCAGACAGAGATAGACTGATTGATAATTTACAAAGAGCAAAGATGCAAAACTGGGATGAAACTGAAAACAACAAACTCTAATTCAATTCTAATTTCTATACATTTTAAACATTTTGAACAAAACTAATGATAGAGGAGAGCCTTATGAGTCAAACACCTAGCAGGTACAAGTCTGACGTCCGTGTACTCTTACAGGGTCTGTGAAGGGCCCAGCATCCTGCAACCTTAAAGCAAATCCCACAATACCAGGAACATAAGAATCATCCAAGCCCACAGGACACGTGTTATGTTAGTTTGGTGAACTTTGTGCACCCTCAAGCATCACACGCTACCCTAGTGTTTTATTGCTTGCAAACCCTCTTCCCTGTTTCTAGATTTTGTGGACTGCTAAAGCTCCTGCCTTGGTCTTCTACCTGGTCCACATTCCACCACACCTTGGAATTTTACAGAAGGAGCTGGTGCAGGTGGTGGGGGGAGAAAACTGTCAGTGCTTCCCTGTTAGGGCTGCTGCCCCACCAACAGAGGAATTAGAAAAGAATGAGCAGAAGCAATGTAACGAAAAATAAAAAAAGATAATAATTTAACTCAAAAAAGGGGAGACAGGTTGCAAACATCTATGCAGGACACTTAGGATTTCTAGAGTGGTTTTCACCCGCTCAGTGACACACCTTCATTCTGAACTGACTGGAGTCCAGGAGTGACCAAACTCTGCTTTATTCAGGCTCTAACTGTGCTTGGTGAGTGCATCTTTGAAACATTGTAACTATGCATGGAACATCAAATCCCATTGATACAAAGGCAAACACAGGAGCTTCTGAGCCACCTAGGATCTAAACTACTACCTCCAGAGTTAAGATTAATTAGTTCTTTTAACAATCAAAGTGTTTACAACAACTTCCACAACAACCCAACGATATTTTATTCAAACTACCGTTTTGTTTCTGTGATATGAGTGGCCAAAGGTTTTAGGTGTCTCCCAAAGTGAAAAGCTGTCACTGGACATGTGCTCCACTAGAGGCATCCAGGAGTTCCAACGCTTAACACTAAGTGCAATGTTTAAAGCAAAACAATACCTAAATCATATTAATGTTTCTGTACAGCATCTTTATCCACTTAATCAATTGACAAGAAAACCTAAACAAAAGAAACAAAAAAAAACCTTCAAAAACAAACAGGAAGTGAGCTAGCTTTAGGCTGTGACCTTGTATCAACTGAATACTGTTGAATTTTCATGTCACGTTGCACAGTTTCTGATGAGGTTCTTCGACTAAAGTTAGCTAACTGCTGCTTTGAGCCCTTTCTTCCATCATGTGACGGCCTTTAGGAGAAGGAAATCCCAGAGGGAGTAACATCCTGCCAGAGGGGCGGGTGCAGGAAATGAGTCCTTAAGTTTGTGACTTCACTGAGTCACAGAAAAAAAACCAGCTTTACTAGAAGACTGTCTCAGTGTCAGAAAAAGCATTAGAAAGGACGAGCTACTGTGCAGCCAGGTGTGTGTGTGTGGATCCCAACCATCAATAACGTCATGAAGAAAGAAAAACAAGAAGACTGAGGCATACCAATGCCTACAAAGGAAACAGAGGCATTGTGAAAATGAAATGTATTTAAAGAAAGAATTGATTTGCCCTCTGAGGCCCAACAACTAGAAGTAAACTTTCCATCAGGACTTCACCTGGATTGAGCCAACAAAGACAAACAAATGCAGACATTTTAAAAAGTCTGACTGAAACAAAACCAGGTGGGACGACTCAAAAATGTTTTAGGGGTGTCGCTTCTTTCATCTTTTGGAGGGGAACTCTCAGATTTACTTTGCTGTCAAACTGGAAAGCTAACAATATCCCCAGAAAGCTGGAGCAGCTGTTCATACCTCCATATCCGCTGTGCATGGCAGCTCTAATGATGATGATGAGGGCGGTTGATGTCTTCGTGATGGCTCCACCTGATTCCAGGGACAAATGTTCACTCCTCTTTTATCAAAGTGTTGATCACTACATTAAAAATAAAACGTTTCCTTGACTCTTTTACTTTCATTCACTCTTCCCTCTTCTTCGCTGGTTTTCTAAGCTGATTCAGCTAAAGGACGAGTTGCTTGTCATTCACTTCCCCTCAGTCGATCCCAGACTGTTTTCCACCGCATCTCGTCCCATGGCTTTAGTCATGCTGGCTTCGTCCACTGAGCTCCTTTCTGCTTCAAGCACAGTGATAAGGGAGGGGAGGTGGAGCAGGGAGGAGTAGAGGGGGTGGGGGGCTGGAAACAGGAAAAAGGCAAGTCAGTCCTCCCTTTTCTACTGACATCATCCTGCTTTCCGGCCCCTCCCTCTTATTGTTTTTGATAAAATGACGCAGTCTGTTGTACTTCTGCCTTTTCGAATTAAAGATACAATTTAGTTAATTTCCCTGCATAGACCTACAATTGTATGGACTGGATCAACATGCAATTGAGTAAATAATAATGTAATTGTTGCCAGGTGGGAGTATCCAATACCATCAGTTCACCATTTAAACATCCTAACCTTTGTTAATTCACACCAGCAAAACTCCCACAATGTTCATTACCCCTACTGCCTACTGGAAGCATCAGTGGCACGAATCCATTAGAGTCTATGGGAGTAATTCAAACCAGCGACACCAGCGACACGGCCATTTTCAGATGCGTCCCAGAAGCGGCATACAGTGGCACTAAAGATGGGATCGGGTTCTATTTTTGCCTCGAGCCGCTTCTGGCACGCAACAATTTCCACAGTTAACATAGGGCTAGACAGGAAATCACACATGGCTTCAGTGTAAAACCCCTGGTAATTTTCAAAATAAAAGTCTATTGCAGTGATGCAACTTCATATCTATGTAGATTACGTCAATACAAGTGACCCAACGGCTTATTTACTCCCTACATCGTTCCAGAAGTGCAGCGGTGTATTTTTTCCATGGCCTTAATCTTGGCAGTGGAGAGGAACAACATCAGATCAAAAAACAATATCAAATGTGATTTGCTTATTTTTTGGTTTAATGGTGAATGACATAAACCCAAGGGATTTTGTGATTTAGCGAGTTGAGCGAAGAGCACGGCGGAGACGCCGCTTGCGGCTGAGACTCTCCGGTGTGCATTAGAGTGCAGCGATTGTTGCGAGTAAACCTTTCTGCTGCCGTTATATGCCTCTGATGCTTCCTGTGTGAAGTATGGGTTAGAATGTTCAGAATGAGACCATTACAATATCAGAAATTCTTGTGAGAAGGCTCTAATAAAAAACTAAAGGCAGAGCCTCATTGCTCACCCAACCTTCAATCATTAGACCAGTAAGTCAGGTCATTCTAACTTTTGTAAAAAATGCAAGTTCTCATTTCCCCTTCAAGTTACGCACTGGCGTTCCTAGATTAACTGCGAGTCTGCGGCTCACAGCGTTACAACTTCCATGTTTGGGTCTCGCCATCATGGTTCAAACTCATTTGTTGATCACTCTCGGTTTACTCCGAGATCGTTCTGACAGGATGACTGAGTCTAAAACAGATCCAGCAGAGTTCGAGCAATTTTACTGGTTTAAATGCCACTCACTGACACGATGCTTCAATTGTCCGTTTCTATCGCCACACTTCAGCACCGGAGGAGCTGTAGATTGGTCTGCCTGAACAGTGGAATGGGCTCAATGAGCACCCGAGGGTCTCTTTGCCACAGTTTTCCAAATATTCCACTGCCCACACCTGCGTGACCTTGCTCACCTCCTTCCTCTCAGGGAGGGACCAGGAGTAGGCTGCTACTCTGTACTATAATTAATACCCAGCCTGCAATGATTATCCAGCATTCTTGCAGAAACTCAGGCAGACCTTTGTTCCCCGGCAATAAGTTTGGAGCCGAATACGATCTTCTACATCTCTGTCAACGGGAAAGTCCCGTCTGCCACTATGTGCCGGAGTTCCGCACTGTGGCTACCAAAATGAACGGGGGAGACGTTGCCCTCAAATTAGTCTTCCTCGAGGTATTAGCCAGCTACATCTGGGGTGAAATGGTTGGACGAGAGCTCCTGGGAACCCTAAATGAGACAACAGTTCCAGCCCTGCAGATCGACGATGTCTCATGATGTCTCACCCCCCATTCAGCACCACACATCTTGAGGTCCCTCCCATCCTCTACCCCTAATCCAGGATGCCACTTAGGAGGTGAACACAATGCAAGCCCCAAGGAGGAACCCATGCAACTGGGATGGCTCACACCAGAATTCTTTGGAACATGGCCGCGCTTAGTGCCCGCTTCGCCCGAGAAACAGTAAAGCCAGGTAGACACCAGGGCCACACTACCTGGCTCTTCAGTGCCCTCCACTGGGTCACAATTCCTCCTTGGAGTCATGTTCCAGTTGGATCATGGACCAATAGAAACCAAGGCCTTTTTGGCGGCAGGGAGCTTTATGGATCAAAAACTAGCCTCCCAACTCAAAATTAGATCTCAGCTCAACTAGATGAAGTCATCCCAGTTACATTAGCAGATGGCCGCCTTTTCCATTCCTTCCCAGTTCAGCACCAAACCCATCCACTCTGGGTGAAGGTCAGTAAACATCACAAACTCATTCAGTTTCTTAATGTCACCCCACCCCCATCTCCCCTCATCTAGGGTCATACGTGGGTCCACCTCCATGACTCACACATCTCCTTGTCTTTGGGATGGTTTCTAAACCGGGGTCCCAAATGTAACCATTGCTGTTTCATAAATGACACCCCTTCCGCCACTACCCTGAGTCCTGATCGGGCCAACCTTGAGGCTGTGCCCCCACACTACCGGGGCTTGGCCTGGAGCTTCGACAAACAACTGGCTGCCGTTCTTCCTCCCCACTGTCCCTAAAACATGGAGATCAACCTCCTACTAGGAACCGTCACTCCAAGCGGCCATCTCTTTTCTCTCTCTACTGCCTATACTTGGACCATGGAAGAATATGTTACAGATGTCCTCCAGTGGGGGTTCACCCAGGCTTCCATATTGCCAGCTTCTTCTTTATCAAAAAGAAGGATGGGGGTCTCCTCCCCTGCACTGACTACTGGGGCCTTAGCCGGATTAATATCAGGTATCATCACCCCCTGCTGCTGATGTCCACTACTCTGGAATCCCTCTCCCAGGCTCGCATCTCAAGTGAGACCTGCAGAGTGCCTAAAACTTGGTACGACTCAAAGGTGGGAATGAGTGGAGGACAGCTTTCATCACACCCACCAGCCACTGGGAGTACGCGGTCATGCCTTTTAGCCTGCGTAACAGCATCTCAACGTCTCATCAGTGATGTCCTCCATGACATGCTGGGTTGGTGGGTGTTCACCTCCTTGGACCATATTCTCATCTACTCCTGCTTGGAAGCTGACCACATCAACAACGGCTGTTCTCACTCAACTTTTGGACAACCATCTGTACTGCAAGCTGGAGAAATGCTCGTTTCACCAAAAGTTTCTTTCATTTCTTGATTTTGTCTTTTCGTCTAAGGAACCATCAATTGACCCACAGAAAGTTAAAGCATTTGCTGAGTGGCCTATTTTGACCAGCCTCAAGCAGTTGCAAAGATTTCTGGGAAACCCCGTCAACATCACTCACCAAAACCAGTTATTTCTCGCTCACAGTCATCCTTACACAACAGAAGCACGGGACTGGGGGATTGTGAACTGCTAGTTATTAAATGGGACTGGAGCAATGGAGGCAATGTCTCCTGGGAACTGTGGAACCGTTCATCATCTGGACCGATCAGCAAAAACCTGATCCATATTTAATCCACCAAACACCTGAACCCCTGCCATGCTTGCTGAGCTCTTTTCTCCAAGGCCTAAAACTTTTAGATATTTCTACCCTGGTCAAAGAACCTTGAAACCCTGTCTCGGCAATTCACCCACTCCGCTCCATCCTTAGACCCAACTCCCATTCTGCCTGCTCACCGCATTCTAGCTCCTATTCACTAGTCTCTTGAAGAGACCACCTGTAGTGCTCTCCCCATTGACCCAGCATTCCCTGGGACCCCAACCAGCGTCTCTACGTTCCGGCATACGTTCTTGTTTCCCATTGAGTTACATAGGGTTCCTAAATTAACTGTAAGTGTGCAGCTCCCAGTAATCATATTTCCCCGTTTGGGTCTCACCATCGTGCTACAAATTGACTCACTAATTTATCTCAGTTCATTCAGAACTGGTTTTGACAACCTAATGATATTAGGGTTTCCTGGTAGGGTCTTGTTGTGGAAACGTTATGATTATTATTTCTTAATCATTGATTCAATCATCTGAATATAATATGTGTTTCTGTATGCCTAAATGTATGCTCATTTATTCAGACACACCCACACTCACACACACACACACACTTTCTTATCTAATGTTATAAATAAACTGAGTTCAGGAGCTCGGGGCAGTCGCCTTGTAGCTTCTGCCTCCTCATTGCAATCTGGAAACTTGTCTGTCATTTGTTTACTTTTCTCCGGTTGCAGGCAGTGGGTTGTTGATAAAATCCTTGACAGGTCTCTAATGGTGAACCAGTCCTAGGTGAAGGGTGACAGAAAGAATGGTCCAGACGAATATTGCTAGAAATGACAGAGTATTAGAGTATCCGGTCCAGGGGGTTACCAGGGTCCACCGAAGAACCTCTTTGTCTGTTGACGTTCTCATAATGCGTTTTGGTTCTACAGCCAAACCTCACGGCAATGAATAAAAGCATTTAAACGGTAAATTTAAAAAACAGGCCAGTTTCACTTGTAGTAAGAGAAGCTATAGCAAAACCCTTCATTTATTCACACAAGGACTGATCCAGTCTAGTGTATAAACCACTCAAGGTGATGGAACCAAGTACTGTAATCTAATAAAGTACAACAAGCCTGGTAATGAGCTGACAGACTGTTCCTGCTTTACTAAGCCCTGCATGGCTCTCTTGCGCTCTCTTTCTGAGTGTGTGTGTGTGTGTGTATGTGTGTGTGCGTGTGCATGTGTGTGTGTGTGTGTGTGTGTGTGTGTATGCGTGCGTGTGTGTGTGTGTGTGTGTGTGTGTGTGGAGGGGGACTTTCCAGTTAATCTCCAGCTGGCTGGTAAGCAGCTTAACTGTTACTGAAGTGCTGCAGGTTAATTACTAACTTGCAGCTAGTTTACGTGGTTCACTGTTGAGTTTGTTGGACTGAGTCACTCCGAACACATGATGGATGATAGGTCAAACAACAATTTACCTCATCAAAACTAAAGTTTAGCCCTTTTGGCAGGAAACCTGCCACATTGGTAAACTGCCTTTTCTAAAGCCTGAGTGGGCGATAGCCGGTGTGTCTGAATGTAAACCAACAATTTATCTGGTTTAAATGGGTGTGTGGTGGCTGAGCCTTGACCTGACATGGAACTCACTGACTCAACAGCAGGTTGAAAATTTCACTGAAGCTTCGACACACATGAAAATGAAAGCAGACTAGTAAAAAGATGAGTTAAATAATTTGTTCTGCTCTATGAGGTGAGATCTCTAGCTTAGCTCTGGCTGTAAAAGAAGCAATCTGTTCTCCTTTTGACTTCATATTAACACCCCAGGTAGAAAATCAGACTGAAACTGCTCTTACATGTCACCATAGCTCTTTCAGATCTTTCAACACTTTAATTACAACTCAGATAGACTATAAACTTCTCCGTGCAGTGACTGTCACACCAAATCATCATGGAACATAGTAACAAATACCCAGATAGTTCCATATAACAAAACTAATTATTATTATTATTACTACTATTATTATGATACATTAGTCAGATAATGACCAGATTTATCTAAAATCCTTCCATCCATTCACTCTGGTTGGGTCGTGGGGGCAGCAGCCTGAGCTGACAGGCCCAGACTTCCCTCTCCACAGCCACTTGGGCCAGCTCTTCCGGGGAAATTCTGAGGTGTTCCCAAGCCAGCTGTGAAACAGTCCCTCCAGCGGGTCTTCTCCAAGTTAGACATGCCCAGAAAATCCTCACCAGGAGGCATCCTAACAACATGCCTGAGCCACCTCAACTGCTCCTCTTTGCCTTCTGACTCAGCTCTCTCTTCACCAAAACAGACCGGTAACGCCCGCATCACTGCAGATGCAGCACCAATCCGCCTATCGATCTCATACTCCAGTTTTCCCTCACTTGCGAACAAGACCCCGAGATACTTAAACTCCTCCACCTGAGGCAGGACCTCATCCCTGACCCGGAGAAGGCATTCTACCCTTTTCCAGCTCAAGACCAGGTCTCAGATTTAGAGGAGCTGATTCTCATCCCAGCTGCTTCACACTCGGCTGCAAACCGCTCCAGCGAAAAGCGAAGATCACGTTCTGATGAAGCCAACAGGACCACATCATCTGCAAAAAGCAGAGACCCGATCCTCAGGCCACCAAAACAGATCCCCTCAACACCTTGGCTGCATCTAGAAATCCTTTCCATAAACGTTATAAACAGAATCGATAACAAAGGGCAGCCTTAAAGTTAAAGTTGTCACAAACTGGTGAGTGTGTGAAATTTGTTCTGCCCATTTGACCCTGAAGGAGCGGTGAGCTGCAGACATAGCCACGCTCGGGAACCATTTGGTGGTTAGGGTTGACCCTAACCCAATCCAACCCCTTAATGTTGAGTGTAAAGCAAGGAGGCATTGTGTCCCGCTTTTTCTAAGTCTTTGGTATGACCTGACCAGAATTTGAACCCTGATCTCTCAGTCCCAGGGCGGAAACTCAAACCACTAGGTCACTGAGCTGGAACTTGGCGAAGTTCAACCCTCACAGGGAACGAGTCCGACTTACTGCCGGCAATGTCAAACTAAAGAACAGTCAGCACTAAACCCCTTCTTAAATTAACCACAGCCTTGGAGTTTTCTTAGACAGCCATGGTCAAAAACAGTGCTCACCCACACCCTTCATCCACCCCTCCTTCCTCGCTGCTTCAGCTTAAGTCCAACACCTTTTTGCACATCTTGTACTGGATCACTGCAACAGCATACCCAAATCCTGGGGAGCTGGCATCCCAACATGAAGTGGTGTTGGTTGGTGTGTACATGGATCAGACTGATACCTGGTCCTGATATCAGTGTGGGTGTGTCCCTAGCTAATGTTGGATTGCTATGATTTGCACATCTTGAGACAGAATCAAAGAGAAATAAAGATTGTGGAATAAACATCTCAAATGGTATTGACTTGACCCAAACAGATCAGTTAAATGTAGGCGTGGCAGAGTCAAAAATCATCAAGCATTTGATGTCAGAGGATGGATTACAGATGTCTTCCCATCAAACTCTTTCCTGTTCAATAATGAAAAGCTCTGAATGACTGCTGAGTGACAATCAGCTGATTACTGACACAAGATCACACACACACACACACACACACACACACACACACACACACACACACACACACACATTCTGCGACTGGATGTCCCAAACCCTAACCCTAACTAACCATAACCAGTCTATTCACAACCCTAACCCTAACTAAAACTTAAATCACACCTTACCTCTAAAACTAACTAAGGTAAGGGTTAGTTTATGAAACAATCCTTCATGGTCCATCTTCCTTTCTGAATGAACCTGAGCCCAAAGCCCCTCCATCGCTCTCATCTGTTTCATGCACCATGCTAACCCACACAGATCATTAGCTGAATTGGGTCATCCAACAGTGACAGCTCTGCAGAAGTACAACAGACTCACTGTTTGTTTCCCTGAGAAAGCATCACACACACACACACACACACACACACACACACACACACACACACACACACACACACACACACACACACGGAGCATTCCCACAGACCGACTCACCTATCACAGAAACTCTTATCGGTTGTAAACAACCAGGGCTGTGTGTGTGTGTGTGTGTGTGTGTGTGCGCGCGCGCACGTTTCTACTCACCAGTTTGTTCACAGCTTATTTAAACTTAAAACCAGGTGCAAGCTTGATGTTATTTTACCTTTATATACATTCAGTTCAGGTTTATTTCTATAGCACCAAATCACGACCAGAGTCGTCTCAAGGACCTTCACACAGTAAATATTCCAATACAGTCAGTTCATTAAGCCAATCAGTAACAAGTTTCCCATTTAAGGAATTAATATAATTATATAACATTCATGACAAGCTTTAAAATGTGACAAATTAATGTCAATAATAATAACAACATCTATAATAATAATAAAAATACTAATAAAAACTATAATAAATAATAATAATAATAATAATAATAATAATAAAATAGTACATTCTGCAACAAACTGAACTAAATGAGTAGACTCTCCTCTCTTTCTCTGGTTCCTACAGCAGTTGTTTCGGTGCTAAGAGCTGGTAGTATCGTGGACCTACATGCTGATCATGGTGTCCTCCGTCCCGATCAGAACCCCTGCTGGAGCTCACCAGAGTGCTGTGGAGCAGCAGCATTTCCCTGCGCGTGTCCCCTCACATTCTCTGCTCCGGCTTGGTCTGCAGATAAACAGCCTCACCGACACCGAGCCGCTCCACGCAGCTGCTGCTGGCTTTGAAGAGCCTGCTGAGCCTCCGGGGAACTTCAAAAATAAATCTTAACACGGTCGCACTGCAGCGCCCCTGGTGGAGGATGGATGAATCACCAAGGTTTTTGAGCTGAAAGCATCCTTCAAGTCCTGAATCATGCTGGAAACAGACTCAGCTCCTCCAAGCCTGAGGCCAAGGTCCTCGACCGTAAAATGGAGTGCTTCCTGCTTGGAGGATCAGAGTGACGGATCAGGCTTTTCTTTTAAATTATGAGGGCTGGTGGTGATGTTTGGGCTTATCTGGACCTGTTTCCTCTGCAGTCCAAGCTTGGACAAGTTTGAGAACCTGCATTGTGAAACTGAATTGTATCAAAGAACAGTAGAATACTCTAGTTTATGAACTCCAGATGTTTTACAAGCGTGTTTTTCCCCTGGAAGTAACATCTGTACTCTCCGCTCAACATTTGGATATTAAATTAAATTTTCAGATATTTCTTTTTAACTGGGCATGCATGGGATCCTTCAAGCTACATCCACATCCTGACTTTTGGAGGTAGATGCCAGCTCCAGAGACCCTGGTGAGATTATCATGGGCTGTCCAGTCTCAGGGTGAAAACCTTGAGCCTCCTCATGACCTGGATCAGTTATGACTCAGAGGGTTTCAATGGGACTTTAACATTATTGTCAATGCAGCTTTCTTCCCTCCTCCTGTCCCCTCTGTGTGACCTCTTGGTACTTTTAAAGTAATTCATTTACATAGATCCTATGGATTTACTTAATAATAGTAACAAAACAACTAATATTAACTAAAATTACAAACTGTAATTTATAAGAATATTTAAAATAGAAGGACTGAGTAGATGTGGGCAAAATTAAACATGAATCATTAAACTCTGATTACTTTTAGTAGAAATCAAACATATTCACAAATTAAAACAAAATGTTATTAGTTGGACGTGGCTTTTATTTTGAAAGCCTATGGAAAAATCTTTTTGTTAATGTTTTATATTTATAAAGCTTCAAATCAACCAACATGCTTTAGAACATTTTAGCCCAGAATCAATCTGAGAATAAACATGAATGGAAATAAAGTAACATGCTGATTGTTTATGTGACGGTGATGGAACGGTGCATTCAAGTACAGCTCAGTTATCTTCTCTGAGATAGCAGCTATTTCAAACTAGCACACAGCAGACTAGAGAAAAGGTTTCTATCAGACTTAGATGGCCCACACTTCTATTTAGTTTATTTATGTGATTAAATAAAATACCTGTCCATTTTAAGGGCCACTGTGTCTTTTTAAAATGCCTAATTGAATAATGAAGTCAAACTGTTAAAGCGTTTCATTTCAAAAACTGTGTGGTGTTGCTAAAAGACTGTTGTGTGTTAAAAATGCTTCGAGTGGAATGAACATGGCAGCACTTTTGCTCCACCTGCTCCCTGAGAGGATGCAGTAGCGCAGGAGGTAGAACGGATTGTCCAGTAGTCAGATGGTTGCAGGTTCAATCCCAGCTCCCACCAGAGAACGCTGCTGTTGTGTCCATGGTCCAGACACTTGACATGCCTTGCCTGCTGGTGGTGATCGGAGGGGCTGCCAATGCTCAGCGGGTCTCGCCTCTGTCAGGGCGCCCCAGGGCAGCTGTGGCTACATTGTAGCTCATCACCACCAGGGTGTGGATTTGTGGATAACTGACTGTGTTGTGAAGCCCCTTGGGGGCTGTAGATTCCCATGAAGGTGCTCTACAAAAACAGGCCATTTAATATTAAGGGCAGATTCTAGAATGCCCCCTTCTCTTCCGGTTCTCGGAGGGTGCAGATGCTTTTTTCCTCCTCTCCTCCATATCTTATCCTCAAGGCCTTTTGTCTGTCTCTGTGTGCTGGCTGCACGGCTGCTTCTGCATTTTTTCTGGAAACTGGAAACTGAAATTCAATAAAAATGGATCTCGTCAGTTGGTCCCTCAATGCGATTGATCAAATTTTTTCAACGATGAGAACGGGAGAAGGGCTCCCGGATGCCCCTCCGGGACAGACCCAGTTGGACTCATCATGGACTCCTGGAAACAGTGGAACTTGATGTGTCTTTCTCAGCTGTCTGTGGAGGACTCTGAAGATGTGTGGATATTTGTGGTGTTGGTGTCAGGTTTCCTGCTCATTAGCCTTGGAGGCTTCCTGGCTTACCGGAAAATTAATGAGCTGTCGAGCAATATTGGCCGGATCCCGGAGCTCAGAGATGGATTGCACCACGCTGTGAATTCACAGACTCATATAATTGTCGAGATGAATCGTGAGCTTGGAACTTTGGCCAAGATTCATTCACTGGCACAGAAGATGGATGCCATCAAGGATAGAGTGGACGTATCAGCACGGACTGGGATATATTAACGTCCATTATTGGGATTTTGAGAGGTTGAGGACCAACAAACTGTAAGACAGAGAGGAAATTATCTCTGTCCGGCCCCAAAACAATTTCTAATTGGAATCTGGCGCCCTTGAGCCTGCAAGGCTCCAACGAAAACTCCCCCTCAGAAGATATGTGGAATGTGCCGTCGCTATGGTAACTCAACTCTGCCTCCTTTCCCAGCCTGGGCGGGACTGCGGGAAGGCCGCTGAAACGTTCCAGGGTCACTGCAACCCTCCAACCCTCAATGCTCCTCCCTCTATCCACACTGAGGTGACATGCGCTGCTTCATCGTGGATGCAGGAACTGAAGTAGGGATAGTCCCAACCCACCACCCCACCTAGTGGACACTTGTGTTGTGTTGTCTGAAGTCTGTTGCATATCTGTCTGTTTGAGGTGTTTTTTTGCAGAGCAAAGCTGCCCTCCCAATGGAGGGGAACTCTGAAGTGCTTTTTTTTCCCCCCTCCACCTGAACCGATCGTCATGTAACCCTCTCATCTCAATTAAGGTAGTGTGACTCAGGGTTGTGAATGACCACAGTCACCAATTCTTGTTATGTGTCTTGCCCATGTATGTCTGATCTCTGAATTGTGTGCACTGTGTCAGGCGTGCTGGAGTGTGAAGCGGAGGTGAGGATCCACACACGGGTGAAGAAGGTAGGCAATCAGACATGAACGATTAAAGGTTTTGATGGAGAACACGCTAACATAGAAACAATGATCCAACACGAGGCACAGAACTGAAGGGGTTTAAATACAAGAGGGCTGGGAGCATGGGTGATTGGAAAACGAGAGGCAGGTGGGAGCAATTAACAGAGACACATGGCTGAACCAAACGGGGAGACAGGACAGGGTGTGAAACACTGAAACTCAAATTTCCCTCTGGGATTAATAAAGTATCTTTGATTGACTGATTGACCCCTCGATACAAACCATCACAAAGTGAATTCCTGCACTAATATAAGATGTACACTGCTATTTTGTTTTAGCATTACAGTTTTTTCTATTGCTTACATGCAATTTAGAAAACCGGGCGAATTGTTTCCAAATATGATCAGAATTACCCAAACACCACACTCAGTTTGCATAGTTGTACCGTACCCAAAGTGCAGCACCATTTAGAATTTTAGGCGTCAGTCATGTTTAGACGATTACCCAAAAGACGGAGCGAGTTCCCCAAGAGCCAAGAGGGTCAACCGAGCGGAGAAGTGACGGAATCGTGCGTACGCCGATGCAGCCAGACAGAACAGTTAGTCTGTGGTGGTGCAAGGCGGCCATCAAACCCCCCATTTGGTAGGTGATGTTCCCATCACTGGGTGAGGGGTCTCTAGTGGAGGTTCAGTGCGACCTTCAACCACCCCTTCAGTAGATGGTGGTCCCACCGCAGGGTGAAGGTTTTCAGGTGCAGAGACGACGCAGACACTACGGCGGTCACTGACCAGAGAAACACTGAACCGACTGAACATCTGGGCGGCGCTGTTGTCGTTCACAACACCTAAGGGAGAAATGAGGTCCCGGGGGAGCTCCATGGGCAGTGGTTGAGTCAGCCGGGTCCAGAGCTTCCACCCACAGGAATAATAATAATAGGCTTAAAGCAGTTGAGCAGGTCTTCTCCAAACAGCAAAGGAAAAGACTCGAGGTCAGACACGAACACTGGGTGTCACATGGACACGCCACCCACTGAAAGGTCAAGGAAAGACATGGACGACAAGGTCACTGTAGCTGGAGTGTAAGGACTGACGTCCACAGTGCAGGGTGTGAGTGTTAAGACACAACCCTGTCCAGCTGACGCCAAGCGAAGGCCTTCCTAAAGAGAACGGGACAGGATAGAAATGTCTGAGCCAGTGTCTAAGATGACATCACAGGATTGCGACCCCTCCAGGGTCACAGAGATGTGAGGTTTCTGTTTGGGACCTTTACGGATGACATCACAGAGAAGCCATAGTTGAGGTTTGTCCAGAAAGGTTAACTTGACCCACTGACAGGTGCATTGGATGTTCGAGGACTAAGCTAATGGAAGTGACCTCACCAGACCACACTGGGGTCACAGGATGCACTGTTGGGGCAGGTTCCACTTTTGGAAGATCGTTACGACTGAGTCATGTGCAGGCTGAACAGGCGTAGGAGGATGCGCACTCTGGTCTGCAGAAGAGATGACTAGAACCTCTTTAGCCTTTGGTGAGGCGCTTACCCAATCAGAAAAGAGACTCCAGGATGGAGCACAGGTCTTCAGGAGGCCTGCTAGCGGCAAATAATGGTAAGGGCGAGGGCGGCGGTCACCCGAGTGGGAAGACCCCCCCCCCTTTGAGACTCCATCCATGAGCACCAACGAGCTGAACGTGGGCTCCTTTTAGTACTCACTGAATCTTTAGCAGAGGGGGAGTGTTTGAACCGAGAAGGTTTCAGATACTTCAGCCCCAGATACTGCCTCATGGACTGTGACTTGGAGAAGCTCGTGACAGAGCGTTATGAGCCTCGGTCTTCTTTACACCCATTAGAAAATTCTGTAATATTCACAGACATCCAAACCTTAGAAATGAAATAAAATCAACATTACAATTAAAAATAATTTATGTTCTTTTTCATTACAGATCAGTTATCTGTGAACATGTTAATATATGTGACATCATCCAGCTTTAGCAGACATCTGCT